TTAAGCCTGGTCTACCCTACAGGGCCTACGTAAGTTACTGTCTACCATGCACTACCCTACAGGGGCTACGTATGTAACTGTCTACCACACACTACCCTACAGGGCCTACGTAAGTTACTGTCTACCGCACACTACCCTACATGGCCTACGTAAGTAACAGTCTACCACACACTACCCTACACAGCCTACGTAAGTTACAGTCTCCCACACACTACCCTAAAGGGGCTACGTAAGTTACTGTCTACCACACACTACCCTACACGGCCTACGTAGGTTACTGTTTACCACACACTACCCTACACGACCTACGTAAGTTGCTGTCTACCACACACAGCCCTACAAGGCCTACGTAAGTTACTGTCTACCATACACTACCCTACACGGCCTACGTAGGTTACTGTCTACCACACACTACCCTACAGGGGCTACGTATGTAACTGTCTACCACACACTACCCTACAGGGGCTACGTATGTAACTGTCTACCACACACTACCCTACAGGACCTACGTAAGTTGCTGTCTACCACACACTACCCTACACGGCCTACGTAAATAACTGTCCACCACACACTACCCTACAGGGTCTACGTAAGTTACTGTCTACCACACACTACCCTACACGGCCTACGTAAGTTACTGTCTACCACACACTTCCCTAAAGGGGGTACGTAAGTTACTGTCTACCACACACTACCTTACACGGCCTACGTAAGTTACTGTCTACCACACACTACCCTACAGGGGCTACGTAAGTTACTGTCTACCACACACTACCCTAAAGGGGCTACGTAAGTTACTGTCTACCACACACTACCTACACGGCCTACGTAAGTTACTGTCTACCACACACTACCCTACAGGGGCTACGTAAGTTACTGTCTACCACACACACCTACCCTACAGGGCATACGTAAGTTACTGTCTACCACACACTACCCTACAGGCTGCGTAAGTTACTGTTTCCACGCACTCACCCTACACGGCCTACGTGAAGTTACTGTCTACCATACACTACCCTACACGGCCTATGTAAGTTACTGTCTACCACACACTACCCTGCACGGCCTACGTAAGTTACCGTCTACCACACACTACTCTACACGGCCTACGTAAGTTACAGTCTACCACACACTACCCTACAGGGGCTACGTAGTTTACTGTCTACCGCACACTACCCTACAGGGGCTACGTAAGTTACTGTCTACCACACACTACCCTACACGGCCTACGTAAGTTACTGCCTACAACACACTACCTTACACGGCCTACGTAAGGTACTGTCTACCACACACTACCCTACAGGACCTACGTAAGTTACTGTCTACCACACATTACCCTACAGGGGCTACGTAAGTTACTGTCTACCACACACTACCCTACAGGGCATACGTAAGTTACTGTCTACCACACACTACCCTACAGGGGCTACGTAAGTTACTGTTTCCACACTCTACCCTACACGGCCTACGTAAGTTACTGTCTACCATACACTACCCTACACGGCCTATGTAAGTTACTGTCTACCACACACTACCCTGCACGGCCTACGTAAGTTACCGTCTACCACACACTACTCTACACGGCCTACGTAAGTTACAGTCTACCACACACTACCCTACAGGGGCTACGTAGTTTACTGTCTACCGCACACTACCCTACAGGGGCTACGTAAGTTACTGTCTACCACACACTACCCTACACGGCCTACGTAAGTTACTGCCTACAACACACTACCTTACACGGCCTACGTAAGTTATTGTCTACCACACACTACCCTACAGGACCTACGTAAGTTACTGTCTACCACACACAACCCTACACGGCCTACGTAGGGTTACTGTCTACCACACACTACCCTTGGCTACACGGCCTACGTAGGTTACTGTCTACCACACACCACCCTACAGGCCTACGGTATGTAAATAGTCTACCACACACTACCCTTCTACAGGGCTACGTATGTAAGTGTCTACCGCACACTACCCTACAGAGCCTACGTAGGTTACCGTCTACCACAAACTACCCTACAGGGCCTACGTAGGTTACTGTCTACCACACACTACCCTACACGGCCTACGTAAGTTACTGTCTACCACACACTACCCTACAGGACCTACGTAAGTTACAGTCTACCACACACTACCCTACAGGGCCTACGTAGGTTACTGTCTACCGCACTCTATCCAACACGGCCTACGTTGGTTACTGTCTACCACACACTACCCTACAGGACCTACGTAAGTTACTGTCTACCATACACTACACTACATGGCCTACGTAAGTTACTGTCTACCACACACTACCCTACAGGGGCTACGTATGTAACTGTCTACCACACACTACCCTACAGGGGTTACGTATGTAACTGTCTACCACACACTACCCTACAGGACCTACGTAAGTTGCTGTCTACCACAAACTACCCTACACGGCCTACGTAAGTTGCTGTCTACCACACACTACCTTACACGGCCTACGTAAGTTACTGTCTACCACACACTACCCTACAGGGGCTACGTAAGTTACTGTCTACCACACACTACCCTAAAGGGGCTACGTAAGTTACTGTCTACCACACACTACCTTACACGGCCTACGTAAGTTACTGTCTACCACACACTACCCTACAGGGGCTACGTAAGTTACTGTCTACCACACACTACCCTACAGGGCATACGTAAGTTACTGTCTACCACACACTACCCTACAGGGGCTACGTGCAGTTACTGTCTACCACACACTACCCTACAGGGCATACGTAAGTTACTGTCTACCACACACTACCCTACACGGCCTACGTAAGTTACTGTCTACCATACACTACCCTACACGGCCTATGTAAGTTACTGTCTACCACACACTACCCTGCACGGCCTACGTAAGTTACCGTCTACCACACACTGCTCTACACGGCCTACGTAAGTTACACACTCACTACCACACACTACCCTACAGGGGCTACGTGAAGTTTACTGTCTACCGCACACTACCCTACAGGGGCTACGTAAGTTACTGTCTACCACACACTACCCTACGGCCTACGTAAGGTTACTGCCTACAACACACTACCTTACACGGCCTGCGTGAAGGTACTGTCTCACCACACACTACCCTACAGGACCTCGTGTAAAGTTACTGTCTACCACACATTACCCTACAGGGGCTACGTAAGTTACTGTCTACCACACACTACCCTACAGGGCATACGTAAGTTACTGTCTACCACACACTACCCTACAGGGGCTACGTAAGTTACTGTTTCCACACTCTACCCTACACGGCCTACGTAAGTTACTGTCTACCATACACTACCCTACACGGCCTATGTAAGTTACTGTCACCACACACTACCCTGCACGGCCTACGTAAGTTACCGTCTACCACACACTGCTCTACACGGCCTACGTAAGTTACGGTCTACCACACTGCCCCTGCAGGGGCTACGTAGTTTACTGTCTACCGCACACTACCCTACAGGGGCTACGTAAGTTACTGTCTACCACACACTACCCTACACGGCCTACGTAAGTTACTGCCTACAACACACTACCTTTCACGGCCTACGTAAGTTATTGTCTACCACACACTACCCTACAGGACCTACGTAAGTTACTGTCTACCACACACAACCCTACACGGCCTACGTAGGTTACTGTCTACCACACACTACCCTACACGGCCTACGTAGGTTACTGTCTACCACACACTACCCTACAGGGGCTACGTATGTAACAGTCTACCACACACTACCCTACAGGGGCTACGTATGTAAGTGTCTACCGCAGACTACCCTACAGAGCCTACGTAGGTTACCGTCTACCACAAACTACCCTACAGGGCCTACGTAGGTTACTGTCTACCACACACTACCCTACACGGCCTACGTAAGTTACTGTCTACCACACACTACCCTACAGGACCTACGTAGTTACAGTCTACCACACACTACCCTACAGGGCCTACGTAGGTTACTGTCTACCGCACTCTATCCAACACGGCCTACGTTGGTTACTGTCTACCACACACTACCCTACAGGACCTACGTAAGTTACTGTCTACCATACACTACACTACATGGCCTACGTAAGTTACTGTCTACCACACACTACCCTACAGGGGCTACGTATGTAACTGTCTACCACACTACCCTACAGGGGTTACGTATGTAACTGTCTACCACACACTACCCTACAGGACCTACGTAAGTTGCTGTCTACCACAAACTACCCTACACGGCCTACGTAAGTTGCTGTCTACCACACACTACCCTACAGGGCCTACGTAAGTAACTGTCTACCACACACTACCCTAAACGGCCTACGTAGGTTACTATCTACCACACACTACCCTACAGGGGCAACGTAAGTTACTGTCTACCACACACTACCCTACAGGACCTACGTAAGTTGCTGTCTACCACACACAACCTTACAGGACTTACGTAAGTTACTGTCTCCCCTACACTACCCTGCACGGCCTACGTAAGTTACTGTCTACCACACACTACCCTACAGGGCCTACGTATGTAACTGTCTACCACACACTACCCTACAGGGGCTACGTATGTAACTGTCTACCACACACTACCCTACAGGACCTACGTCTGTAACTGTCTACCACACACTACCCTTTAGCGCCTAGGTATGTAACTGTCTTCCATACACAACATTACAGGGTTTACGTAAGCAACTGTCTACCACACACTACCCTACAGGGCCTACGTAAATAACTGTATACCACACATGTCCCTACAGGGCCTACGTAAGTAGCTATCCAATATTGCGAAATGCCAGAGAAGGTAACGCTTACATCAGAACAATGGTACCAGTCCTGTTTGTGTTTAACATGTTGTTTTTCCAAACCTAGGTGAAGGTGACCCAACAAGATGACCGCCCAATCTCTGAAGAAAACGCTGCGATCCAGGTGTACACGTGTGAACTACAGGCGGACGGAGACACATCAGGGTCGCTATGAGTGCAACGCCTTTACCGGCAGCTACTCCCTGCCTATACTTAACCTCCGGATACCGGAAACTGGGATTGTCCCACTGGACCTTGAAATACCGGACAATACGACAGATGTTAAAATGAGGGTACGTAAATTGGGAAAGGTATATACGCTATCGATGCAAGTGGAGAAACAGTCACAAAATGCCGCTGTCAGTTTCAGTAATAGTTTTTCTTTGTATCTACTGGGAACAGAATGAAGTGACAATAGTTGACATGATATCTAAAGATATACTACCCAAGTATATCTTAACATATGCTATACAGTTTAGACTCACTGGTGTAAATGTAGCCACTTATTTCAGTCAACTGTTCTAAACTAGATTTTGAAAAATATTCCATACTGTCTAAAGGTACTGTTTACACATGAACTGATGTATTGTAAAACAAATTCGTGACGTTGAAAAGAGTATTGTCATGAGATCAATAATTGATGAAACTCAGCGAAAATGGGCGAATTCTTAATAAACTTTACACGAAAACACAGCTGTTCATATGCACGATATTTGCAATGCTTTTGAGCAAGTTTATGCATTGTTCTCGTGCAATTTATATGCATTAGGTTTGCAGTTGGTTCCCCAAGTTAGTGGAGAAATTCATGTTATTCGATGTAACCATATATATATGCCTAACATATAGCGATTGCTTTAGATGAGTCTAAACGTTTGATGGGTAGTATATGACCAAATGCAGTGACTTTAAGACATAGGGAAACATTGTAAGGAAGCATACAAGCAGCGACTTGGCCCAATGCTTTAACGACATGACAATGAAGCAACGAAGTTTCATAATGACCTGACGACATGGCACAATGAAGCGTCATGACAATCAAGCAACAAGGTGGCACAATGAACTGACGACATGGTATAATGAAACAATGAGATTGACGACATGACAAAAAGCATCAATGTGTCACAATGAACTGACGACATGGTATAAGAAGCAATGAGATTGACGACATGACAATCAAGCAACGAGGTGTCACAATGAACTGAAGACATGGTATAATGAAACAATAATATTGACGACATGACAAGAAGCATCAATGTGTCACAATGAATTGACGGCATGGTATAATGAAACAATGAGATTGAAGACATGACAATCAAGCAACGAGGTGGCACAATGAACTGACGACATGGCATAATGAAACAATGAGATTGAAGACATGACAATCAAGCAACGAGGTGGCACAATGAACTGACGGCATGGTATAATGAAACAATGAGATTGACGACATGACATAAAGCATCAATGTGTCACAATGAACTGACGACATGGTATAAGAAGCAACGAGATTGACGTCATGACAATCATGCAACGAGGTGGCACAATGAACTGACAACATGGTATAATGAAACAATGATATTGACGACATGACAAGAAGCATCAATGTGTCACAATGAACTGACGACATAGTATAAGAAGCAACGATATTGACGACATGATAATGAAGCAACGAAGTGGCACAATGAACTGACGACATGGTATAATGAAGCAACGAGATTGACGTCATGATAATCAAGCAACGAGGTGGCACAATGAACTGACGACATGGTATAATGAAACAATGAGATTGAAGACATGACAATCAAGCAACTATGTGTCACAATGAACTGACGGCATGGTATAATGAAACAATGAGATTGACGACATGTCAAGAAGCATCAATGTGTCACAATGAACTGACGACATGGTATAAGAAGCAACGATATTGACGACATGACAATCAAGCAACGAGGTGTCACAATGAACTGACGACATGGTATAAGAAACAACGATATTGTCGACATGACAATCAAGCAACGAGGTGCTTTATTGAACTGGCGACATGGCATAATGAAACAATGAGATTGACGACATAACAATCAAGCAACGAGGTGGCACAATGAACTGACGACATGGTATAATGAAACAATGAGATTGAAGACATGACAATCAAGCAACGAGGTGGCACAATGAACTGACGACATGGCATAATGAAACAATGAGATTGAAGACATGACAATCAAGCAACGAGGTGGCAAAATGAACTGACGGCATGGTATAATGAAACAATGAGATTGAAGACATGACAATCAAGCAACGAGGTGGCACAATGAACTGACGACATGGCATAATGAAACAATGAGATTGAAGACATGACAATCAAGCAACGAGGTGGCACAATGAACTGACGGCATGGTATAATGAAACAATGAGATTGACGACATGACATAAAGCATCAATGTGTCACAATGAACTGACGACATGGTATAAGAAGCAACGAGATTGACGTCATGACAATCATGCAACAAGGTGGCACAATGAACTGACAACATGGTATAATGAAACAATGATATTGACGACATGACAAGAAGCATCAATGTGTCACAATGAACTGACGACATAGTATAAGAAGCAACGATATTGACGACATGATAATGAAGCAACGAAGTGGCACAATGAACTGACGACATGGTATAATGAAGCAATGAGATTGACGTCATGATAATCAAGCAACGAGATGGCACAATGAACTGACGACATGGTATAAGAAGCAACGAGATTGACGACATGACAATCAAGCAACTAGGTGGCACAATGAACTGACGACATGGTATAATGAAACAATGAGATTGAAGACATGACAATCAAGCAACTATGTGTCACAATGAACTGACGGCATGGTATAATGAAACAATGAGACTGACGACATGTCAAGAAGCATCAATGTGTCACAATGAACTGACGACATGGTATAAGAAGCAACGATATTGACGACATGACAATCAAGCAACGAGGTGTCACAATGAACTGACGACATGGTATAAGAAACAACGATATTGTCGACATGACAATCAAGCAACGAGGTGGCACATTGAACTGACGACATGGCATAGTGAAACAATGAGATTGACGACATGACAATCAAGCAACGAGGTGTCACAATGAACTGACGACATGGTATAATGAAACAATGAGATTGACGACATGACAATCAAGCAACGAGGTGGCACAATGAACTGACGACATGGTATAATGAGACAATGAGACTGACGACATGACAAGAAGCATCAATGTGTCACAATGAACTGAAGACATGGTATAAGAAGCAACGATATTGACGACATGACAATCAAGCAACTAGGTGTCACAATGAACTGACGGCATGGTATAATGAAACAATGAGATTGACGACATGACAAGAAGCATTAATGTGTCACAATGAACTGACGACATGGTATAAGAAGCAACGATATTGACGACATGACAATCAAGCAACGAGGTGGCACAATGAACTGACGACATGGTATAATGAAACAATGAGATTGACGACATGACATAAAGCATCAATGTGTCACAATGAACTGACGACATGGTATAAGAAGCAACGAGATTGACGTCATGACAATCATGCAACGAGGTGGCACAATGAACTGACAACATGGTATAATGAAACAATGATATTGACGACATGACAAGAAGCATCAATGTGTCACAATGAACTGACGACATAGTATAAGAAGCAACGATATTGACGACATGATAATGAAGCAACGAAGTGGCACAATGAACTGACGACATGGTATAATGAAGCAACGAGATTGACGTCATGATAATCAAGCAACGAGGTGGCACAATGAACTGACGACATGGTATAATGAAACAATGAGATTGAAGACATGACAATCAAGCAACTATGTGTCACAATGAACTGACGGCATGGTATAATGAAACAATGAGATTGACGACATGTCAAGAAGCATCAATGTGTCACAATGAACTGACGACATGGTATAAGAAGCAACGATATTGACGACATGACAATCAAGCAACGAGGTGTCACAATGAACAGACGACATGGTATAAGAAACAACGATATTGTCGACATGACAATCAAGCAACGAGGTGGCACATTGAACTGGCGACATGGCATAATGAAACAATGAGATTGACGGCATAACAATCAAGCAACGAGGTGGCACAATGAACTGACGACATGGTATAATGAAACAATGAGATTGAAGACATGACAATCAAGCAACGAGGTGGCACAATGAACTGACGACATGGCATAATGAAACAATGAGATTGAAGACATGACAATCAAGCAACGAGGTGGCAAAATGAACTGACGGCATGGTATAATGAAACAATGAGATTGAAGACATGACAATCAAGCAACGAGGTGGCACAATGAACTGACGACATGGCATAATGAAACAATGAGATTGAAGACATGACAATCAATCAAGCAACGAGGTGGCACAATGAACTGACGGCATGGTATAATGAAACAATGAGATTGACGACATGACATAAAGCATCAATGTGTCACAATGAACTGACGACATGGTATAGAAACAGCAAGATTGACGTCATGACAATCATGCAACAAGGTGGCACAATGAACTGACAACATGGTATAATGAAACAATGATATTGACGACATGACAAGAAGCATCAATGTGTCACAATGAACTGACGACATAGTATAAGAAGCAACGATATTGACGACATGATAATGAAGCAACGAAGTGGCACAATGAACTGACGACATGGTATAATGAAGCAATGAGATTGACGTCATGATAATCAAGCAACGAGATGGCACAATGAACTGACGACATGGTATAAGAAGCAACGAGATTGACGACATGACAATCAAGCAACTAGGTGGCACAATGAACTGACGACATGGTATAATGAAACAATGAGATTGAAGACATGACAATCAAGCAACTATGTGTCACAATGAACTGACGGCATGGTATAATGAAACAATGAGGACTGACGACATGTCAGAAGCATCAATGTCACAATGAACTGACGACATGGTATAAAAGCAACGATATTGACGACATGACAATCAAAAGCAACGAGGTGTCACAATGAACTGACGACATGGTATAAGAAACAACGATATTGTCGACGCGACAATCAAACAACGAGGTGGCACATTGAACTGACGACATGGCATAGTGAAACAATGAGATTGACGACATGACAATCAAGCAACGAGGTGGCACAATGAACTGACGACATGGTATAATGAAACAATGAGATTGAAGACATGACAATCAAGCAACGAGGTGGCACAATGAACGACGACATGGCATAATGAAACAATGAGATTGAAGACATGACAAATCAAGCAACGAATGTGTCACAATGAACTGACGACATGGTATAATGAAACAGGTATAATTGAAATCAAACAACGAGGTGGCACAATTGACGACATGGCATAATGAAACAATGAAGCAACAATCAAGCAAAGATGGCACAATGAACTGACGGCATGGTATAATGAAACAATGAGATTGACGACATGACATAAAGCATCAATGTGTCACAATGAACTGACGACATGGTATAAGAAGCAACGAGATTGACGTCGCGACAATCATGCAACAAGGTGGCACAATGAACTGACGGCATGGTATAATGAAACAATGATATTTGACGACATGACAAAAAGCATCAATGTGGCACAATGAACTGACGACATGGTATAGCAAGCAACGATATTGACGACGCGATAATCAAAAGCAACGAAGGTGGCACAATGAACTGACGACATGGTATAATGAAGCAATGAGATTGACGACATGATAATCAAGCAACGAGGTGGCACAATGAACTGACGACATGGTATAAGAAAGAACGATATTGACGACATGACAATCAAGCAACGAGGTGGCACAATGAACTGACGACATGGTATAAGAAACAACGATATTGTCGACATGACAATCAAGCAACGAGGTGGCACATTGAACTGACGACATGGCATAGTGAAACAATGAGATTGACGACATGACAATCAAGCAACGAGGTGTCACAATGAACTGACGACATGGTATAATAATGAAACAATGAGATTGACGACATGATAATCAAGCAACGAGGTGGCACATTGAACTGACGACATGGTATAATGAGACAATGAGACTGACGACATGACAAGAAGCATCAATGTGTCACAATGAACTGAAGACATGGTATAAGAAGCAACGATATTGACGACATGACAATCAAGCAACTAGGTGTCACAATGAACTGACGACATGGTATAATGAAACAATGAGATTGACGACATGACAAGGAGCATCAATGTGTCACAATGAACTGACGACATGGTATAATGAAGCAACGATATTGACGACATGACAATCAAGCAACGAGGTGGCACAATGAACTGACGACATGGGTATAATGAAACAATGAAGATTGACGACATGATAATCAAGCAACGAGGTGGCACAATGAACTGACGACATGGTATAAGAAGCAACGATATTGACGACATGACAATCAAGCAACGAGGTGGCACAATGAACTGACGACATGGCATAATGAAACAATGAGATTGACGACATGACAATCAAGCAACGAGGTGGCACAATGAACTGACGACATGGTATAATGAAACAATGAGATTGAAGACATGACAAAAAGCAGCAATGTGGCACAATGAATTGACGACATGGTATAAGAAGCAACGATATTGACGACATGACAATCATGCAACGAGGTGGCACAATGAACTGACGACATGGCATAATGAAACAATGAGATTGACGACATGATAATCAAGCAACGAGGTGGCACAATGAACTGACGACATGGTATAAGAAGCAACGATATTGACGACATGACAATCATGCAACGAGGTGGCACAATGAACTGACGACATGGCATAATGAAACAATGAGATTGACGACATGATAATCAAGCAACGAGGTGGCACAATGAACTGACGACATGGTATAATGAAACAATGAGATTGAAGACATGACAATCAAGCAACTATGTGTCACAATGAACTGACGGCATGGTATAATGAAACAATGAGATTGACGACATGTCAAGAAGCATCAATGTGTCACAATGAACTGACGACATGGTATAAGAAGCAACGATATTGACGACATGACAATCAAGCAACGAGGTGTCACAATGAACTGACGACATGGTATAAGAAACAACGATATTGTCGACATGACAATCAAGCAACGAGGTGGCACATTGAACTGACGACATGGCATAATGAAACAATGAGATTGACGACATGACAATCAATCAACGAGGTGGCACAATGAACTGAATGCATGGTATAATGAAACAATGAGATTGATGACATGACAATCAAGCAACGAGGTGGCACAATGAACTGACGACATGGCATAATGAAACAATGAGATTGAAGACATGACAATCAAGCAACGAGGTGGCACAATGAACTGACGGCATGGTATAATGAAACAATGAGATTGAAGACATGACAATCAAGCAACGAGGTGGCACAATGAACTGACGACATGGCATAATGAAACAATGAGATTGACGACATGACAATCAAGCAACGAGGTGGCACAATGAACTAACGACATGGTATAATGAAACAATGAGATTGAAGACATGACAATCAAGCAACTATGTGTCACAATGAACTGACGGCATGGTATAATGAAACAATGAGATTGACGACATGTCAAGAAGCATCAATGTGTCACAATGAACTGACGACATGGTATAAGAAGCAACGATATTGACGACATGACAATCAAGCAACGAGGTGTCACAATGAACTGACGACATGGTATAAGAAACAACGATATTGTCGACATGACAATCAAGCAACGAGGTGGCACATTGAACTGACGACATGGCATAATGAAACAATGAGATTGACGACATGACAATCAAGCAACGAGGTGGCACAATGAACTGACGACGTAGTATAATGAAACAATGAGATTGACGACATGATAATCAAGCAACGAGGTGGCACAATGAACTGACGACATGGTATAATGAGACAATGTAGGACTGACGACATGACAAGAAGCATCAATGTGTCACAAATGAACTGAAGACATGGTATATAAACAACGATATTGACGACATGACAATCAAGCAACTAAGTGGCACAATGAACTGACGGCATGGTATAATGAAACAATGAGATTGACGACATGACAAGAAGCATCAATGTGTCACAATGAACTGACGACATGGTATAAGAAGCAACGATATTGACGACATGACAATCAAGCAACAAGGTGGCACAATGAACTGACGACATGGTATAATGAAACAATGAGATTGAAGACATGACAAAAAGCATCAATGTGGCACAATGAATTGACGACATGGTATAAGAAGCAACGATATTGACGACATGACAATCATGCAACGAGGTGGCACAATGAACTGACGACATGGCATAATGAAACAATGAGATTGACGACATGATAATCAAGCAACGAGGTGTCACAATAAACTGACGACATGGTATAATGAAGCTTCGTTCCATTTAACAAATGGTAAGAACAGTAATGACTGGACATCGTGTACTCGTTATGTACATTGTTGTGTGATAATGATTCCTGCATATGCTTGATATGAATATGTGTCTCTGTTTAAGGCTTACTACCGGAATATCCACGCCTCAAAGTACGTGACGAAAAGTTACTCAGGGAGCGACACCTACATTCAAGCAAGGCTTCGCACATTACAGCTGAAAGTATGACCCACTGCCGTTGTATGGCGTGTCATTAAGATTTACAAATAATTCAAACCCGGAGGATGTTCATAAGTGTGACACAGAGTTGTTTCCCTTGGCTGTGCCAAGATCTTGGTTCTTTGTTTCGAATATAAGGTTTCCGCGACTATAATTCTTTTGTCTACTGTGTATAAAATGAGTAAGAACTTGCTTTTTTACCTACATCAAAACCATTTTAAACAAATTACACTAACATATTCCTGCAATTCATGGTATATATTTTTGCTGGTCTATACTGTATTAAATATCACCCTGTTCACGGATATTGAGTTACGAAATTTGACTTGCATTTTAAATGATATATACCTTTTTACGCTACAGGCGGGTGACAACGGGGTGTTTGAAGTCAAGGCGACATCTCCTCCTGGAAACGTAGCATACCAGGTAAATATGACCTTCATACCAGGTTAATATAATCCTCAATGTCAGGTAAATAGGACCCTTCAAACAGATATATATGACCCTCCTTACCAAATATAATCCTCAATATCAGGTAAATATGACCCTTCATACCAGGTAAATATGACCCTTCATACCAGGTAAATATGACCCTTCATACCAGGTAAATATGACCCTTCATACCAGATAAATATGACCCTTCATACCAGGTAAATATGACCCTTCATACCAGGTAAATACCATTACTAGGTAAATGTGGTCATGTAAAACTGGGAGGTATATATTTGTCTGTCGCCAACGATAGAAGCATATCAGCAATGCCAAAAATACTTCCATATATGAATGAACCATGTCGTGTCATGCAAAAATTTCTTGAAAATGGTACTTCTTGTTACCCTGCCTAAAGTTAGACATGAAGGGATTGAAACAATGACAAGTCAGAACACTGTAGCTAAGTAGGGGATCCATGTTAATCTGCGAAATGGTATCTTAGTGGACAAGTGCTATAAAGCCAACTGAAGGTCGGATCAGCGTAAGGGGCGATGGGGGTAGCCTTGTGGTGAAATCGTTTGCTCGTTACGCCGAAGGTCAGGGTTTGATTCCCCACATGGGTACAATATAAAGCCCATTTCTGGTGTCCCCCGCCGTGATGATTGCTTGAATTTTGCTAAAAGCGGCGTAAGACCCAACTCACTCACTCACTCGGAACACCATAAGCAGCCACTCATACACATGCTAACGCAAGTCCCCGTGTAAGCGACATGATCTTAAATGCAACGTTAAACCCAATTCTAATTCACTTCAATATGCGGCTTTAACAAAAGATAATCAGGTGAACCAGAAATTTGAACTGAATAAGAACCCGGGTCTTCGGCGGAGGTGAAATAATACAAATGTGTCAATAATGGTTGTCATCCTCTCCCATCCCAACCCACCACATCCACTCCCCACACCCCCTCTCCAATAAAAATAATTGAAGGGGGTGACAACCATTATTGGCATGAGTATATATTGATGGTAATGCTCTGTAGACTGAATGCCGTTCTGATGCTCTGGTCCGTTGCAGATTATGTCACGTGGGATTGTGGTGAAGAGTGGAATAATAACTCCAAGCTCTCCCGGAGACACCACCCTCTCCCTCACCATCCCCGTCCTCAACACGATGTCTCCGACATCACACTTCCCTCGTTAATTACGTCACAGAAAGCGGGGAATCGTGGCCGACTCCATCAGCTTCAATGTGGACGGAGTTTTCGCCAACCATGTAAGACGATTGTTTGATCAATAATCAATTGTATTGTATTGAGGATATTGAAATTCTTGCATTCGTATTGGCTTATCTGGTCACGTGTTGTTGCATTTACCAATTTCCCGTCATACAAATTGTTTAGCACAGATCAGGGTTTTGATCCAAAATGCGATCTTAGTCCCACGAATATCGCAATTAATATCGAACGACTAAACTTTTAACATAAATCTAATTTTCTTCATCGCTTTGTTGAAATATCATCGTATAGTCCTAGGAACTAAATTGAGATTGATCAGATTGCACTGAATGTATGACAAGCCCATGTCGCACTGCTTCGTGATCAGACGAATTCAATAAAGAGATGACAGTTCTACGACTAGCCTACGTGACACTGCTTCGTGGGGTACCATCAGACGAAGTTCAATAAAGAGATGACAGTGCTAAGACTAGCCTATGTGACACTGCTTCGTGGGGTACCATCAGACGAAGTTCAATAAAGAGATGACAGTGCTACGACTAGCCTATGTGACACTGCTTCGTGGGGTACCATCAGACGAAGTTCAATAAAGAAATCGTAGTGCTACGACTAGCCTGTTTGACACTGCTTCGTGGGTTACCATCAGACGAAGTTCAATAAAGAGATGACAGTGCTACGACTAGCCTACGTGACACTGCTTCGTGGGGTACCATCAGACGAAGTTCAATAAAGAGATGACAGTGCTACGACTAGCCTGCGTGACACTGCTTCGTGGGGTACCATCAGACGAAGTCAATTCTAATTTGAGACTCATGGTTAGATGCAGTTCAGTAGTATCATAAGTCATATAATAGGTTCGGGACTAATTTTCATTTCAGCAAACATACTACGGTAACAATCCTACCGTTACTGTGCGGAGAGTGAGAAAAATTTGAACATTTCATGGATGCTTCAAGCATATGCTAACACGACACACTTACCTTTTCGGTATTATAGTTGCGTATCCATTTGTAGGTTGGTATCGAGTACAGCGCGGACACTGCAAAGCCCCACACGGAAGTGTCAGTCGACGTCACAGCGGATCCAGAATCAACAGCCTTCCTCTTGGCCGTGGACCAAAGTGTCCTGCTGCTCAAAACCGGAAATGACATCTCTACAGAACAGGTAACTTGTCTCGGCATACATGGGCATTGAATCCACTCGGGTCCATTCAGCTTGTACCGTTACATATAATTCCTGGGGCAACATCCTTAACATATAATTCCTCAGCACCATCCTCTAACACCACCTCGATCTCCACCATCTCTACCTCATCCTCTCCCGTTGTGAACCACCAGTACCACCACCTCTCCCCTCCTCCCCAACCTCAACCGCATCCTCCCGCTGGTCAGAGGTATAACGAGGATGCTCAAACCGTGTGATGCAAAATCCTTAACATGCTGCTCGTATTAATGGCGGCAGCATTTGTAGAAATATTATTCAGTGTTTTACAAAACTTAGGTCCATGCTTTGATTGCTCTGCACAGTCATAGACGGTTGAAAGTCAAGTGCACGAAATTACTTCTAGGAAGCGTCCATGCGAGTATCTTTTATCTTCATTGAATTTTAATTATCCTTTCATATACTATTCACGCTGTGGATAACATAGACTTATTGTTCTCTGGTCTCAATATGATATGTTTTACTGGAATACCGACGGTGTAAATGCAACATGTAAATGTTTAATGTGCATTGATTGAATAAAACACATCAATGACATGTATAAGTATTTTTTTAGCTATCTCAATAATGTTTTTCATGTTTGATAACCAGGTGATGAAGGAACTTAAGAAGTACGATTATAGCGCACCAAGCGATGACTTCTTGAAATGGCATTTCCCGGTTCCATCGTCGGGCACAAATGCAAAAGAAATTTTCCAGGTGAGATCAAGGGTATCCTGGGTAGAGTCATGTAGCCAGTACCCAGGTAGTGTCAGTACCTTGGAACTACGGTTCATGGGGACTCGTTTGTAGCATCCACTCCGAATATCTAAAAAATATCAATTAGATTATAAAAAGTTCTTTCGCCGGAAAATGTAAAAGATGCATGATGTTTTTACCCAGAACAATCCATACCATTCTCTTCCCACGTAAGGTTACTCAAGTCATATCTTCCCACGTAACCTTACGTGGGAATATATGACTTGAGTAACCTTTACGGGAATATATGACTTGAGTAACCTTACGTGGGAATATATGACTTGAGTAACCTTACGTGGGAATATATGACTTGAGTAACCTTACGTGGGAATATATGACTTGAGTAACCTTACGTGGGAATATATGACTTGAGTAACCTTACGTGGGAATATATGACTTGAGTAACCTTACGTGGGAATATATGACTTGAGTAACCTTACGTGGGAATATATGTCTTGAGTAACCTTACGTGGGAATATATGACTTGAGCAACCTTACGTGGGAATATATGACTTGAGCAACCTCTGTGGGAATATATGACTTGAGTAACCTCTGTGGGATATATGACTTGAGCAACCTCTGTGGGAATATATGTCTTGAGTAACCTCTGTGGGAATATATGACTTGAGCAACCTCTGTGGGAACATATGTCTTGAGCAACCTTACGTGGGAATATATGACTTGAGTAACCTCAGTGGGAATATATGACTTGAGCAACCTCTGTGGGAATATATGTCTTGAACAACCTCTGTGGGAATATATGACTTGAGTAACCTCTGTGGGAATATATGACTTGAGCAACCTCTGTGGGAACATATGTCTTGAGCAACCTTACGTGGGAATATATGACTTGAGTAACCTCAGTGGGAATATATGACTTGAGCAACCTCTGTGGGAATATATGTCTTGAACAACCTCTGTGGGAATATATGACTTGAGTAACCTCTGTGGGAATATATGACTTGAGTAACCTCTGTGGGAAGAGAATGGATCCATATGGGCTGATTAGTTAATTAGTCTGTTGAAGTAAACATTTGCCGGAGTTTACAGGATGGATTGTTTGCCTTCAGTGTTCGAAATGGCAATATAAAAACAAGGACATTTGGCCAAGAAGTTTAACATAAACATCAAGTATAATTGTATCGTTCGACGACAGTCAATAACCAGTCCCCTTCCACTGATTGAACCATCTGAGTTTCCCTTTACACCAAACGGAATTTGTCTCTGAGGATAGTGAAGGCTGGTTATTCCTTTACACTGACACTATGTTTCACATACCGGAGACTAGTGAGACGTTGTCTGCCCTATATCTAGGCCTATGCATAGATTCAGAGCAAAAAACCATTCCCACAAGACTGTATGACAATATGGGTGGCTACAAATTCCAAATAGTCAACTTACCTTTATGTGTAGCAATGTTCAAGCAGCTCCATCCTTTCGTGCCAATATTCACAACCCGAGAGATACATTCATACCCTTTCTAACAGAAGTTCGAAAAATTCAAAAACTGTTTGATCACCGTCAAAACATACAAATCACCAGTAAACCTATCACAATGATGTAGTGATATATACATATGCTCATATACCAGTGAAGGTCCAGATCAGAATTGATCTTCAGTAACCCATGCTTGTCGTAAGAGGCGACTAATGGGAACAGGTGGTCAGACTCGCTGACTTGGGTGACACATGTCATCGTATCCCAATTGCGTAGATCGATGCTCATGGTGTTAATACTAATATTTTAATGGATTGTCTTGTCCAGTCTTGATTATTTACCGACCGCCGCCATATAGCTGTAATATTGCTGAGTGTGGCGTTAAACAACCAACCAAACAAACAAACAACCTTTCGTAGTGATAAGATGACGTATTATATGTTCTGTCCACCTGTTGTTTAGATACATGGTCGCAAAGATACAAACATACATACTTTGGTGTTATGCATATGTCGTGTCCCCTATACTCTGACGGTGTAGCTATGTTTCACCACTCTCCTACCCAGAGTTCCGTGCGGCAAGCCAGCATAGTACCTCTGCCACAGGCCAGAAAAATGTGACGATTCGTCACATCTTGCAATGTCCATTCAATATAATGTACAGATTTCTTTTACTCTTTTATTTTTGACGAGTCTACACATCTAACTAAACATCTTTAATAGAATGGTTTAGTTTCACTGAGAAAATATCCAAAAACATGTAACACTATTTCGATTTGCGTAGCGATTCTTTGTTTACATAGGTTGTACGGCTCCACGTGCTGTCATCGAAGCTGATGGAGAGCAAACGATGCAGCCAGTTTGATATCTAAATATGTACTGTCATAGACCTTACTGTCGCAGTTGTGGAAGAATAGATATGTAACAATGTAAAACGTTATGAAGAGGGCGCCGAAAAGCTTCCGTGAGTCCAGTCTCTTCTTATTATGAATATGCGCGTTTGTTTACAAACAAGAGAAAAGTCCGGTCACGTGATATGCAAATTAGCCTGTGGCAGTGATGTTATATTAGTCATCGCTGTGCCGGAGTTTGATGTTTTACCTGTAAACTACGATGTTGCAGAGAGCTGGAATCCTTGTCATCACTGATGCGCAACTGCCCAGTGGAGAACGTATTGCGTATGGTAGAAGTTATGATCATTATTCATTTGGGTCTGGACCTCGGGGTGAGTGAGTGTTTTGTGGAGTCATTATCGTCATTGAGTTTTTACTTGAAGAAGTTTCAAGTGTGAAACGCGAATTGAAACTCTAACCTAGAACTCCGCACGTGCACAATTTTTTTTGTTAAATCATTAAATTATCATACCAGATTGAATGAAATGAAAATTTGTATAAGATGAATAGTACTGACTGACTGAGTTTGGTTTTACGCCGCTTTAAGCAATATTCCAGCAACATCACGGCGGGAGACACCAGAAATGGGCTTCACACATTGTACCCAAGTGGGGATTCGAACCCGGGTCTTCGGCGTGACGAGCCAACGCTTTAACCACTAGGCTACCCCACCGCCCAGATGAATAGTAACACCGATGAAACGTAGTATGAAATGAATAGTAACACTGCATGAAAGGTTGTAAAAGTGTTAGTTATAACACTTAATTAAAAAGTTGTATAAGATGAATGGTAACAACGCGTGAAAAGTTTGCATAAGATGAATATTAATACTGGATGAAAGGTTGTAAAAAATGGCCAGTGACACTGGATGAAAGCTTGTATAAGATGAATAATATCACTGGATGATAGGTTGTATGAGATGAATAATATCACTGGATGATAGGTTGTATGAGATGAATAATATCACTGGATGATAGGTTGTATGAGATGAATAATATTACTGGATGAAAGGTTGTATAAGATGAATAATATCACTGGATGATAGGTTGTATGAGATGAATAATATCACTGGATGAAAGGTTGTATGAGATGAATAATATTACTGCATGATAGGTTGTATGAGATGAATAATATTACTGGATGAAAGGTTGTATAAGATGAATAATATCACTGCATGATAGGTTGTATGAGATGAATAATATCACTGGATGATAGGTTGTATGAGATGAATAATATCACTGGATGATAGGTTGTATGACATGAAGAGTATCACCGGATGAAAGGTTGTATAAAATGAAAAGTAACATCGAAAGAAAGGTTGTATATGATGAAAAGTAGCACTTTATGAAGGTAACATAAGATTATCATGAATAGCAATTTAGAGTGGATGAAAGCTTTGATATCATTAATAGTATTTCATACTTATTGAATGGTTACATGAAATGAATAGTAACACTCACTGTAAATGACATTTTGATGAAAATAATCATTTAGTTAACAGTGCTATTTGAAGTATGATAACATAAGAGAACAGTACCAACAAACAAATAGTAACACTGAAACTGTTGTTTTTACAGGTGCACCAGCGCAGTTTGACAGTAGCCCTTCTCTTGCCCGTGCAAGCCCACGTAGAGTCACTGAATCGGCGCAGGCCTCTCCCCTGAAGAAAGTAGAAAGAGTAAGAGAGATCTTCCCGGAGACGTGGCTCTGGGTGAATACCACAATCGGGTGAGTGGACCCGTGAAGATCCGGGTTAGAATTGGTCTTCAGCAACCCGTGCATGTTGTAAAAGGGACTGACGGTATCGGGTGGTCAGGCTCACTGACTTGGTTGACACATGTCATCGTATCCCATTTGTGTAGATCCTCATGCTGTTGGTCATTGGAGTGTCTGGTCCTGACTCGATTATTCAAAGACCACCGCCATATAGCTGGAAATTTCCGAGTGTGGCGTTTAACAACAAACAAACCTTTCACTGTGAGAACATGACCAGAGTAGATTTTATCTGGACGGCATCGGACATTACACCCGCTATTTGGGGATTTTAGTGTAGAGAGTGCTTGATCTCGAGAAGAGGTAGCTAGGCTGGGATTTCAAGAGACCATAAGACTTGGCATCGTTTAAAGAATCTAGTGATTGTTCCAAAGATTGTCTGACGCGTTATGTAGTGTTTGTTGTGTTGTGATACAGACAGGACGGCCGGGCATCGATCCAGACCACTGTACCGGACACTATTACATCGTGGGTGGCCAGTGCTTTCGCCATCAGCCCCCGCTCAGGACTCGGAGTATCGCCAACCTCCGCTAAGGTAACCGTAGAGCCATTGATCATAACTTATAGAACTAACTTTCTACGTATCTCCCTATAGATTGTATACTGTAGGTGGACGTCCGTCTTCTGCAAACTCTTTTGCTCTAGTTTTTCATGACATTTATTATATAAATATATATAAAAAATCACCGAAACGGTATGCTGCCTAATATATGAGACTTTGTACCGCAATGACATGATATCTGTACTCTATGGATTTAAACATGGATTCTTTCTAACGCGTTTACACTTCACCCATAACATAATTGTGTTAACAGGCCTTATGTGTAGACTTGTGAATAAAGTATTCTGTGCGAAACATCGTAACGTCCAAAACCTGTGAAGATCAGGGTTAGAATCGGTCACCAGCAACCCATGCTTGTCCTAAGAGGCGACTAACGTTTGTTCAGACTCGCTGACTTGGTTGACACCAATGTCATGGTATCCCAATTGTGTAGATGCTCATGCTGTTGATCACTGGATTGTCTGGTCCAGACTCGATAATTCACAGACTGCCGCCATATAACTGTAATATTGCTGAGTGCGGCGTTAAACAACTACCAATCAACCAATCAATCAATCAATCAATCTTGACGTCCCCTGTCCACATATACTAAACGGCCTAGGATCATTCTTCTTCGCCAACTTTTGGATTCCTGTTTCACAGCTCCGCGTGTTCCGGTCGTTCTTCGTCAGTCTGAACCTGCCGCAATCCGTGGTGCGTGGGGAACAGGTGGTCGTTCAGGCCAGCGTCTTCAACTACCTGACCACAGTGCAAGATGTAGGCTGTCTTCATGTATAACAGATTATCATATCACTCTTCGAACGTTTTTAATGCGTCTAGTGGTTTAGCCGAAGGCCCGAGTTCGATTCCCCATATTGGTACAACATGAGAACCCATTTCTGGTGTACTCCGCCGTGATATTGCTGGAATTTTGCAAAAAGCGGCGTAAAACTAAACTCACTGTGTCGAACAATTTGCTTTCGACTGAGGAAGCCCAGTTGTTAAAGTTTTCCCGACATGAGTTAAGTATGTGTAGCCTATTTCTTGGTTACAAAGCTAAACATGATATTTGTATTTCGGTTTACGTAATGGAATTTTCATGTGAAAGAAATCTTGAAATTCAGTCAGTCAAATTCATCACAAATAATTAATGAAGCTCAAGAAAACTAAAACCCCAAACCAGGTCTTACTGGGAACGTAGGACCTTCCTATGTATGCTATACTTGCTCCGAGTCCAATATTTGCTAATCCGTGAAGATCTGGATTAGAATTATCATCAACAACCCATGCTTGTCGGTAAGAGGCGACTAACGGGATCAGGTAGTCAAGCTCGCTGACTTTCTTGACACATGTCATCGTATCCCAATTGAAAAGATCGATGCTCATGTTGTTGATCACTGGATTGTCTAGTACAGACTCGATTATTTACAGACCACCGCCATGTAGCTGGAATATGGCTGTGGTGTTAAATAACAAACAAACACACAAAACATATTCGATGTAGATTTTGTTTGGATTTTAGAAGGCTTCACGAGACAGATTCCCGATTCCCAATTTGAATAAATGCACCTAAATATGAGAGAACAGTAACACTATTATATTTATACTCCTTCCATAGGTAACCGTTACACTTAAGCCCAACAGCGGTTTCCAAAGTGTCGTTATTGGTTCTGACGGTGAAGAAACATTTAACTCTGACCTCCAACGCCAGAGGTATCTTGTACGCCCTGGTGAAGCCAAGGCTGTGTACTTTCCAATAACTGCCTCAGTCATTGGTGATGTCGACATTGAGGTCTCCGCTCAGACCGGAACAGCAGCTGACGCCGTGAAGAGGCAACTAAGAGTAAAGGTTAGTGAATCAAGGACAGAGCAAATCAGATTGACAACCGTGAATATGTGCTTTTTTAAGCAAAATTATATTGTAAAATACATTATTAACACACTGTGTTGCAGTTTGATACATAACCATCCAAGAATAAGGTATCAATCGGAATTGTCTCAAACTTAACGTCTTTGAACGGCATTTAGAAATGATAACATAAAGGCGAGAATTTATGGATGTTCAGAACACGACTTTCGGAGTTAGCATATTCTTTGAAACGTCCTGTTCCTCAAATAAATCAGGTCTTGCTGTGGAAATACGACCTTCCTATTGTGTACTATACTTGCTCCGAGTCCAATACTTGCTAACCTATGAAGATCCGGGTTAGAATTGATCATCAACAACCCATGCTTGTCGATAAGAGGCGACTAACGGGATAGGGTAGTCAGGGTCGTTGACTTGGTAAGCATATTCTCTGAATTGTCCTGTTCCTCAAATAAAAAAGTTGACATTCATACATTCTGTCCTTAACGGTTCATATTGGTTCTCAATAACACGGGTCATGTTTCTGTCATGTGCAGATATAGGTCCTCTAGCACGATCAAATGCAGCACAAGGATAAAAGGAAAACAATATCAGTCTTTCAATCTTCCAAAGAACATAAACCACGAACAAAATGACCCAAGGCTCTTTTCAGTATATTGTATAAATATATTTATCCACGTCGCTGGAGAATCAACTATGCTCACATTGAATCATTACAAGTGTCATCATTTAGCCTGTTTTGCACATATTAGATATTTAATCACATGGGAGAATGTCCTCTTCTGAATCCAAAGGATGAAACCAGATAACTGTTACAATGCTCACATTGAATCATTACAAGTGTCATAATTTAGCCTGTTTTGCACATATTAGGTATTTAATCACATGGGAGAATGTCCTTTTCTGAATCCAAAAGATGAAACCAGATAACTGTTACAATGATTATTTTGTATTCTTTGATTGATAACGTTTTTTGTTTGTTTGTTGACATAGATCGGATTACAAATAATCTTTTGTCTTCTTTTGGTGGCATTTAGAAGCTGGTATGATGAACAGGAAGGCTTTTTTTTATCTACATAGAACGACTTTATAGCAATGGATACGACGTTTCGGTGTAGATGCTAATACCGTTATCAAGCAAGTGATTGAGTGATAATGGTGTCAGCATCTACACCGAGACGCCGCATCCATTGCAATAAAGAAGTTGTCTATCCATGAAAAATGTTCCTGATCATAAATATTCTTAGCAACACATACTGATTATCATGCTACGATACCGAAATCGCCGAACCTAGAAATGTCGATAATCGATAATCATTGGCAACTAGGGATCAATTAACTAACGATCCAGTAGCTCAAAAAAGGGCACTGACCTTTCAGCTAGAATTATGACTAAACATCACTGAGGAAAATGACAAAATCGCTTCCTAAAACACCATTTATGGTAAGAAGTGACCAACGGAATGTGTGTGTGTGTGTGTGTGTGTGTGTGTCAGGCTCACATGTCATCGTATCACAGTTGCGTAGATTGATGCTTATGCTGTTGATCACTGGATTGTCTGGTCCAGACTGGATTATTTACAGACCTTGTAACAGATATATTGATGCGCGGCGTTAACCAACAAGCCAGCCAACCAAACCAACCTATCGTAATGCTAAGAGTACGTGTCATGTGTTCTGTCCACCTGTTGTCTAAGTATATAGTGTCCCCTATACTGTCGTCTTATGCATATGTTGCATAGGTTCAACAACAAATAGAATAGGATACCAATTATTCCTGTCAGATTACTTTCGCAACCTCAGACAATACAATCTTCAATTGTTCACATTTCCTTCGTAAAGGCAGAAGGAATACGCAAAGAACTGAACACCCCCATTCTCGTTGACCTGACAACAGAGGGTAGCTTCTCAACGCAGTTGAATGTTTCCTCTCCATCTGGACTTGTTTCGGGGTCAGAAAGAGTTCGTCTCACAGTCACTGGTGAGTTCATATTCACATAGTCGTGACAGTTATTTATGTAGCTGGCTGCTTTGTAATATGTGATTGGTAGCACATAATTCCTGGATTGTCTTTAGGGCTGGGACTGCTAACCCGGATACCCGGGACGAGTAGGTAATGAGTTGCACCCGGGTACCCGTCTCAATACCCGGACCCGTTATGATCATGTGACTAATAGATTAAACAATGGAATATGTTATTCTTTCATGGTTAAAAGGTTGTATTGTCTTTGAAGATTTAGACAGAATTACAGTCACTTCTTTTGAATATAATACATAGTTAAGATATTGAAAAAACTCGAAATTTTAGCCTCCGAATAATATATTGCCATTTCTTACAAATTTGATGTCCGGAATTAACATAACGGGTATCCGGGTAGGGTAGGGCAATAGGGGATGGGGTACCCGGGTGGAAAATTTGGACCCGTCCCAGCCCTAATTGTCTTAATGAGGTTGACATGATGATGTTAACTTATTTGACACCAATATCACTGTCCATTGTAGGTGACCTGCTTGGCCCAAGCCTTGATGGGATGGAAAACCTCCTGTCCCTGCCTACTGGATGTGGGGAACAGAACATGTTGAAGTTTGCTCCCAATATCTACATCGCCAACTACCTGATGGCTACCAAGCAGATGACAAGGGCATTGGAGGAGAGGACCAAGTCCTTCCTGGAAGTTGGTGAGTGGCATGATGGTGGATTAAAAACATTGGTGAGTGACATGCATGACAGTGAAGTCAATTTGTGTCATGATGACGGACTGTGTCAGAATAGTGAGTGTTGTGATGGGGGACTAGTGTCAGAAGATAGTGGGTGTCATGATGAGGGACTATTGTCAGAAGATAGTGAGTGTCATGATGAGGGACTATTGTCAGAAGATAGTGAGTGTCATGATGAGGGACTATTGTCAGAGGATAGTGAGTGTCATGAGGGACTTTTGTCAGAAGATAGTGAGTGTCGTGATGAGTGACTATTGTCAGAGGGTAGTGGGTGTCACGAGGGACGTTTGTCAGAGGAAAGTGGGTGCCATGAGGGACTATTGTCAGAGGATAGCGGGTGTCATGATGAGGGACTATTGTCAGAGGATAGTGAGTGTCTTGATGAGGGACTATTGTCAGAAGATAGTGAGTGTCATGATGAGGGACTATTGTCAGAGGATAGTGAGTGTCATGAGGGACTTTTGTCAGAAGATAGTGAGTGTCATGATGAGGGACTATTGTCAGAGGATAGTGAGTATCATGATAAGGGACTATTGTCAGAGGATAGTGAGTGTCTTGATGAGTGACTATTGTCAGAGGATAGTGAGTGTCACGATGAGGGACAAGTGTCAGAAGATAGTGAGCATCATGATGAGGGACTATTGTCAGAAGATAGTGAGTGTCGTGATGAGGGACTAGTGTCAGAAGATAGTGAGTGTCATGATGAGGGACAAGTGTCAGAGGATAGTGAGTGTCGTGATGAGTGACTATTGTCAGAGGAAAGTGTGTGTCATGAGGGACTATTGTCAGAAGATAGCGGGTGTCATGATGAGGGACTATTGTCAGAAGATAGTGAGTGTCGTGATGAGGGACGTTTGTCAGAAGATAGTGAGTGTCATGAAGAGGGACTCTTGTCAGAGGATAGTGAGTGTCATGATGAGGGACTCTTGTCAGAAGATAGTGAGTGTCGTGATGAGGGACTAGTGTCAGAAGATAGTGAGTGTCATGATGAGGGACTATTGTCAGAGGATAGTGAGTGTTACGATGAGGGACTCTTGTCAGAGGATAGTGGGCGTCATGAGGGACTTTTGTAAGAAGATAGTGGATGTCATGAAGAGGGACTATTGTCAGAGGATAGTGAGTGTCTTGATGAGGTACTATTGTCAGAAGATAGTGAGCATCATGATGAGGGACTATTGTCAGAAGATAGTGAGTGTCATGAAGAGGGACTATTGTCAGAAGATAGTGAGTGTCGTGATGAGGGACTATTATCAGAAGATAGTAAGTGTCATGATGAGGGACTATTGTCAGAAGATAGTGAGTGTCATGATGAGGGACTATTGTCAGAAGATAGTGAGTGTCGTGATGAGGGACTAGTGTCAGAAGATAGTGAGTGTCATGAGGGACTTTTGTCAGAAGATAGTGGATGTCATGATGAGGGACTATTGTCAGAGGATAGTGAGTGCACGAGGGATATTGTCAGAAGACGTCATGAGTATTGTCAGAAGATAGGGACAAGTGTCAGAAAATAGAGGATTTCATGATGAGGGACTATTGTCAGAGGATAGTGAGCATCATGATGAGGGACTAGTGTCAGAAGATAGTGAGTGTCATGATGAGGGACAAGTGTCAGAGGATAGTGAGTGTCGTGATGAGTGACTATTGTCAGAGGAAAGTGTGTGTCATGAGGGACTATTGTCAGAAGATAGCGGGTGTCATGATGAGGGACTATTGTCAGAAGATAGTGAGTGTCGTGATGAGGGACGTTTGTCAGAAGATAGTGAGTGTCATGATGAGGGACTCTTGTCAGAGGATAGTGAGTGTCATGATGAGGGACTATTGTCAGAAGATAGCGAGTGTCGTGATGAGGGACTAGTGTCAGAATGAGGGACTATTATCAGAAGATAGTGAGTGTCATGATGGGGGACTCTTGTCAGAAGATAGTGGGTGTCATGATGAGGGACTATTGTCAGAGGATAGTGAGTGTCATGATGAGGGAATAGTGTCAGAAGATAGTGAGTGTCGTGATGAGTGACTATTGTCTGAGGGTAGTGGGTGTCATGAGGGACTATTGTCAGAAGATAGTGAGTGTCATGATGAGGGACTATTGTCAGAGGATAGTGAGTGTCATGATGAGGGACTATTGTCAGAGGATAGTGGGTGTCTTGATGAGGAACTATTGTCAGAAGATAGTGAGCATCATGATGACGGACACGTGTCAGAGGATAGTGAGCATCATGATGAGGGACTATTGTCAGAAGATAGTGAGTGTCATGATGAGGGACTCTTGTCAGAAGATAGTGAGTGTCGTGATGAGGGACTAGTGTCAGAAGATAGTGATTGTCATGATAAGGGGCTATTGTCAGAGGATAGTGGGTGTCATGAGGGACTTTTGTCAGAAGAGAGTGAGTGTCATGATGAGGGACAAGTGTCAGAGGATAGTGAGTTTCGTGATGAGGGACTAGTGTCAGAGGAAAGTGGGTGCCATGAGGGACTATTGTCAGAAGATAGCGGGTGTCATGATGAGGGACTATTGCCAGAAGATAGTGAGTGTCGTAATGAGGGACTAGTGTCAGAAGATAGTGAGTGTCATGATGAGGGACTATTGTCAGAAGATAGTGAGTGTCATGATTTGGGACTCTTGTCAGAAGATAGTGAATTTCGTGATGAGGGACGTTTGTCAGAAGATAGTGAGTGTCATGATGAGGGACTCTTGTCAGAAGAGAGTGAGTGTCATGATGAGGGACAAGTGTCAGAAGATAGTGATTGTCATGAGGTACTATTGTCAGAGGATAGTGGTGTCATGATGAGTGACTATTGTCAGAGGATAGTGGGTGTCATGATGATGGACAAGTGTCAGAGGATAGTGAGTGTCATGATGAGGGACTATTGTCAGAGGATAGTGGTGTCATGATGAGAGATTATTGTCAGAATATAGTGAGTGTCATGAGGGACAAGTGGCAGAAGATAGTGAGTGTCATGATGAGGGACAAGTGTCAGGAGATAGTGGGTGTCATGAGGGACAAGTGTCAAAAGATAGTGAGTGTCATGATGAGGGACTATTGTCAGAAACTATGGTACGGTGAGGGTTAAAGTCACAAAGGTTTGAAGGACCCGATGATAGACTACATATACAGTCAGAGGTTCGTGAGTATCATTATGATGAACTGAAATCAGAAAGTTGCTGTGTGCATGGTGAGGGCCTGGATCCAGGAAATGTACCCATGTACACGTCAAATCCAATCAAAACTGCCCTAGGGAGCACATTGATGTCTTTGAATTTATCTCAGTATAAAGGAAAGGAAGCTTTGCTTGCTTCATGCATATTGACATACACCATAAGTCAATGAACTGAAAACAACAAGTAGGCATGTGTCCTCAGTCACATCGCAGCAGTTAACATGAAAAGGACCTTTTCTCCTCAGGCTACCAGCGTCAGCTGTCCTACCAGAGAAATGACGGGTCCTTCAGTACTTTTGGGGAGCGCGACGAGGCAGGAAGTGTATGGTATGTGAATGATATGATTACGCTTTTACCGAGTTCGCGCAGCATACTATGACAGACCGGAGCGGCCTCAAATACAAATGTTAAATGTCTGATCTCGGCATTTTCATCCTGTCTAAGGGAATAGGGTCTTTGTTGTACGGTAATTGAATTTTTAACATTGCTATAAGAAATGTTGTGGATAATTTTGACAAGTTTTGAGTCTTTTCCTTTTACCGATTATACCGAATAGTTGTGCCAGCTAGGTTTATAGACTTGGAGGTTAACAGTTATAGTCATAGAAAGCCTAATGGGTCTCCATTGAATCAGTGTTGAGGTGATGTGAAGTGAAATTGTGCTTAATGCAACATACAAACATGGGGTCCTTGTTGTAGGGGTCCCTGCAGGCATTACGAGGGTACTGTGAAGTAAAGATGTAGAGAACTGTATGTTTTGATAACTTCTTTTGAGCCTGGGAAGAAGTGATCATGTGTACTGATGGATGAAACGGTGCATGTAACTCGGTGTGCGAAATAGTTTCCAAATATTGCTAGCCGGTCGGGCTAGCTATGCCTGAAAGTTCCTAGCCCACAAAATAATTCACTAGTCCGAAATTTGAATGTAGACATGGTTTCATCGTTAAGCTGCTGATATGATGAACAATCTTATCAGACCATAATCGTGCATGATTTAAAAGTATTGTATCAAGTTGGAGAGAGTGATATATTTACGAAATGACCTCATGAAAATTCACTAGCCAGTTGGGCCAGTGACTGTGGACAGTGTTGTTGAATTTTACTAGCCACGGGCTAGCGGGCCAGTGACTATTTCGCACACTGCTGTCATGTCAATTTGAGACATTGATAACAATACCTGTATTTGTGGGGATTTTCAGGCTCACCTCTTTCGTAGTGAAGTCGTTTTATCAGGCTCGTCGATACATCTATGTGGACAACTCTACCATAGACAAAGCCTTGAGCTTTCTCGCAAGCATGCAAAGGAGTGATGGTTCTTTCGTCGAGCCGGGCAGACTTATTGACAAACAGCTGCAGGTAAGAAACTATCATATCAGTTAGGTGGACAAAGGAATTTGAAACAAATGTGTGTGCGTGCGTGCGTGCGTGCGTGCGTGCGTGAATGAGTGAGGCGCATTATTGTCATTAATGTTGGGGGATGGTGTCAATTATCTCCGCGTATTCGCCGTTCAGGTCATTTTAGTAATGTCTACAAGGGTACAGTATTGACCTGACGCTTCTGTGATGCTGGTATGCCTAAGTTATGGACCTCTGCTCATCAAATTCTAGCATCTCATATGACATATCAAACCGTACCTTTTCACGATAATACCCATGATATCCGGGTTAGAATTGGTCTTCAGCAACCCATGCTTGTCGTAAGAGGCGACTAACGGGATCGGTTGATCAGGCTCGCTGACTTGGTTGACATGTCATCATAACCCAGTTAAGTAGATCTATGCGCATGCTCTTGGTCATTGGATTGTCTGGTCCAGACTCGATTATTTACAGGCCGCCGCCATATAGCTGGTATATTGCTCAGTGCGGCGTTAAACAACAAACCAACCAACCTTTCACGATAATGAAGTTGACATGAAATAGAATGACTATTGTCACTGGTTGTTCATTCCCTGTTTCCATATTTCTCGCTAATCTAGGACCGTCAACGACAAACGGAGCTACACAAATGTCAAATGATAGATGTAGACAGACTAACAAGAGACATTGTAGAACTATAACAGGGAGTTGTAAATAAACGTCATTTCTTAAATTTACTTGTAAGAAGAAGCAAAGATTGCTTTAAATTTATGCAGGAGTGGCATGCTGAACTCCAAAATATTCCTTGTACGTTTACTTATTCCCTGTTTAAAGTGAGTAAGTGAGTGAGTTAAAATTTAACGTCACATCGGCAATATTTCAGCCATATCGTGACGAGAACAATTAATCTTATGCCCCTGTTAAAGAAAATTTCAAATGTGAACCATACGTACGCTATTATCAATATTAAGAAAGTAAGAATAGCCTTATCACAGTTTTGTTCTGTTTTATTATGATTTAAGTTGTTATAAGGGAAAATTTCATAAGATATCTACTGTATGCAAAATAAATTCAGTTCTGAATAAAGATTGATTGATTGATTGTAGAACACTAATAGTATTGAACGAATTCGTTTGCAGGGTACCAAAGGCTCCGGACCCAGTCTTACTGCGTACGTACTCATTGCCCTGGTTGAGACCTCAGGACACAATGGTTCACGGGTGAGATGCCTTTCTTCGAAAGTTCAAAACCATATACTCTATTGGCGTACATACTCTAACTCTGTACAACGAACAAATCAATGAATAAAACTACCCCGTATTGACATAATAAGCAATGGGGATAGTTTTGGATAGACAACTTACAATATATGCTTGCGATGGTTCTGAATTCTCTTGCGGACAAGGAGACTAGATGCTTTCTCGAGGATGTTGTCAGATCCTGATGTGTTGACAGGGCTTCTTAATCTTGTCCCTTAATAATGTATAACCGAAGAAATATAACCATTGTTCGACACTGCAATTCTAAATGCCACTCAAAACAGTTTTTGCCATAATATACGCCGAAATAAACTGACGGGTGTATCAGAACCAAACAATTATTGCAGGCTCAAGGTTGTTTGATTTCTATAAGGCACGAGTGCAGTTGCACGAAATGGTAGCCACAATATTGCTAGGGGGCTTCTCTTCTTCAGCAACATATTGCACTACTCGTAAAAGTTGAGGGAAAATGGTAACAAAAGCAATTATTGTATTGTTGGTTTCGGAAGCTGTTGTTATGGGGTCGCCAGTATTTATCATCCAAAACTGTGTTCCACAGGAGATATTGCTTGTGTGAGATCAAACGATATCTCCTAGGAGATATCGTTTTGACAGTAGATTTTGAACAATGCCCTAACAATGCTATGACGTCATGAACTTGATGACGTCACAATGCTATGACATTGCTGCACTGCAAGTCTAATGGCAGTAATGTGTTCAGAGATGTACATTTTTCATTGAAAACTAAAGAAGAGTGATTTTTTTATGATAAATAGAATCTCACCCTCGTGTCTTCTGATATCAAATATATCAGCACTCGTTGATAAAAGTTAAAATATCCTCGGCAAGTCTCGGATATTTGTAGCTTTATCAACTCGTGTTGATATAATTGATATCAGTCCCTCATAAGATTCTCTATATGTCTGGGATATTATAGCAAGCTGAACAATCTCGAATGATAGAGGGGCGGTGGGGTAGCCCAGTGGTTAAAACGTTCGCTCGTCACCCTAAGGCCCGGGTTCGATTCCCCACATGGGTATAATGTATGAACCCCATTTCTGGTGTCCCCCGCCGTGATATTGCTTGAATATTGCTGAAGGTACGTGTGTAAAACCACACTCACTCTGATGATAGAACATGTACAGGTTGCCCTTTAGCAATGGTGTACAGTTTTTTGAGTATTTTGGGGACGCAGGTCAACAGCTCACGTCTCGACGACATGCAACAGAAAGCTGTAGCGTATCTGGAGAGGCAACCGTTCAAGCACCTAGCCCCATACCCACTGGCTGTCAGCACCTACGCCTTGGCCAAAGCCGGGAACAGGTTATTCGGGAGAGCCTTCTCTCAGCTCAAGAAAACGATGAATAACAAGGGTGAGCTTCCGCTTCCACTTGGCTCCTAAGAGTCTTCGTGACTAGCCTATTACTTTTTCCAGCAATGGTTACACAGGTATATATCATTTTTACTTGATAATGATCTATTTCGTGCTCGAAACATTTGTCATCGTGTGCCAAGCATCTTACTGAATTGATTTGATTTGATGTCTGATTTTCAGTAAATGAAAGTGCACAGGTGATGAACATCTAGAAGAGTAAAACTTAAAACTGAAAAATACAAATTCAGAAACTTATAATTAACTTTTCTTTTTATGACAAGAAAAACTCATGTCTTGTGCTACATCGTACTATTATAAAATCCATGTCCCATCGTCGAAAGCTTTTCCCAAGTTGTTTAATACTCAAACAAAGTGTATGTGTGTGTTGTGCAGATGGTTCAAAGTATTGGGTTGTGGATAATGATCCCGATAAGAACAAGGGGGAAAGGAAAGCCACTCCTATCGACATATTGACCACCTCCTACGGCCTGATGGCCTTCGTCAGCCGCAGTAAGTTGAAAGCTGGAATGGGCATCATGCGATGGCTGGCATCTCAGAGGAACCCAAGGGGTGGATTCAAATCCTCTCAGGTGAACCTTAAAACTTCAGAATTCAGAAAGTATATGTCGTGCTAGTGCCATAGTCTAAAACTGAAAACATGACTTTGGCATATTAGTAATGAATTTTGACTAACCCGTGAGGATCAGGGTTAGATTTGCTCTCCAGCAACCAATGCTTGTCGTAAGAGGCGACTCAAGGGATAAGGTGACAAGGTCCGCTGACGTGGTTCACACGAGTCATCGTATCTCAGCTGCGTAGATAGCTAGTAACGCTCTTGATCACTGGACTGTGGTCCAGACTCGATAATTTACAGACCGCCGCCATATAGCTGGAATATTGCTGAGTGCGGCGTTAAACAACAAACAAATAAAATGTTAATTTGCTAACTCGTTGTGCCTTAAAAGGAATTGTTTAAACAACACAGTAAGCATTGTTCCATCTACACCACGGCTGGCCGTGAGTAATGTAGTCGGGACAAGGTTAACAAGTGATTGATAGCCCGAGCAACAATACCTGCCATCAGGTCATGGTGACACGTAATCGTCCAAATCTCAATATCAAGTTAATCGACACTTATTAGCATATGTTACAGGGAAAGAATACGAGGGTTGGTCAAACATTAGTCGGCCTAACTATATTCTCGATGTCCAATGTTTAAAAAGCTTCCATTTTAGTTTGTAGGACTCATTAGCAAAGCCGTATAAAAAAATTCACATATGTGGGTAATGTGATTAACGAGATATTAGTCATCACAACACATTGGGGTATAATATTTCTAGAAAAAATGCAGAAAATGAAAAACGACCCTTCATTTAGTACCTCTTGGATAATGGTATGCCCTCAGATAATGTCATATAAAATATGTTAGTAAAGTATTGGATGACTTCCCGTCATAATCAAGAGTCAAAGCTTTGGATTGCTTGATTCATATTTAGTCGGGGGCTGTTTCTTTTAAGGACGCCCCCATTTTAGTCTTTCAAAAACATTGTGTCCAGATATTCAAGCTGGCCCTGTTTACAATATACTGAGAGTTGACACTTGTGTAACCATTCAGTATTTACTTTGAACCTTTAGCACCATGTGTGAAAAAGTGAAAACATTAGAATAAGCTATGTCCTTATGATTACGTCGTCTGAAAGGGGGTGGGCAGTGTCTCCAAAACAAGCTGTTTCAGTAAACATGACGGGGGAATCACTTTAACAAGCGATTGTACTTTCAAATTGCTTTTTTATGCACTTTAATATCTAAGTTTGATTCTTGCAGACGTCTACCTATCTCAAACACAAAATGTTTCTTGCATATTTTGTTACCTGAAGTTTGTGGTGCATTTATTGCAGATTTTGCGCTTTTGGGGGGTACCAAGATAAAATTTCAAACAAAATGGGGATCGTAAGGCTGGAACATAGCAAAACCAATTTGCTTGAGGTTGACAGATAATATGTAGAAAAATAAAACATAAAAACAGCTGTATTTGTATCATTTACTAGGTAAGACCGACTACTTTTTGACTGTCACTCGTATCAACCTGAATCCCTTCGGAGGTGTCTGATTACCATCCTGTATTTTGTATCGCACCATTGTACACTAAACGCCAAAAGAAACGTTACCCTCCTGTCTGATGCGTGGACGTCCACTTCTTGGTCTGTCTACGGTGACAGTCTGACTGAAGCCCTGAATAAGTCTTAGAACCGTGATACGGTGGCATCCGAGGGCGTTGGCAACAGCATTGTATGTCGACCCCACCTGCACCATCCCAATGGCTCTTTCTCTCTCTTCAGCTGTTAATCGTGGCATATTTCTCGTACTTGTGTATCAGATCATGTCTTCTAGGCTCTCTTTATACCCTATAGAATCATTCTGCACGTGAAATGGATGCAAATACTGCCTTAATATTGCTGCGTTTTGGCGATTGATATTGCTATGTGTACACACAAAATGGAAAAATGTTACTTTGCAAACAAAAAGGTTAACAAAGCTAATTCTAGGTATTAGTAAACACTTTTTCACAATACCAAAGACACGTTTTACTTGTTTTCACTAATGAAAATCAACAGAAAATGTTTTAAAAGACTGTAATCATAGGAATGATTATTTTCCAATTTTACATACTCTACAACAGTTGTTTCTTGTTTTAACAGTTGAACAATGGTGACTTTAAATGGTTTATCTTTGTCTCAAAGCAGAATTTTATTCAACGTTTCTTTTGGACATCTAAATCACAGTTGTCGGTTTATTTCGACATGGACGAAAATAGGACGATTTAAGTCTTCTGAAAAGGATGCATTTCACCTAAATATGAATGCATTTGATAAAATTGTTTTTTGGGATTTGCATAAAGCTGTGTTGTTAAGCTTTCTTGTAAGCTAATACCTTCTAACATATCTTTGATAGTTTTTCAGTAATTCATAAAGGAAGGAGGGTAACGTTTCATTTGGCGTGTAGTGTATATTGTATGTAACTAAGATTACCTAAATCCTTCAGGATACGACGGTGGCCCTCGAAGCTCTGACACTGTTCATGGTCGACGCCAGACCCGACAACTACAACGTCAGGCTCAAACTCACAGCCGGTAATGAAGTCAGGACAGTCACCGTCAACAACGAAAACGCCCTCGTACTACAGAGCATCGATGTTAGTTACTGTCAGTTTCATTGTTACAGATAGTAGAACCCTGAATAACGATGTAGAACATATATTTGGAGCTAAGCATGGCGTTTGTATGCAGCCATCTTCTGAGATGAACGTTGCACTTTGCAGGTTGACACTAGCCTTATGTCAAATACTTTACCATTTCAGAATCACTTATTTCAAGAAATTGATGAGTCACCACTTTTACGGTATACTAACGTTTTGCTTCTGAAAATATATAATTTTGATAGTAACAAATAATCCCTTTTAAATTAAAAAGAAGCCCCAGTGAGATGGGAGATTCAGAACCTCCGGAAATCTAGACTTGCTTCATTTATGGCTTTAGCATTGCAGGGAGGGCTGGGTGGTAGGGCAAATAATGCGGTTCAGGGAGTGAGTGAGTGAGTTTAGTTTTACGCCGATTTTAGCAAATACTCCAGCAATATCACGGCGGGGGACACCAGGAATGGGCTTCACACATTGTGCCCATGTGGGGAATCGAACCCGGGTCTTCGGCGTGACAACCGAACACCTTAACCACTAGGCTACCCCACCGCCCTCAGAGAATAAGTACCAACTTTGTTCCTTTCGTCAGTGTAGCAATCTTTTCTTTTCTAAAATGTTCACGAACCTTTAAATGAATCTAATGATATCTTATATTCTGAATTCAGCTATCGTTCATTCCATCAGTGTTGAAGATTTCCGCAGAAGGAAGTGGTTTCGCTGTTGTTGAGGTGCAGTACCTTTGTGTTGGCATGCCTATAAAATTAAACACTTCCATAATAATAATAATAATAATAATATGGCCACAAATAGAGCGCAGAACACCGCAGCGACATGATTCTAGCGCATACGGCTTGATGGTCATTATTACCCGGATAACCCACGCTGCCTGTGAGGCGCTGGAAGGTCATATGACTTATCCCATCGGGTACCCATTTTCTTCTGGGTGAACAAAGGCAATTTATGAACAAACTCACTTGCCTAAGGTGAGACGACGTGTGTGCATCGTGCTTTGTGTGTGAATCAAGCTGCCAAACACGGTTACCCATCATCATGGCCATCCAAGGGATCTCCATGGCGAACGTTGCTTCACCTGATCTCAAGACCACATACCACAGCATACAGTTATACGTAATGCTCGCACATACCTAGGCACTAATTTAGTTCATGTTGTCGTCGTATCTTAACATTTTCTTTCGTTTCTAGTTGGGCATGTTTTACAACGTGGACTCTGTGGGCGATGACAATGACGTTTTCGACGTCAGCACGGTGCTCCTCGACGACACCATCAACGGCTTTACTCTCATGACGTGTTCCAAGTATGTGTTCCTATCATGTCCTTGTAATATGGTGTGCACAGTCGGCCAAGTCGTGTAAATCACATATTTGCTCTGTGTAGATATGCACATATTAACGGTGTCCGAAAACGATGATCTCCCACCTCATGACGTCCTGGCTTGTTCCCCAGACTATACCACGTTAGTTAGTAATAATGTAGAATTTGTATATATACTCATGGAAACAAATAAGGGAACACATGAAAGTACAAGTGTTCATGTATTTATTTATTCACCTACAGTGCAATGCATAACCTTGTGAAGAATCCTGGAAAAGAATAAAGGAAAAACACTTGTACTTTCATGTGTTCCCTTATTTGTTTCCAATCTTCATGATCTGCTGATATCGCACAAATTAAAGGATGCTCAAAACGCACAATCTGATTATTTTATACTCAACCATCCCCACTAAATCAGTATATTTCGGACTAAAAAAATAGAGATATTAAGCAGGATTAGTTGGCTTGTTCCACTGTGTGCACAAAGGTGCCTTTCGGTGACATATCTTTTCTGTTCCTTGTGAAGAGCACACATGACGTACCCGTGAAGGTCCGGGTTAGAATGTGCCTTCAGTAACCCATGCTTGTCGTAAAAGGCGACTAACGGGATCAGATGGTCAGGCTCGCTGACTTGGTTAACATATGTCATCAGTTCCCAATTGCGCAATCGATGCTCATGCTGTTGATCACTGGATTGTTTGGTCCAGACTCGATTATTAACAGATCGCCACCATATAGCTGGAATATTGCTGAGTGCGGCGTAAAACTAAACTCACTCACTCACACATGGCGCGTCAACTACATTTCGGGAAGATGGGAGATGAGCAGTTAGGAGTCAGATACAAATATTTTTATTCTAAATATACATATTTCCTCTGACAGACATCACCAGGAGGGATCCAGTGGGATGTGTGTTCAGACGATCCAGGTTCCTTCCGGGTTCACGGCTGATCTCACCAGCGCAGGCAACATTGCGGGACTGAAACGCCTGGAGCAGACAGACGGTCAAGTCATCGCCTACTTTGACTCGGTAGGTTTATACTCTATAATTATATTTTGGAATAGCACATCCTCAGTAAAGCACATATTCTACAACTTTTGGGGTTGAGTCCCAACTTGGATTCGAACCCACACTCTCAGAGTAAGCCACCTCATCATCATTGCACAAAGTCAGCGATCTAACCCACTCAGCCACTACGGCCTGGTTACTGGCAGTAAGTTTATTCTCTGCTACAAGTTGGTGGACAATGTGTATAAAATACCGGTATATTGTATGCCAACATAGCTTCTTTCATTGGCTTCAAAGTGAGAAACAAACTTGGATTTTTTACCTTACATCACTCGCATTGTGTCAGAAATAAGCCTTCACAACTCTATTGTAACCAGATCCCAATATACACATCTGAATGAACACTTCCTCATTCTTGGACATTGGCCTCTCAGTCATAATCTGCACATCACCTACACCACACCTACACATCTGTACCACCTTTAGCAAAGACATTGTTCATCCCATCACCCTTTCCTCACCTAATGGATGAATAGTATTACAATGTTTGTGAATACCTCTGAAGTTGAAATAGTTATTTTCTGAACATTATGGTTTGGCCTGAAATATCCAGACCAGTTATATATGCCATGTGTCTTTGCTCAACATACTTATGTATTCTGTGTAGGTTGGGAAGACATCCACGTGCATAAAGCTGTCTTGCTCCAGGACGAGCATGGTGGCTGGGAACAAACCTGTCTACATTTCCATGGTGGATTATTACAAGCCAAGTAAGTTATATTATATTGGACCAATTGGGACTCTTACAAGCTAAGTAACAAGGGAACAACATTATGTGACTGGCGGTATGGTTGCTTCATAATATTCATGTTGTCATGGTAACGTTATGGGATGTGATACAACGTACTTAATTAAGTTCTGACACAAAATGTTACCAAATGTAATGCGTTGTGTTACAGATGTTAACATTGTGGTCACTTGTAATGTGCTATCTTTCACAGATGATAACATTGTGGTCACTTGTAATGTGCTATCTTTCACAGATGATAACATTGTGGTCACTTGTAATGTGCTATCTTTGCAGATGATAACATTGTGGTCACTTGTAATGTGCTATCTTTCACAGATGATAACATTGTGGTCACTTGTAATGTGCTATCTTTCACAGATGATAACATTGTGGTCACTTGTAATGTGCTATCTTTCACAGATGATAACATTGTGGTCACTTGTAATGTGCTATCTTTCACAGATGATAACATTGTGGTCACTTGTAATGTGCTATCTTTCACAGATGATAACATTGTGGTCACTTGTAATGTGCTATCTTTCACAGATGATAACATTGTGGTCACTTGCAATGTGCTATCTTTCACAGATGATAACATAGTGGTCACTTGTAATGTGCTATCTTTCACAGATGATAACATTGTGGTCACTTGTTATGTGCTATCTGTTACAGATGATAACACTGTGGTCTCCTACCAGCCGCGTAGACTGAAGACGTCGAATTTCTGCCAGATATGTTCCCAGTGTGCCGGCTGTGGCCAAAAGGTAATTTGCTAGTGAATTATCATCAGATGTGTTTTCACTTGTATTTTCTGCTTCAACGAGATATATGTCATCATTGTAGTTTTTTAGGGCGCGTTTAAGTACCCGTTTCTCCTATAAGGTTTTGAAAGGCTAATCGGGATTTTAAGCACTGTCTTGCACTCCTAGACTATGGTGAGAGTATCACGGGAAAACCAAACGGAACAAAACGTATTGTATAACGCAGGGTGCGATTTTTGTACCCCTTTCTTTCATTGGGTTTAGGCTAATCAGAGTTTATGCGTTGCCTTGCAGTCCTAGACTACGTGACACAAGACGTGGATACATCGCACGTTTCTACACGCAGCTGATGCCTGTTTCAAATATTGCAGTGGTACTGGATGCTGAACTTCATGTGCATGTATTGTTCCATTATGTGAATATATCTCCCCATAAATCACCCTGCTGCAGTCGATGCCGAGACCCAGTGGTACCAAGGTTCCATCTGGGAGATGATCGCTATGACACTCCGATGTGGGTATATTATGAAACGAATTCCTGACTCTTGTACAGTATTTCACACTGAAATATGACAGTGGTGAAAGGCTGTATACATATTTCTTGCTGTCGATTCTATTACAAATTTCATTCCTAACACACTTGGTGTCCGTTCTTGATTCTTCATTCCTTTAGTCAAATATATAACAAAGCCTTCCTCACAATGGAAAACAGGCACATATGACTTGTACGTTCAATAAAGTCTCAGGAATGCTGCATTTCCATGGAAAATCATACAGCATTTGTTTGTTGTTTTGCTTCATCATAACACTGTGTATATATACACATGACATGTCCAGTATACATTATGAAATTCTACTAAGACTTACTAAACATTTGGTTTCAACTGAACTCATAAGAAAGAACACAGGTATAATATCCAAATAAAGCATTGCCTGATAATGAGGATGGCCTGCCTCTTGCAAAAAAACGACCAACCAGTATACCTTTTATCTGGCATTTATTTTTTATGTTAACATAATGAACATAATCCATCTTGATCTGTTTTCGTCATCCTTACGCCTGAAAATAGACATCAAGCATTTCAAATGACTTAACCAAGCATCATCAATCAACTTTAACTTTACTAATGTAGTAGATACGAAGCACAATTCAATGATACTGGAGTTCCTAGTTTGAAACAAAGTTCTCTCTTAAACAGTAAGATATCGATACTTTACAATTTAGCAAATCTTTGAATATAAGGTACAAAATGTTAGTATTTCTAATGAGTGAATGGATATGTTTTTTCACTGCTTTTAGCAAAATTTCCAGAAATATCACGGCGGGGGACACCAGAAATGGGCTTCACACATTATATGTGTGGAATCGAATCCGGGTCTTTTACGTTGCGATTAGCCATTAGGCTACCCATCCGCCAATTCAGTATTTATAGAAATGAGCACCACGCCAAAGGGAGATAACCTAGGACCTCACCTGGGGGCAGCACTTGCGACACACATCACAGATGGTGGCCTTCTTGAGACTGCGGGTTTCATAGAATGTGGCACCTTGGTTACCTGAAAGAGACAAACCAACCACATTTAATTCATACGCTGACACCAATACTCCATTTTGATAGCTGGTATGACGTACACAAACATGCTATTATCTGTTTGTCATTCTAAAATCTACAAATTGGATTCTTGAGTACTCCGGTTTACAATTTCATATGAATCCGGCAACAGGGTGAACATTTCTAGTTCAGTATTCGGTAAATCTCAGAAAATACAGTTACTATTGACACCAATACTCCATTTATATAGCCGGTATGATGTACACAAACACGCTCTTATCTGTTTGTCATTCTAAAATCTACTAATTACGTTCTTGAGTACTCCGGATTACAATTTCGTATGAATCCGGTAACAAGGAGACCATTTCTAGTTCAGTTTTCTGTAACTTCCGTAAAAGATAAAAAGACATGATTACTGGTAAAAAAATGCCGTCTTCAACTGTACCAACAGTTACTTAAGGGCCTATACTCACTGGGCTGGTAGTAATCGTAGACTGTGACGTAGCTGGGCTGGTTGTTCGTCACCATGCCGGTTCTGGTGGACAGGATGTCAAAGCAAATGGACGTTGTGCCGATCTGAGATAAGGACAGAAATGTGTGTCATATGTCATGATCAGTTTGAATCTGGGGAGAGGACTTAAGTTTTGAAACGCTAAGATGATACAATACTAGGATGAGATCAAGTAGAACTCACTTCATCAAAGTAAACAACAACATTCCTTCCTCGTCGTTCAACACGTTTAAGGCCAGCGACGTTCCCAATTGACGTCATATCCGGATCAAAGCCTGATGGGATAGATATTTCCATAACTGTCATGCCACTGGATCCTTTCTTTAACCACCTAATCAAAACAAACATTAACCACAATTATTTCTTTGAAGGATCGAACATTTAATATGTTTCCATTCTCTCCAACATTTCTCGAAATCTTATATTTCAACATGGTATTTGTCGCTGTCAGTGCAAATAAATTTGTTAGAATTATGCGAAGAGTTTTGTCTCTTGCATATATACTGGCCACATAAAGAAACTGTGCACACAGAAAATATAAATATAGGCACACAGCGTATTTATACATAAATACATTTGTGAACATAGCAGGTGTTGGAGACAATCAAATGCTCATGCACGTGCCAGACGACGTGACGTCATTGACGGTGGCCTAAGGCCTTGCAATGTGTTACTGCACGTGCAGCCCGTACAGATGTGAAACTCTGAAATTGCTGTCACTGTCGAAAGCTTGATCTTTGGTCATTCAAACGTTCACCAATTCGCATGAGAAGTCACATGGACATCATGCCAAGATTAACATCTGCTCAACGTCATGAAGCCATTGGAATGGTTCGAGCAGGAATGAGCCAACAACAGGTGGCAGCACATTTCCAATGCCATCGTAACACGATATCTGCATGGGTCAGGCGTTATCGAAACAGTAATGACGTCGCCGACCACCCACGTTCTGGGCGTTCCCGACGTAACGACGCCAAGACAAGACAGATGGATTCAGGTGACTCATCTCAGAAACAGGTTCCTGACAGCAGTGACCACGTCCCAGACCATTCCCCAGTCCTTCAATGCTCATTTGCTAGCCTCTATGCGTCTTCGATGCACTGCTGTGCTTCACGCACACGGTGGTCATACCCGTTATTGACTTTGTGACTTCGTCGTGTGACCCCCTACTCGATTTTGAACTTCTGACGTCATCGTTACGGATATTGTTCATGTTCTTTTGACATTTTCTTGTGGTCAGATACTTCAGCTTATAACGTGTCTACATCATTTCGTCTTTGCTGTGTTGTATTCCAATTATGAAGGCATCTTCTGTGTGCACCGTTTCTTTATGTGGCTAGTATACAAAACATTGTAATGATTTTTGGACCAGCCAACAGGGTCGAAAGTTTCACCATCAGGCATTTTGTAGATGGAATATGGCTGTAGTTAGGGTTAAACAACTAAGAAACAAACAACTGCTAGATACTGAAAGCAACAAAACCCTTTTCAAATATATGGAAATATCTGCTTAAAGCAGAGTCCATTCAAATTCCGGTTATATTATGAGTCTGTGTTTCTTTCGATTGTTTCTTTGTTTAAAACTGTTGACCCCTCCTTACTTGGTGCAGGTCATGAGTCTGAAGTTGTTGATGGTGTCATCAAGGAGTACGGTGCTGATGTCAAAGGATGGTTTGCCGATCTCAGCCTCCACGTTGAAGAACACATCAACCTAGACGCGGATTAAGAACTATTAGGGTTTTCATTCTTTGACATACGTTATTCAGTGTGAATGTGTCGATGGTAGGTGGGACGGGACTTTATTGAGGCAGGGTATTAGTTTGTTTTATGTTTCAAAACACAAACATATTTTTCAGTTTCAATTTCACATTACAATTTGTATACAACGAACAGTCTGGATGAAATAAATCCACTAGAACTCGTGTTCAAAGTGAAGGTATAATTTTCCAGTCATATACCCAAACAGATGACATGTACAGACCAAGATATATTTACGTCTTTACTTTGAAAAAATGTTCTTATAACAAAAGAGTTTTTGAATCATAATTGCCTGTGGTTTTCATAAGGAGAATAAGTTGATGTCTCACCTCAGCATAAGCAACACCTTTACCAGTGGCAGTGAGAGATACTTGTTTGGGGAATGTCGTCAACTGGGGACAAAAACATGATACACAAAAATCAACAGTTGTTATACATGTGTTGAGATATCCAAGCCTTCCCCGTGTGTCTGGATAAATGAATTCACGAGAATTCCAGTACAAATATTATTCGTCATTCCCCGATTTGTGTTCTTTTTCATTTGTGATTCAAATCTTTGCTTGAAGGCATTTGTCAGATGATTATCGAAGTTATTTCCAGCCTACCTCTCTAGACTGCAGCACAAGTGCGTTGTTGTCTGTCACAGATATGTGCTGGCTGTCACTTCCGCTCTTGATGTCAACCTCTACTTGGAATCCGGAAGTGTGTGCACGTCGGGCATAGTCAGTGAGTGCGTGCAGAGCCACCATTGTGTCCTGTCAATATGCAAGGTTTGAGTAAGCAGACTAATAAAATGAAGTAACTAGAGACATGGGGAAAGTTATGAAGTAACCTGTTGCTGCGTAACACCAATTATGTATGAGCCTTCCTTTCTCCTTAGACTGACCCACAGGTCATGGGTTCGAATCCCTGCTTCGTCTGTTTCATGATCTGTGGTTTGTCATCGCCATGTCTGTTTTCTTAACCCTGAAGAACGCAGGTCCAAAAAATTCGGCACGTGGGGATGTCTTTTCAGCGAACATATAATGAACTTTGATTGATTCTTTCTTACCAGTTCAAACTGTATCCAACACGAAGCTGCACACAGACTTAGTAAAGAATTTGCATTTCTCAACGTTTGATTAACACGGGGACATCGGACCACCATGACTACACACTGACCTGCGTTGAAGAGAAGCCGCCATAAGGGTTCCTCTGTGACGTCAACCAGTTTGTGATTGGAAGACCTCCTTTGAGATCACCACGTGAAGACGACGCCAGTAGGGCATAGGCTGTAGTCTGGATGTCAATTGGTTGGGCTTGGGTGTGTGGAGGAGTCCATTTTGTGTAGTAGTTAGAGGAGGCGGTAGTGGGTTCGGTCCAGTGTTTGAGTGTACCTGAAAATAATGTAATGATCACAACTTTTCAGCAAACGTTTTTATATTATGCAGTGTGTACCAAAGACATCACAACGACAAAAAGACAAAGGATGTACCTCAAGAACTGTATCACATTCGTATAATGATGCTTTCAATGAAGCTGAGATATCTACAGAGTGAGTGAGTGAGTTTAGTTTTACGCCGCACTCAGCAATATTCCAGCTATATGACGGCGGAGATATCTACAGTTGATAATGTAGTAATGTTGTATAAGTGGCATCAATGCATAACCAATTTACCTTTAACATCAGCTGCAGCGTTGAGTTTGTTGAACGTGACATCCGCTACTGAGCTGCCAGCCTCAGACAAGGCGTAGCTGACAATGGCAAGAGTGAAGGGATCCGTGATAGAGGGAGCCATTGACTCCAGGTAATTTGTGGCATTCACAGTGGCGTTTCCCAGCGTGTACTCATTAATCTGTTAATTAGATAAACATGTGTTTTTCAAGCTCGGTTTCAAGTTTATTATACTTCTGTTCGATCACTGATGTTTTGTTGTGTATTTTTGTTTTGGTCAGCCATTTCTACATTTAAGTCTATCATTACAAAATCTGGAAGGAACAGTATTTGTACTTACACCAAACCCGCTAATGTCTTGGTTCTCAAGGAAGGCGAGCAAGGCCATAGCAGTCAATGAAGCTTTGGAGCTCTAAAATAAAACAAAAAACAACCATCTAATAAGATAAACAACAGACACGTTTAACCTTAGCTATTGACAAGTCATGTGTGAAAGAAAGCACTACATTTAGTTGTCTGCCAGTGTCTCTTGGGTGAAATAACAGCGATTTGACATATTGAGTGAGTAGTGGGCATGATAACTACCTTCATTTGTCTGTCAAAAACTAGTCCAGGTTCATTGAAGGACCCATCGAGATTCTGTCTGCTGGCCATCCAGTTGAGTGCATTTCCTAGAGTCTGGTTGCCCACGAAGATGTAGGGTCTTGCCTGATGGAAAGTTCTGGCTACAAATGCAGTCAGCCTGAGGATTATGAAACAAATCTGAATGTTAGAATCCACTCAATATTAGTTAAGAACGCTACCACAATGGGACTGTTCTGGCAGTTTGCATCTGATTGCAGCTTCTGTTTGAAGGGACAGTGGAAACTCACCACATGTGTCCTGCCTCATCTCGGTCTCCGAAAGGACTGAAGGATCCATCATATCTCTGATAGGCCAGTTCCCTCTGGTATCCTGAAGAAAGACAAAGGGAAGTAGAGAACATCTTTTGGAGGAAAGATCAACCAACTTCGAAATACATTAGAGCGCAAGTTATGTATGACAGAATCACTTTTGGTCTGTAGGGTATGCACGTATTGCACGCAGACGTTTCAGGAACATTGTTACCAGAAACTTTCACTCATTGTAAATCATCCACAGAAGCTGATGGGAACATAAAGTATTTGTTTATTGTGAAATATCACATAGGTATATCGGAGCTTATGAAAAGTAGTTCCCGAGGAAGTTGATGGGAACATAAAGTATTAGTTTAATGAGAAATATCACATAGGTATATTGGAGCTTATGAGAAATAGTTCCCGAAGAAGCTGGTGGGAACATAAGGTATAAGTTTATTGTGAAATATCACACGGGTATATTGGAGCTTAAGAGAAGTAGTTCCAGAAGATGATCCCACCGCAGTCTTTAAGATAACACAGATACCATTATCCATAACGTGATAAGGTTAAGTCACTCATTACATCACGAGGCTTATTTTACGGGTCGTATCCATCTGGGGAATCAACGCTTTAACCACTGGGTCACCCAACCGTCCCTTGCACGATTGTATGCGGGTTGTCTCCTTCTTTGTAGCCGTTGGGGCTAATAATAACGGTTGTGCATTGGGGAAGCCCAGTGGTTAAAACGTTCGCTCGTCACGCCGGTTCGATGTGTGAAGCACGTTTCTGGTGCCCCCGCCGTGATTCACGGGTTCATTATATCACAAGGCTAGTCATACGTGTATACATACCTAGCTCCAGATAGCTCATGATCCTCGACTCCAAGGCAGGTGTGATCTGATTAGTTGCATACAGGTAATCGGCCACATATACATCTGGTGCAAAGTTCATCATGTTCTGTTCACCACATCCAGTCGGAAGTGCCAGAAGGTTTTCCAGATTGTCAAGACTTGCGCCTATCAAGTCACCTACACGATAAGTCAAAATCACATTATTTAGCTATTATGGAAGATGATACGTAAACCAATGGAGATTCGCGATTTTGTAACAAGTACCATGCTAGAAAAGTATCCCTTAGCAAAGTGAAACATCTGGATTGGCCTATGTGATATGAACAGCTGACAATTAACACGTCAAATGAGATGTACATGTTGTGCACTGATCCTTCACTAGTTGAACCAGTTTCACTATCTTCAACTGGTTGTGCAGCTTTTGACAGTTACCTGAACATATAAATGTTAATCAGTACGCCTACCTGTTACTTTGACCCTGACTTTCTCTGAACCAGTTACCGTCTCTGGTGGTAGTGAAAGTGCCACCTGTTGGTTGAAGTCAGCACCACCTGGGGTCAGCTCAATGAAGACAGGTGTGTTGTATTCTTTGGGGATGCCTTCGACCTAAAAGTCACAAAATATGGACGTTCTAAATTCAATACGTTTTTGCGGTTGTGTTAACCTAGACTGAAATTATTATATATCAATTTAAATGTTAACATATTAATATTTTTCACATAATCTTTTTTCACTAAACTAATTACCTGGACATTGAGCTGTCTTCTGACAGCATCAGCGGCTAGAGTTGTCCGTGCTGACACCTCGATGTCGATAGCTCCCAGAGATGATGGAATGATAGGGAAGTACACAGTCTGGGGCTCGTTGGATTTGACCTTGAGAGAGATCACCAAATCATAGTAAGACTCAGTGTATAGCGCTCAGAACAATTGCAAAAAGGATTATGCCAATATCGACTTGAAAGGAATGATGATATACTAATTTGTTGAAATGAGGAGCAAATTACACATTCCACAAATAAACACTCAGCTATCCTTGATTCAGAATCCAGTTTGTGCTCACACAATTCCCAATTTCACCATACAGGTAAAACGAATATAAATACACAATGGCAGTAGTGCCTTGAATTATTGTGAATTCAGGAAACACACATACGATGATTCAGAGTGTAATTGTCGCAACCCATGTGAAAACTCATTTAATTAGTTTTCATAGAAAGTCCTCGGCTAGAAGGGCATGGGGCGACATGGTGCACTCATCTGTGGAGACACAGGTTTGGGTGATGGTGAATTCATGCTAGAAGAAAAACACACACACACAAACACACACACACACACACACACAAAATAAAAAACAAAACAAAAAAACAAGGTTTGATAGGGCTAATGTTTCTTCCTTTTGGTGCATAAACCGAAAAAACACATTTGTTTTACCTTGTGCCCAGTCCATTTCTATTCATGTAATTTAAGATAACATTTAAAACATATAATATAAGAAAACACACAATAAATACTGAGACACGTTTGCAGCACCATGTCGACCTACCGTGATGTAATGTGTTTGGTCCTTAGACTCCTGCCTGGTCTTCCCAGTACTGTCGACAACCACGTTGGTGTAGTCAGTAGACGTTGGCAATGACACCACCACCTGTCAAACATGTCGTAACAAGTTTATGCCTCGTCCATTTCTTTTTATATAAAGATGCATATTGTGTTATACTGATATGTGGATGATAACGATGGAATTTGTTTTTTTCATTAACTCACATCAACATCACTGGGGAGGTAGTTGAAGATACTGGCTTGAATGACGACCTGTTCTCCACGTAACACCGAGGTAGGCATGGACAAGCTCACGAAGAAGGGGCTGAACACACGCAGCTGAAAAAAAATATCAGTTTTATGTGTAAAGTTGTTGAACATTTGCGTTTTCAGATTTTGGAATGATAGGGGGTACTCGAGGACCAGAGTTTCTGCATGGTTATTTTTCACTTTTGGGGAGAGAAAAACAAGGTACACATGTGGAACAAGGTTCATGTGCAGTGACAGGCCCGAAAGATTTCAGGGATCACTTTCACATTTAACAAAATATTGTAAGAAATAAGATTGCAGCAAATGTTGTATTCCATTTAATTAACTTTGTTTTCCGATAAAGTGCTTGCCATCTGAATTGAACAAGTGGTGTGAATAGGGTCAGATTGACAATAAATACTCATTCTCTTCCTTCACTATACAAAGAAAACTACTTTAATCATAAGTCATCTTCAATAGAGCACAGTCTCCAAACACCAAGTGATTGCTCGCGGCGCTTAATCAGAAGATGATTCTTATTACCCCGGATAACCCAAGCTGCCTGTTAGGCACTAGAAGGTTATAGTCACATGACTTTACCCCACCGGGTACCCATTTTCTGCTGGGTGAACAGAGGCAATTTGAACAAACTCACTTGCCTAAGGTGAGACCACATGCATTACATGTGCTTCGTTGTGGGGCAGGACTGAAGTCCTAGAAACTCTCAGGAGTCAGGCTGCCAAACACGGTCACCCATCCAAGGATTGTCCGAGCTCGACGTTGCATAACTTCAACTGATTTGTGACCTGAACTCTGTGCACAGGACCACGCGCCACCACATGAGATGAAAGTGAAGTAATTGCTATGTTGAAAGCAAATACTGTAATACCTCGGGCTTCAGGCAAGCTCCTTATTTGCAGGGACGAAGTAAACAATGTAATATCTCGGACAGCAACCGTCCTTTAATACCTTTGTAGTAGACGGGGCTACACCAAGTCCTGTGGCGGAGTTGACAGCAAAGGCGCTGGCGATCCAGGAAGTGATAGTGTCAGGCACGGTGGTACTGATGGTGGCTTTACCGTCAGCTCTGGACAAATTAAATGTGTTGATTAAAAGACGTCTCATACAACAGTTATTAACCGATTTACACATCATCAAATTCATCGAATTAAAATGAACAATTAATCTAGTCAGTAGCATTTCGTACCAACTAGTCCATTTATCGTAGGATTATATATACTTACCCTACTGTCTTGTTAACCCAGAGCCAGGTTTCTGGGAAGTTCTTTCGAACCCTTTTCACCTCCTTCAAACCTGATGAGTGTCCCATTCCTGCTAGTGGAGCATAAGGTGTGGCACCAGGCATCGGAGTGTAACCAATCGGTCCTGCAACACATCACAAAATAGACATTGTCGTGCTCCCCAGGCGATAAACGGTGGTAGCAGTTTGGTTATCCAGTTGGAATTTCTTGAATGGATCCTGTGTGCAGTCATTACCCTCTAGTGGTGAACACAATATTGAGTAGAACAACTGAACATCTGCACACCTTCTTTGAGCGCCATAACACACAAGACACATACATTACAAATGAGGTACAGTGAGGTATTCATTCGTTACAGCTTTCAATAGTATCAGTTCTTCATGTATGTATGTATGTATGTATGTATGTATGTATGTATGTATGTATGTATGTATGTATGTATGTATGTATGTATGTATGTATGTATGTATGTATGTAGGTATGTATGTAGGTAGGTAGGTAGGTAGGTAGGTAGGTAGGTAGGTAGGTAGGTAGGTAGGTAGGTAGGTAGGTAGGTAGGTATACATATAAAAAGTATGATTTGAGAGTATTCTATAATACCAAAAGTTAAAAAAAGTGATAGGCAAATGGCGTGGTTGAGGCTAAATTCCTGGATTTGATTTCCCATGTTGGTAAAACTTGGCAGCCCATTACAAGTGTCGCCTGCAGCCATCTCTCTTAAGTAATGCAAAACTCGGTGAAACGCCTCACTCGCAAAACCTATAATCATAACACATTTGCCCTTCGATGAGTGGCACAAATATTGACTCCGTAAATGTCTAACTCTTTGATCTGATACTTCCTCCGTTTTAAAACTTAGCATCATGAATAGAACTGTTGAAAGTATATTTATACAGCATGAACAACATTAAGTCATCTACCTCACCTTTATTCGAGGCATAGTAGTTGTAGTCGTAGTATCTAGCATCAGTGATAACGAGAAGACCAGCATCCTGAAAAGGTTCCAAGTTAGTGAGGTTCAGAATTATACAGTGTGATCTACGTCAAAGCTTGGTATCCAGTTTATGTGAAACCTATTTACATCAGCATGATAGATTTAACTGAACTATCATATGTGTGCAACATTTGGTAGAAATGTACGTTAAAACCTCAATTCATAAACAGAAAACAGGGTCACTAACCGAGAAGACATTAGAAGCTTGTGTCGAACTGCTTGAAATGGCAAATACTTCCGGTGAAAATTCTCCATCAGTTTGTCCAGAGCTGTACGTCTTCAGTTCATCAAGAACCTGTTCATGAAACAGGAAGTTTTTCACGGTACATGAACATTAAGTGTGCTCCAGTAAATAATGCATATGGTAGTGGATTAAGGCTGGAGATCTGGAGATTCTTTACCTTGATTCCGTTTCTTGTTTAATCTTTCTTTAATCTCTTTCTTTTTTTAAAGTGTTTTTACCTGATCTGTGGTAATATCATTTCCGGACTTCAGAAGAAGAACACTTTGGTCGACAGCCAGAAGATTGACAGATGACAGGGGATCGGCGCTGACCAAGACATCGATGTTTTCATGAGGTTTTGACTCGTTGCGACTAAAGTCAATGGACACCTGAAACGTTGAAAGATTGATTAATCAGTCTCGATTTACAATCATTTTACAACGGTTCATTGTGATATATTAAGAATTATGTGTTACACGAAATAAAGTGAGGATTGGCATTTGATCTATTTTTTTCTGTGTTTGTCTACAAAAGTTTACCTTGTTGTCGAAGATGTCATCCACACTGAAACTAAGGCCATCAGCTACAACCTCCCCAGATTTCCTGACGTAGTAAGCAATGATGTGAGCTTCTGGGGCCATTGTAGCAGAGACTGGAACGTTGAACTGGACGGGGTTTTGTCCCCCAACACTAACTTGATCAGTGATGTCAACAGTTCCCCGGGACAATACCTATATACACAAAATGAACAACTTTCAATATCTAAATTTATATTTAACACTGAACAAAAAGTTTCAAATATATTTTTGCGCAAAACTTTTGGACAAACTATTTTAGGGACACGGAAATATGTGAGAAGGTTTATTTTTGTGTTGGGGGTGTTTTGCAATCTAGCCGCACTATGTCCAATAGAGCTATCTTGTTCGGACGATTACCTCGTAGGTAATGAACGGAACATCTTCGGTCAATTCTATAGTGAACGTTGCCGCCTGACCCGCCTAAAATGAAAAAAACATGTATTACTGAAAACAGTAGAGAACTATTTCATATCATTTACACAGTTAAAAGTTTATAAGATGGACAGTATATTTACTTAGGGACCGAAAATTCAATATTCTACGAAGAAGGCTTGGGGACTGCGATTACTTAAATTGTCTCAGAATATTTATGAAAAAGAAATGAAACAATTTTCTGAATTACATTTGCCTGCTACCTCCTCTACCATCTCCCCGATTTCATATCGTTGGTGCCATTGAATTAGAAATGTTTTTAACTGTTTGAAAAATAGAAAATGCCTGGTATAGATAATACATTATCCAAACTCCAAAAGACTCTGCTCCCCTAGCCAATCCATCGTCACCTTCCCTACCACTTCCCCGATTTCAAATGGTAGGTTTCATTGAGTCTACCTTCTTCAAACTTCAAAAGACTCTCTGCTCCCCAAGCCAATAAATTGCCACCTTCCCTATCATCTCCCCAATTTTATATCGTCGGTGCCATTGTACTAGCAATGAATACATTGTTTCTGATTTTTTAAAAAACAAAAGAAATGAACGGCATAAATAATACCAAACTTCAAAGGTACTCTGCTCCTCGAGCCAACCCATCGCCACTTCCCCTACATCCTCCCGGATTTCAAATGATCGGTCTCATTGAGCTTACCTTGCTGAGACACTTGTTGGTGAGTATGGCGTAAATAATACATTCTTTAAACTTCAAAAGACCTTCTGCTCCCAACGCCAGTAAATCTCCAACTCCCTACCATCTCCCCAATATTAAATCGTCGGTGCCACTGATTCAGCAATGAGTAGATTGAGCTTACCTTGAGACCCTTATTCAAACTTCAAAAGTCTCGCTGCTCCCCTAGCCAATCAATCGCCACCTCCCCTACCATCTCCCCGGTGCCACTGAATCAGCAATGTTTAGATTGAGCCTACCTTCAGACCCTTGTTTGTGAGTCGCAGCTGCATGTAGTTACTGCTGAGGGAGTCCTTTTGCTTCACCGACAAAGTATCCGATATTTCTTTGTAGTGAACCTAGAATTTTGAATGCAAGAATGTTATCTGAAGATAACTTAAATGTATTTGATAAACACGCTTTTAATGCATCATCTGTTATCACATAATGAATGTAATGACCTTTAAATATTTGCTCAGTCATTTTGAGTCGGGACATGAGTGACCCGTGGATTTAATGTAAGGTCCCAAAATTTACATCATCAAATATCCTGGTCTCTGATCGGTGACAGGCACACCTTTATCATTTACGCGTTTCCTCAAAAGTATATTAGGGTAAGAGTCAAACTGATGAATGATACACATACACAGCCACAAGTATATCAAGTTACAACCTAGCCGAGTTGTTTTGTACTATTGATGTTTTAACAATGTAAATAACGAAAGGGAATACATTGTTTTTGTTTTGTATCCTACCTTCACATCAATGCTGGTGGCGTTCTCGGGGATGCGCATGTCCACGGGGATGATGCCGGAGGCAGGGATGGTGTAGTTTGTGGGTGGGAGGCCGTAGTTGCCGGTGAAGGATGAGCAGGAGTACTCGGACTGGTCATCTTGGACAATACGGTATGTGACACAAGTGTACACTCCAACAGGGCTGCTGAGGTCGCTCACAGGGCGGCCATCTTGTTGGGACACCTTGATCTGTTGTATGATGTGTAAATTTAGAAGAGAGCTAAACATAACACATTGTATAACTTAAAATATATGTGTGAAGTATTCAATGGTTTTCATGACAAAAAATGTTGATATTTTATGTGTGTTATTAAATTTCAACTCACATATGCTGTGTATGGAAGTTGCTGTTATGTAATGTGTAAATGTAGAAGAGAGAGAGAACATTTCTACTATTTGTAAAATTTGTAACATAAAGGTTAAAATGGTACACATGTTAAGTTGTATTCTAACATGACACTCACATATGCTGTGTATGGTAGTTTGGGTGAGAATGTTTTAGGGCTGGAGTTGAGGACTTCAATCTTGTAGGGGTATTGGTGGTACTTGACAGTGTTGCTTCCGTTTAGTTTCACTCCAGTTAGCCCCTCCTTCACGATTGCCACAACGGCGACAGAGTAGCCATCCAAATACCTCTGGAGGCGCATGATGTCAGCCATAGGTATTTCAAATTTGGCTTCCCCATCAATCTGTGATTAGACATATGAAGTACATTTATTTCATATCAGCTTTATTTGGGGCATCATGGTCATTTCATCATATTGGCTCACTAACACATTCACCCTCATCCGAATGCTATTTCGGTGTTTTAGTTGTTTCTGAAAATGTTATTGCAGCTTAAACAAGCCCAAGATAGAGGAATATGTCAGCATGCATGTGATTATACATTTGTATTGAAGACGCTGATTCGCAAATGTATCCAACTTTCATTACACATTCCGTTTTTTGCAAAAAGATGATCACATGTTCTGAACCAAATTTGGTAAGCACTTACCGGAAACGCCAACTCAACATATTTGGGCGGTCTTCCACAATAGTCGCTGCCTGTTTGCATCTGAGTGTGTAGCTCCACCATCCCCTTCACTGGTGTGCCGAAGGTGTACCTAGTAAGGACAGGAACATATTCAAATTGTGTTGAAAACGAGAGTGTGACCCCTTTATCTGTTTCTTGTTTTCTTGAGATAACGCAAGGTTGTCGTATGTGTTGAAGATAAGATTCTGGGTGCGTTATGAAGATTGAAATTTAAGATAACAGGATCAGGGTTTAGTTTCAGAGGCATATGAAACATACTTGGCCGTCACCGTGCCAGACAACATCTTGTCAGATGTCAGAGCAAACGAAGGAAGGTCCACCTTTACTTCAAAACGAGGCAGTTCTGAAATATCAGTGACGTTCGTTTTCCATTTTTTCAAATGAAATATAAACATGTTCAAGAATTAAATAAACACTATTATATATGGTGATGTTAATTAATTGTTTTAACAAATGTAATATTTTCAACTACACTTTGGTTGAAAAATTTAAGATAACAATGAATTGTTATGAATTAAAACTGGTAATGGAAAAAGTGTAACTGAGTATATGAAATTATATATTGGCAAGGTTCTATCTATACTTACGGTACTCAGCAACTGTAAAGCTTTTAGATGTCATGATGACTTCATCCTGAAAGTACAAAAAACGTTGATTATGACACTTCAGATAGACGTGGAGATGTATTTAGTACATCTATACTATTTCAGATCTTCTATGACTTTTGGGAAAATGTTAAACCCATCCCTCGTATGATTTCCTACAACGAATAAGCATATGCATGAAGACATTACAACTCATACTCTTAGATTTAGATTGACAGAGTATTTTCAAAAATGACACTCAACTTTTTTGCAAAAACTAACACAAATCCAGAAAATGCATGTCATCGATCTTGATTAAACATATCAGGTGCATGTCTTTCCTAAAATACTTGTGTCAGTACGAAGAGGACAGAGTCTGAAACCAACCCTTGGTTGGACTTTGATTGTCCAGTCTCCCAGAACAGTCTGGTCTGCCAGCTGGAACTCTCCAGCCACAACTCCAGAAGCGTCATGGAGAGCCGTCCACTCCTTCAGGATATTTCTGCTGGGGTCCTGCATACAACCAAAATCTTTCCTCTACATCATTCATACTTACATGGAGGAAAATAGATAATTATAGAATATCGCTGATCTTTTTGTAGTGTAAAGGTAATGAATATATTCTAGATCACTCAGTATATCATGTATGGAAGGAATATTGAAGGTACAATCTTTACAATTGTATATAGCAACAATTAGTAATGAAAGACGTCTGATTATCTACACCTCCTCAATATTTCACTTGTGACTAGGGAAAGTGAGTAGCCTAGTGGTTATACTCCCCCCGTGGGTGAAACCCCGGTGTCCCTGCCGTGATATTGCTGGAATGATGCTTATGTACTCTCCCACTGACCCATCATTAACGGAGACGTGAAAGTGAGGCCAGGTCTCTTTGTGAGTTGTGAGTTGAATTTTACGCCGCTTTTAGCAATATTCCAGCAACATCACGGCGGGGGACACCAGAAATAGGCTTCACACATTGTACATATGTGAGGAATCGAAACAGGGTCTTCGGAGTGACGAGTGAACGCTTTAACCACTAGGCTTATCGGCCCCCCCGGGTCTCTTTGTTGTGGTGTGGAATATGTATATATGTTCTTGCATTGTCTTCTTTTATCTTATCCCTGCATAGAAATGTGTCCTTATAGATCTTGAACATATTTTGTAAGACAGGTTATAACTTACAAGAAGAGTAATGTCAAAAGCTCCAGTGTATACTTGCAGATTGGGATACACACCAAAGGCACGGAAATGCACTGGAAGGCAAATTGAATCTTGTATTACCTTTATCCAGGGCTAGATCCCATACAAAATACATTCAGGAATGCAAGCTTTGCGATGAAAAACATAGCACGATATGTTTTGTCTGTTTTCATATAAGAGTTTTCGGACAGTGAAGTACAAAATTTCTTCATTTTAAAAAATATCAATGATTAATGACAAATATGTATTGTGCATAAACGACTATACGACTGAGGTTGTGGAGAAGACATAACTGTGATCCATATTTGATAAAGTTACAGCTGTTTTCAGTAACAATCGGATGATTTATAAGAATATATGGCAGTATCAAAGGTCTTCTCCAAACACAGGGGACACTCACCCATCTGTCCGGGCTTGTACATGGCCTTGTCTGTCTGAATCATGACAGAGATAGACTTGGAACGGAGGTAGACGCTTTGTTCTCGCTCAAACTGCAGAGCACCGCTACCGCGTACATGTAGTCTATAACGACCATTTTCAACGTGACTTGGAATCTGAAAATATCAATAACATCATGCTTAAATGAAACTCAAAAATGTTTTCAGAATATTCTTGATTTTTATTTAATAATTGTTGAATATGGGTGAAGGAATATCAGGAAGAGATAGAAATAGATAGTTGAGAACTCGAATATCATATACTCTCATTTTGTATGCTTCACACCAAAGTCTCATACGTACATTCATGGACAGAGTGCCTGTTGTTCCTGAAATGGGAATTTAACAGTGAGTCAGTGGGTTTACTTTGATGTTGCATTGAGCAGTGGTTAGGTTATTTGACAGTATACTGGCACAACGTTTGAGGATGGGCAGCAATGATGCAGGTCGTAGACCTATGATAACGGTTTTCATTTAACCAAGGATACCAAGGAGTGAGTGAGTGAGTATTGTTTTAAGCCGCATTTAGCAATATTCCAGCAAGATCACGGCTGGGTACACCGGATATTGGCTTAAGGACACCAAGGATAAATATTAGGATGAATGTAAGAGATCACAATTAGCATTTTTCCACATTAACTCCTTGTCTCTTCCCAACAGATAAATCAAGTGAACAAATGCCGTTAATCTTATAATTAGACCCTGCCCTAAAATTTATAACGACGCATAATATATTGTGTCTGCAAAGGAGAAGGCTGTTACCGCAAAATGTTAGGTAACTTGTGACTTCAGTTCAACAACTACTTCTAGTTCCATTTACCTTTAGTAAAGTCTCCCTTAGCCATCATTATAGGGATCCTATAGATGTTCGTATAGTTGTTCCATACACGCTGCACTTCCGCCTGTATATGAACAGTGTCGGTGGTGTTCAGGATGTCGATGCTTACGTTAAACGGCATCCCTGGTTGCAGGTATCTCGAGGATGTAATGAGATAGGAGCCACCAGAACTAGAGAAGAGACAAGATCAATCAATGGTTGCTCTGAAGTGTATGTTCATAGTAGGTACTATTTCTACGTCGCGTTAGAGGGGTTTGCTTGATTTATTAAAATCTGTTCGAACTGAGCTTTCTAAAACTGTGCTGAGCTTTCCTCAGACACAAATTCTGTTTGGTGAAATGGGAAACATAACTTATGCGATAAGATCAATGAGACTCAGTGAGGACACAAGGTGTTCCCGGAAAGGCTGACTTGTAGCATCCGCCATTTACCAAAATGTGCCTAAAAATGGAAGTTGTTTTGCCAGAACCCGAACAGGAATCCTCCTGCACTACGACTGGTGAGTTGATATTCTAATGCTTACAAGTAAAGAAAAACCTTTGGGGAATATATTGACTTTACAACGCACTGGGGTGTCCATTTTCAATAGTATTTCAATGAAAACTTGATACGAGAGGAAATCCCATTTGTGTACAACACTTGGATATGTGCCTCTTTGAGATTGGATTGAACGAATGGCAATAAGTAGTGAATATGGCGGATTTGTCAGCTGATTCCCATGATCGTTTCACTATTTGGAGCTGTTTTTGTTTCAAAAACAACAAAGGCATACCTGTCATCAGCATTGGTTAGACCAACGCCGACAAGGACAAGCAACCAAAACATGGTGAAACTGAAAAACAAATAACTCTGTTAATACACAGCATGACAACTATAATCTGTTAACATTAAGACATAATCGTTTCCTTAAATAGAACTTGCCAACCTTAGTTTCTACTCAATCGGTGCTTGTTCTGAAAATATAGATTGTGCCACTATAAACCTTCCAAATCTAAGAGAATTCATGTAATCAAGGTAATTTTCCATTCCTTTTGCATAAGATCCGATGGTATTTTGTAAATTAGCCTACTTATGAATAGCTGAGTTCAGGCACTCCTTCATTGAATGGAAACATGACTCGAACGTTTTATCTGGAATGTCTATTGTTTGTCAAGATAGCAGCGGGTTGCGACAGTCTGGTTAAACTGATTATAATCGTTTTTGCATGATGCAGAATCTTTCTTAGGAACTCAAACTCCAACAGCTTCTGACCAACGTACCTGTTTTAAGCACCTTCTGTGGAGACCGCTGTCTTCAGAGCATGAGAGGTGTCCAAACTTATATAGCTGGTCATTATCAGTGACAACGACCTTCTGACTTCGTAGGTGTCTTATCTATGTAAAGTGACATGTGTGTTGACGTTTCACAAAGCGAGAGGCGTTGGGGACGCCCACCATAACACCTACTCGTTCGATTGGACTCTTGGTCATGAAGGCGTGTTAACCTCTTTACCCTATAATGTCATTCCTGAAATCTGTCATCGAAGTACCACTTTTTGTCTTTCACAAGCATTCACTAAACATTGCAAGGTTTGCTTGAGTGTTCTCATTAATGTATCAGGGCGGTGGGGTAGCCTAGTGGGTAAATCGTTCGCTCGTCACGCCAAAGACCCGGGTTCGATTCCCCACATGGGTACAATGTGTGAAGCCCATTTCTGGTGTCCCCCGCCGTGATATTGCTGAAATATTGCTAAAAGCGGCGTAAAACCCAACTCACTCACTCACTCATTAATATATCTCATCTAAAGTGTAGACTCACTAGTGTAAATATAGCCACTTACTTCAGGCAACTGTTCTAAACTAAATTTTGCAAAATATTCCATTCTGGTTAAAGGTACTGTTAACACATGAACCGATGTATTGTAAAACAAAATCGTAACGTTGAAAAGATAATTGCCATGAGTTCAGTAGAATGATAAAAACCAGTGAAAATTGTCGAATTCTTAACAAAACTTTACACCAAAACGCAGCTGTTCACATGCACGGTATTTGCACATGCTTTTCAGCAATTTGATGCATGATCCTCGAGTAGTTCATCTGCATAAAGTTTTCAACATGTCAACAATATATATCAACATTACATCAACATGACAGTGGTATATCAGTCGTGCAGTGACGACATTAATAGAGTTCCAGCTGAAATCTGTTTCTCAGAAAACTGCAAAATTCCAACACATGTAAATGAAAAACTTTTGAAAGCTATGAAACAGAACACATAAACAGCATTGTCTAATGAAACCGAGTGGGTGTTATGGTGGGCGTACCTAAGTGTCCACGCTGTGGGAAAATCACGTCGCTTGGAAAGATAAGACTCCTACATTATCAACGATTTGTATTTCTAACAACTGGGCCCAGGTGTATATGTTGAGAGACTTCTGTCGCTTCACAGACGCACGGCCTCAGACACACTGATCGGATACTGGTTAGTGTCCGTTCAGGTAGACCACTAGATCGTGATACTAAACTTAATGTTGTCAACACACAGCAAATCTTTGACTTATTTTTTTTTTATATTGCATACTGGACGTACTATGCTCACTCAACGTAAAATGCACTAAATGCACTAAAAACAATACGAAACTGGTAAGATTTTATTCATTAACCAAGCCATGTCTGCCATGTCTGCTTTGTGTTTAGTGGGGGAAATGATATATAGTTAACGGCATGTAAGAAAGGATCGAGAAACAAAATGAGTTATGAATGACACATGGACTTAAATCTAATGCACGTAGAAAAGTATCGCAGCGTAGAGAGCATTAAACCTTTGTAACACTTTAGCGTGAAGTTTTTAGCCAATTTTGTATCAGAGTCAGTTACTCGTTTGATAACAAACTCTCATCAAACAGTCATATCGATCTCCAAGATGGAACGTTCCATGGGCACCACTGTGTCTCGGCATCGACTGCAAGCAGGGAAATATGGGGAGTAACGAAGATGAATATGAGTGACAGAATATCAAGAACAGATAGAAATAGATATCGGAGAGCTCAAACATTGTATAATCTCATTTTGTATGCTTCACACCAAAGGATCATACGTACATTCATGGACAGAGGGCCTGTTGTTCCTGAAATGGGAATTTAACAGTGAGTCAGTGGGTTTACTTTGATGTTGCATTGAGCAGTGGTTAGGTTATTTGACAGTATACTGGCACAACGTTTGAGGATGGGCAGCAATGATGCAGGTCGTAGACCTATGATAACGGTTTTCATGTAACCAAAGTTACCAAGGAGTGAGTGAGTATTGCTTTAAGCCGCATTTAGCAATATTCCAGCAAGATCACGACTGGGTACACCAGATATTGGCTTAAGGATACCAAGGATAAATATTAGGATGAATGTAAGAGATCCAAAAAAAATCCACATTAACCCCGCTCGGCATCGACTGCAAGCAGGGAAATTTCGGGAGATATATTCCTAAATTAAGAAATTCATGAAAAGGAACTTTATCATCCCTTGTCACCTCAAAATTGCAAACCCAGATACTGCAGTAGGTATTAGTCAGGTAACGTTAGGTTCATGTGTCGACATCTTATATTCACAAATGATCAGAGTCAGACATAGGCGTGACGTGAGCCGACTGAAACCAAGATTGGGATCGCAAAATACAGAAAACAGTACAATAGAAACATTGAAACCTATGAGGGGAACCTTGACTAAATATCAGTGCTGTTTCATGTAAAACAATAGGCTAAATCTTGAGTTTGATGTAGATCTAAGATGGAATAAGGCTGAAGTAAGGAAGTATGGACGTGATTTGTCGTAGGTAATAACACCGTTATCAAGCAAGTGGTAACTTGCTTGATAATGGCGTTAGTACGAACGCCGAAACGTCGCACTCATTTCAATAAAGAAGTTGACTATCCATACAACGTGGTTTTCCTCCACCTATGCAACTTCTAAAATGCCTCTCAAAGAACCTACTAAAGTGAAGTATGTTTTAGGATACATGATACATGTATGACAGACACAGTCAGGTTCAATAACAAGTTGAGTTAAGATTCAATTAGAATTATAATAATGAAGAACACGAGAAAAGGGCATCTTTTACTTATTCAGCACACCCGTGAAGATCTGGGTCAGAACTGATCTACGGTAACCCATGCTTATCGACTAACGGTATCGGGTGGTCAGGCTCGCTGACTTGGTTGACACGTCATCGCATTCCTGTTGCGTAGATTGCTGTTCATGCTGTTAATCACTGGATTGTCTGGTCCAGACTCGATTATTTACATATCGCCGCCATAGAGATGAAATATTGCTGTGTGCGGCGTTAAACAACATACAAACCAAACTTATTTAGCAAACAATGACCATGCAAATAAAGTGAACTCCAATAACCATCAAGTAGACAGTTTCCTTCCACTGATTTACCATCCTGAACTTACAATTGAGGATACACGTGAGACAGCCTTTATTGAATTTAGATCTGTGCATGAAGAATGAGAATGAGAAAATACTCCCTACCAGGCTGAATACAAAAAGGATGATTTCAGTTTTCCAATAGTCCACTATCCTTTCATGTCGAGCAATGTTCCAACAGCTCCAGCCTTTGGTGCTTGCATTCATAACTGTTGAGGTCGATAGAGCATACACGTTATATCAAGATTTCAAAGAGCGGCATACGACTCATGCACTGAAGCAAAGTGCACAAAGTCATAATATTCAGGCCTTACTATTGCTTTCAAAAATATTTTTGGATATATGGAAGACTTTATAAAATTCGATGCACCAATGACAAAAATGATGTCCAATGTGTACCAATGATGTCATACGTTACCGATATTTTTATGTGAACAGTTGACTAGCTTTTGGCAGAGATTTCTTACGAATGTGGAAAGGGTTTTCTCGTTTCTATCAACATTTGAAGCCCATGTAATTCTACCTCGGTCATCCTGTTTCTTGACATTCTATATTACATTGTTTGGATATCTAGTATCCGGCATACATATACGTTTACGGTTGTATCAAATGCTTCTGGTAAATGAATCCTAATATATATTACGCACTCACTTAAAACAGCTGCATAAATAGAAAGTTTCCAATCCCATGGTTTGGATGAATAACAAAGAATTGACATTTATTAGAATTTAATATAGAAATTAAGAACGGGGACATGATTTATTCATTTAAATTGTTTCATGGGAAAAAATGTCTCTCTACCTTGGTGAATAAGTGGCGTACTCCAAATCAAACACTGGACTCTGATTTCAAATGTTTCATGTGATAAAGCAACGGTTTGAAGTAAATACACAATGTCATTTAGTAAGTGGGAGCCGTGCCATTTTACACTTATCAGAGGTGTACACAAAGTTAATGGTTCTGATTACCAGACGTCCGACTTCCATTTTTGTGGAAGTAGAGTGGGTTAGACGGCTGACTTTGTGTGCTGGGGATTAGTTGCTTGACTCTGAGGGTCTGGGTTCGAATCCTGAATGGAATTCAACCCTACAATAGTACTAGAATCCTTATTTTAAGAAACTATAATCACAAACGTGCTACTTTCACTTGGTATTCTTGAAACTTGTAGCATCTCCTTTCTGTGACAAGCCATTTATTTCATTTATGGGTAAAAGGCAAAATTGCGGTAAAATTTTACATACAAACTTTGCAGAATATGAATATGGGCTACAGGTGGGAACTTATCAAAATCAAGATAGCATTTCTCTTTATTATCAGTCAGACACTGGACCTCAAGTACATGTTATTATCACAAACAGCAAAACTCTTGTAACCATTTTAATTCGTTCAATGCACCAGGGTTTACACTTTCTGATTCATACAATTCAACAACTTCCCTTCCATTTCAACACACATTCAATTTTTCACGGCAATTTTTGTCTTTGTATCCGTAGGTTGATACATACGGGGTACCAACGTATGACTGTACGTACGTATGATGATTCCGCATGGACTGTATCGTCTTCAACATGTTAACTATACCATATGTGAACCACCTACAATTAAATTTCATCAACTTCCCAGAATCACCGTGATATATATTCACCAAAGTAAACATGTAACTGTCAGGTGTTAATTCTGATTGAGTAGGAGTGATGGTGGGTGATCAACCCACTGAGCCCACATTTAGCCAATAAAAACACCTACCTGAACAAAGATAAGAGAGATAATTCCCAGGTATATATAGTGGGAAGCGTTAATCGCCTGACAGGGTCTCCTCAGTACAACGATAAGAAAGGTAAGTTGGCTACACAATATTATTCATTTCTTTCAGTGGGCTGTACAACAACAATCAAACATTCAGTGACGTTACCTGTGGGTTCTGAAATTTTATTTCCGAACATGTAATCAAGGTTAAGTCTCTGCAAAGGTAATGTACATTAGGCAAGTTCTTACTTTTCAATGTTGATCCCATTCAAACTCCCTACTTTGTGTCCTCTTTGTCTGTGACTATAACCCTTGATATGGACTTGTTTCAATTAATGTGATTAATTCATCAAATTAATCACTATTATTCACGTATTTCAGTGGGCTGAATGTTACGAAACATTCAGTTCAGTTATGTGCAGGATCTTCAATTTTATTCCGAGCATGTTATCAAGGTTAGGTATTTTAATACGTAATGCAAAATTGTGGCAAAAAGGTCACGATGTACATTAGGCACATGCTGTGTTTTCATTGTTGATCCCTTTCAAACGCCTTTTGTGAGCTCTTATTTTCGGTGACTATAACCCTTGTTATGGACCTATTTCAATTAATGTTATTAATTCTTCAAAGTGGTTATTTATAACAGATTATTTCCTAAAGATTGAAACTTAAAGTCTGAAGTTAAAACGTCAGCGCCAGACAATTATCTTGAATATCTCCCGAAACATGTTCTAGTGCGCGTATAGGACAAATAGCTGAGAAACATTATCTGAGTGAATTACTGAAATCCGTGATGACAGGTGCTCGCAAACACGATAAGCACACCTTGTTCTGCGGTGGCAGCCGCGAAAACACAATGTACATATTAAAGTAAGTGTGTGTTTGTTATGGCATTATGCTGCACAGCGATACTTCCGCCACTCCACGGCGGCCTCTAAACTATCGAATCTAAGTCAAGAATTTTGTCAACATGAAATACAAATTCATCCATGAAAATTGCACTCAAGAGGTACCTCCTTTCCATGTCGATATATATTTCTTACAATCGTCTCAAATATGTTAACTATACCCTATGTAAACCACCTACAATGAAATTACTGGAATTTAACCAAACTTTCCAGAATCACAGAATATTTCCTAAAAATTCAAAATCCGAAAAAACAACATTATCTCAATGGATAACTGAAATCAGGGATGACAGATGTGCGGACAAAGGAAAAGCATGCCTTGCGCTGAGATGGCAACCGCGAAAACACAAGATGCATGGTTAAGTAACTACAGAGGAAGCTGTTTGAACCGGGGCTCTTCGGGACTGAAGACATAATCCGGTTTAAACAGAGTGCAGGATTGTAGAGCCGACACGGCTCAAATTCACTTCTATTCACTTAATAACATAAACATGACAAATCAACACATTTGAAAAATCAAGTGTTATTTCAACGCAGTATTAATTTATAAGACAAAATATTATGGATGTCAACTTCTTTATTGTTCACACTACGTGTTTGGGCTTCACTGTATTTTATGCCGGTGTTGACGACCGTTGACGACCGGATTGGACAACTGCCGGTTTCGACAGCTTCCACCGTATATGTTTGTTATGCAACACAGCAAATGATAGAAACGGTATGGTATAGACAATAAGGCATACTACAGTAACAGGAGGTTATGATCCCAGTGCTGACAAGGAATTATGCAGTACAGTCAGTTTATCAGATTACAGAGAACACTGGTACGATGCTGACATGGTTGTCAAGTCATCCGTTCTTTTGTTATAGGAGACCAACTGTTTAATTATTTTGAATTTATCTATCGTTCCTGGAAATAGAGGAAAAAAGCTTCACGTATTTTACACAATTTTAAACAGTTGCAGGAATATCAAAACAGTCGCTACAATGGTCTGTCTTGACCATCATCACATCATTCTAAGTGACTGCGTAATGTGCGATTTTTCTTTTAAAGCCGCACTTAGCAAAATTGAAGCTACATGTAGGCTGTCTGTAAATAATATTGTCTGAACAAGGCAAATTAAGCTAATTTGTCAATTTGGATACTACGAAATGATCACGTTAATCGTCTTTTACGACACCATAGTTGCCTAACCCACGTCCTAACCTAGATCTTCACAGCCACCTTAACCTATCAGTGACATGACTTGATAAGACAATTCAGGTCAGAGACAGCAATCGTGAAAGGAGCTAACAGCTGGGAAGATCTTTTCTCTGGTTTTGTGCAGTTGTTCTTTTATCAATGCACATCGACCCTAACCTTTGAGCACGATAGATACTGCTGCTTTGTTTCTTTAGGCTGCCTTATCTTGTAAACATCCGGTTCTAGATAGATAACAACCACGAGTGTATTATTGAAGTTACATTTTGTCTGGACCCTCTGTCTGTGCGAATGCAACTAAAACATTGGTGCTGTATTCAGTACCACCCTGTCTTATAATGTTTGGAATTTATGGTTATTTATCTGTATTCAATTTTCAGTATCACCATGCTTTGGCTTCTGTTTGTAGTCGGAATAGGATTCACCACGGCCGACAGGTTCGTTTGTTTGTTGTCTAATGCCATTCTCAGCAATATTCCAGCTGTACGAGAGTGGTATGTGAATAAACCAGTTGGCACCAGATAATCACTGATTGACATCATGAGCAAGTGTAATATGATGACAAGCATCAACCCAGTCAGTAAGCCAGACCTCCCAATCCCGTTAGTCGCGTCTCACGACAAGGACGGTTGCTGAAATCTAATTCTAACTCAGATCTTCACGAATCTGAAGCCTTAATCTGGAACTTTTAATCGAGTTGGTGGTTTTAATTGGCGAATGTTCCTCAATAGGCGTGACCACTTTCTGGTGAATATCAATAAATGTTTGAATTTGATGTCAATTGACATAGACATATTAATTCATCAAACCGAATTTAGTCTGATTCATGTGTTTCAAGAGCAGTTTTATTTATCATTTATAATGCGTCAGCTCCAGAGAATACTCAGTCTCTGTTGACAACATGGTCTCTGTTGACAACTCTTTTACTGCTCCTCTAGTTCCGGAGGTTCGTATCTCATAACGTCCTCCAAGTATCTGCAACGTGGCATGCCATTCAACGTCAGCATCGACATCCTCAACACCACCAACACCGTCCATGTACAAGTGGAGCTGCAACGCATATGGAACAACTACACCAACACTTTCAGGATCCCTGTTATGATGGCCAAAGGTGACTTCACTAAAGGTGAGACATGATACAGAGGTAACTGTGGTTGATTCTAGTGTGGCATTTCAAGCTATCCTTTCAAGCAAAACTTGCTAAAAGTGTGAAATCATGTTATGGTCTGTTGATTCACAGTTTTGGGAGTTATCAGTCGTGCGTTGTTTGTTGTACACATCTCTCATTAGAGACCAATGCCTATTAAAACTGAAACGTCACACTCTGGTTCCAACCAATGATGAAACTCCTATTTACGAAGACTTTCTAACCGTTTTAAAAACATTTGTGTGGTTAGTGTCATGTTTATTCAAATTCCCATGTAGTCATCCATACAGGTTTTATAGAATTCAGTGACCCCCAAACTGAATATTCGTTAGGTGCTCTTCCGAGGAATGTGGAAAGTTTTTATCTTCATAAGTAAAGGTTGTGCCAACATTCGGGTAATGAGACTGCATTTAGCCCTTGTATGTCTTTGAAAAAGCCCATTTGTGTTGTCTCCTTTCGTGATATTACCGGAATAAAAGCGGCGAAAGACCAAAATCACTCACTCACTCTTTGAGAATTCTTAGTGACATATCTATATTGTTATTAATATTACAAACATGAACAAAATGGAAACAATGTGTTTATGGTGAAAAAGGCTTTGCTAATGAACTTGTACCACATGATCTGTTGCATCGTGTCCAATTTAATCATATTGATTACAATACAGAATGGGATACACGACGAGGTATGTTGCCAGTATCATGACCAATTGGAAATTTGTGGATATTCTGGCATTGTACTATTGTAAGCTCGGTCTGGACAGATAAAAAAATACTTGTTAAAATAATTCTACGACTAGATTTAAAGTGTGTACTCGTGGGATCCGCAATACCAAATACTGAGACTGTTAACATGTTGGTAATTTTTTTAATCATAACAAAATGTATTTAACCATTACTCTGCAGTTCTCTCAACAGCATCCATGAAAGTAACTAACTGAGTAAAGAATTATGTCTCAGAACTTCTACCATCATTGCATTTCAGGAACGACAGGGACGATATCACTGAATGTAAGTATATAAGATCAGTCAGTGCTGATTCAGTCAATGAAACAATCAAACAACCAAGAGATGTTACACAATCAACTATTCTAAAATGACCTAACTATTCAACTCAGTATCATTTACTGCACAGGATTACAATCGCAATACAAACTTAAAGACACTTTGATATAATGAGTGGTTATTGCAATATGGTGATACTAGAGATTAAGATTAACAAGTGGAAAGTAATCTCCATGCAACTGCATGATGTAAGATGACATGCGAGAATGTACACCTTTACATATACACTAGACGCCAAAAGAAACGTTACCCTCCCATCTTCATGAATTACTGAAAAACTATCAAAGATATTTTAGAAGGTTTCAGTTTACAAGAAAGCTAAACAACACAGCTTTATGTAAATTACGAAAACAAATTCTCAAATGCATTCATATTTAGGTGAAATGCATTTTTTAGAAGAGTTACATTGTCCTATATTCGTCCATTCCGAAATAAACCAATAATAGTGATTTTGATGTCCAAAAGAAAGGTTGAACTAACATTCTGCTTTGGGACAATGGTAAACCATTTAAAGTCACCATTTTTCAACTAGTATAACAAGAAACAACTGTTGTAGAGTGTGTAATATTGTAAAATAATCATTCCTATGACTTTTAAAACATTTTCTGCTGATTTGCATTAGTGAAAACAAGTAAAACGTGTCTTTGATATTGTGAAAAAATGTTTAGCAACATCTAAATTCACCGTACACAGACCAAGCAGTGGACGTCCACGCATCACAACGCCAGCTGAAGATAGGTACCTCCGTCATTAAGGAAGGAGGGTAACGTTTCTTTTGGCGTTTAGTGTATTCAATGTAATACATTTGCAACACTATTTTATCATGATCAACACTTCCACATAACAATTTCTGTATAATCATTGTTAGAGATGTATGTGAGATCATATGAGCCTAGTATTATTCATCTTCACGTACAGATCAATCAGTATATTCTCTCACCAGGTACCACGGGACATCTCTGATGGAAGTTACCGTCTCCATGTCCGAGGTAGAGGGGCTCTGCAGTTTGAAAGAGAAACGTCCCTCATCCTCCGTTCCAAGTATATTTCTGTCATGGTACAGACTGACAAGGCCATGTACAAGCCAGGACAGATGGGTGAGCTGAAAAAGGATGTAAACTTATGTCATGATAAAGTCATCTGTTTCTTTGGTTTCTTTATTCCTCTTAAGCCATTATACTTTAAATAAGGCATTTTACCCGAATTAAAACGTGTAACTGGCGAATACTTCGGTTTGCCTTGCCTTTATATTTTGATTACACTTTCAGAGTAAAGTACAAATTCTAGTACTTTTATTGGTTTGAGTTCTATCCGGGATTCTTCGGTGGCTGAGTGTGTAACGTGTATTACATTTGACCACTTCCTAAATGACTTTGTGTATTCATTAATAAGAATGTTTTTTACTTGAACCAATGATTAATTTGTCTCTTCTGCAGTTCATTTCCGAGCGTTTGGTGTCTATCCAAGTTTGCAAGTGTACATGGGGACTTTCAACATAGCCCTTGTTGTAAGTTGATAATACAATATAATATCTGTCACATCAGTATAAACATGCAATATACGTAGAAAACTGCATAACTATAACTATACACCATAACATGCTATTTGTTTTGGAACATTCAGGAAGATTTGTATTCAAAATGTGAAATAATGCCAGTGAACTGTAAGTGCATATTCCTTTGTTTATCCATAAGAACATTTACAGTGATATTCTGTTTATAGAGCTTTGGTATATTCTGCAGGATCCTAACAACAACATTCTGAAGGAGTGGACGGCTCTCCATGAATCTTCTGGAGTTGTGGCTGGGGAGTTCCAGTTGGCAGATAAGACTGTTCTGGGAGATTGGGCTCTACGAGTTTCACCAGGGGTTGGTTATAGTTATTAATCTTTAGAAAAACATTATGTTCCTATCTTAGAATTATTTTTGCAGGACTGGCCCTGGCTCTACGAGTGTCAGCAGCTGCTGGTTTGATATATTTAATAAACAAAACAATTATAAACAATACAAAGATTCTTTTTTGCAGCACGTAGGATTTTGTGACTGGTCACTTTTGTAGTGATTGGTCCTTTCAAATCAGAAAACTTTTCAGTTCGATTCTTCAAGTTCATGCCTGTAACCTTAGAATATACAATCCCCCCAAATATCGAAACATTAAGTTTGGCCTCAACATCCTAGACTAGCTGTTTTGTCACACACTGGTTCTTTAGCCGTACCTAACATATGGACATACATGCACAGCATACAGAAACTCTAACTGAGCATAAACCATCTAATCGAACCAGAACACTTTCGATGCATCTTAAGGTCTTTCTTAAGTCTAAGAAATTGTTCTCTGCAATACAAAATTAAAGAATTTCAAAAAGGTGTTGCTATGGTACGAACATGGCTAAGAAGGGGTAAATAGTATGACAACAGCAGTTTCAGGACTGTTTGTCTGAGGATTAGTAAATTGTATTGATAGGTCTTCTCTAACATATTTTGAAAGACCCTTGAGTTGTCAGATATTTAATTCTGAAGGCATCCTTGGTTATGTGGATCCCAGATCTTGTGGCTGATATTGAAATGCGTTGTCAACATAACTTTAACGATGAAAAGTAAGAGGCAAATAACGGTATCAGATGATCAGGCTTGCTGACTTGGTTGACTCATGTCATTGTATCCCAATTGTGAAGATCCATGCTCGCGATGTGAACCAGTGAATTGTGTGGTCCAGACAGTGTTATTTACAGAATGCCTTCATATTGCACGGATACTACTCAGTGCGTCGCTAAACATATATGTACAAGCCTCGAAAATTATATTCATATCAAAATTGTCTTCTTTATTCAGGACCAAGTAAGCGTCACCTCTAAAACTTTTACAGTTGCAGAATACCGTAAGTGTGACTGTATTGTTCTCTTCTGTTCTCATTAACATTTAGAAATAATAATTAATTGGGGTACAGGAAAGAGCGGTAACACAAATATCCCTTGATCTTCAGATCGAAGCGAGTGTCCATTGATGTTTAACTCCATTTCAGGCGTCAGAATATAACAGAGGGTCACTGGATTGTCTGGTTCAGACCGAATCTGTCTACAAACAACATCATACAGCTGTAATACTGCTCAAACAAATATCTGCTCATGATATAGTCACAATTGTACAATCGACTCTGCTTTTCGCAGATATTTCTTATTAACGTGGAAAGGGTTTTGTCGCTTCTATTTGAAAACGAAACTTACCTATATTTAAATATGTAGTTAAAATAAGAGATTACCATCGACAGGCAAAATGTTCAGACCATTTTTTGTTTTAGAACTGCCCCGCTTTGAAGTCAAAGTTGATCTTCCTTCGTTCTCCCTGACCTCTGATACAAAGCTGTCTGGAACAGTGAAAGCAAAGTGAGACATTTTATCAAATCAGTATTTGAATTTCCCATCTCTCACAGTACAACATATTATGGTTGCGTATTGCTCCATATAACCTTGGTTATTGACGCTCTTAATCTTGCATACCAGGCTGAAACACTGTTACATATGTATTCCTTTTCCAGATACACCTTCGGAAAGCCAGTTAAGGGTATGGTGGAATTACATACACACATGAACGTCGCTAACGACTACTGTGGACGACCGCCCAAATATGTTGAACTGGCATTTCCTGTAGGTTGATAAACTATAAAATTACCCATATCCACATTTTAATGAAAGACCTGAATGATCCAGTTTGATTGTGATACAGAGTATGTATGCCATACTCTTAAGTTGAAATACATTTCTGGTCATAAATAAGAAAAGGATAATATTTGTAGTTATATTCGGATGAATTGTCAAACTACCTGCACAACTGATTCTTGTATTTTCAAACGCATTTCAATAGTGCACACATCTTCCCTGCAGAGAAAGGCCAACATCAGTCTCAAATGTTTTCTCCACAAGACCGAATCATGAATCATATATTGTGTTTGATCAAAATTAACAGATTGACGGGGAAGCCAAATTTGACATTCCTGTTGCCGACATCAAGCGTCTCCAGAGCAATCTAAATGAACAGACTGTCGTCGTTGTCGCCATCGTGAAGGAGGAGTTGACGGGCGTGAGGCTGAACGGGTCAAGCTCACTGAAATACCACCAATACCCCTACAAGATTGAAGTCCTCAATTCAAGTCCGAAAACTTTCTCACCCAAACTTCCATACACAGCATATGTGAGTTGAAATTTAATAACACACATAAAATATCAACATTTTTGTCATGAAAACCATTGAATACTTCACAAATATATTTTAAGTTATACAATGTGTTATGTTTAACTCTCTTCTAAATTTACACATCACACAACAGATCAAAGTGTCCCAACAAGATGGCCGCCCTGTGACCGACCTCAGCAGTCCTGTTGGAGTGTACACCTGTGTCACATACCGTATTGTCCAAGATGACCAGTCCGAGTTCTCCTGCTCATCCTTCACCGGCAACTACGGCCTCCCACCCAAAAACTACACCATCCCTGCCTCCGGCATCATCCCCGTAGACATGCGCATCCCCGAGAACACCACTAGTATTAACGTCAAGGTGAAAATGTAACAAACCAAGTTTCTGATATGATTGGATTATGTATTAAATTAAATAGACAAACCCAGTAACTAACTATATGTATATGCTGCATTTGACTATGAACAATTGTGTGATTGCAACCTGAATTTATAACAAGAGCAAGCGAATGAAAAAAGTATTTTTCTTACTCTTATTGCTTGTAATTTTAGACAACGTAGTTGCGAACACATTGCAAAGGTAAAAGTAGTCGATTAATTTCTCGTGTGGTTTTGATGTTTTCCGTGATCGCCCTTAGGACCATAAACGTTCACAACAATATTCAATCCAGGTCCACTACAATGAGATATCCGACACTCTGACTGTCCAGCAGAAGACCTCTTTCAGTGGCAACTTCATGCAACTCAAACTCACCAACAAGGGGCTCAGGGTAGGCAAGATTGCACTATAACTATGTGTGGATGTTTTGTTTGGCATAGTTGGAAGGGATTACTATCCGGCATGATTCACTAGGGATTGATTAGTTACTGTTCGAAGTAATTGTTCCTGTTTGGTCGACAACATGTAATATGTTAACATATGTAATATTGGGTTTGTTTCAGGCGGGTCAGACAGCTCTGTTCAGCATTGAGTTGACCGAAGATGTACCCTTCATAACATACCAGGTAATCTGCTCAGTCATTGAGAAAAATGAATGATGCAATGTTTGATTGATTGAGCATTCAAATAATGACGAACCATCAGCCATGGCATATAAATTATAATGTTTACACCAACATTAAAATTGAATATGTAACAAGGAACAACATGACGTTCATAATGTTCAACATATCCACGGTTCAATTATATTTCATCTATCTATCTACCTACCCATCTACCTATATATATATAAAGAAAGAAAGTGATGAGAATACCGAGCGTACAGTAGTACATATATAAGAAGAAGTTTCTGAAATAATCACACGACACGGATCTTCTCCAACATGTTTCACTTTCATCTTCAGGGAGAAGTGATTAGAGTTAAACGGATTATGTTATGACGTCACTTTGTCATGACGTTACAATGCAACTGTATACAAATGAAGCCGCCAATGTGACGCCATGGCAACGCCGCGTCACAACATTTGTATACAGTTGCATGTGACGTCATGACAAAGTGACGTCATAACATAATCCGTTTAACTCTAATCACTTCTCCCTGAAGATAAAAGTGAAACATGTTGGAGAAGATCCGTGTCGTGGGATTATATCAGAAAACTTCTTCTTTATATATATATATATATATATATATATATATATATATATATATATATATATATATATATATATATATATATATATATATATATCTCTCATATACATGATATATGGCGATATATGTATAGATTGTAATTTTTCAATACTACACCATATTGATAGGTAAATTCGGGTTGCTTTCCCTTCCCGTGAGTTTTATTCACAGGTGGCACTTAACTCACGATAACACAGATACTATTGTCTTTATAGGTGTTATCCCGGGGTACTGTTGACATCACTGACCAAGTCACTGTTGGCGGCCAGAACCCTGTTCACTTCAATGTCCCCATCACTGCAACAATGGCCCCAGAAGCTCACATCATCGCGTACTACGTCAAGGCATCAGGGGGAGGTTGTTGCCGACAGTCTTAGCTTCAGTGTCGACGACGTCTTTGACAACAAGGTAACATGTAGTTATATACATATTAGTCACATTGTGATGGTGATGAGTTGACCTGAGCCATGACACATTATCGACATCGGGATATCAAGGTCAAATGCTACTTTATTTCAGGTGTCCATTGACTTCAGCAAGAACGACTCTAAGCCTCATGACAACATTGATGTCTTGGTCAGTGCTGACCCCATGTCATCTGTCAACGTCCTTGCTGTCGACCAAAGTGTTCTTCTTCTCAAGTCTGGTAACGACATATCCACAGAACAGGTTAGAGCACCTCTTTTTAAAAGAATGGTCATTATCCCAGATATACAAATAATTCATGCATCACAAAATAAATTATATATGTACTTATGGAAGAACATGTTAAAAAAAAAGCCAGAAAATACATTTAAATGCCATCTATACTTGTAATTAACTTGATCAGATTTTACAATCAGATTGTTTCTTCACACTGAAAATGAGAACACAGATATGGAATATTTCAAATGAGCCAGTGTTTCCATTTGGCCGATGTCAGCTCAGTGTGCTTATATATGTATCTCAGTGTTTACTTAGTAGTTGTCAGATAACGACGTCTTTGGGTACTTTTGCTCATTTAATTAGGTTATCATTGACCAATGTAGCTGACCTGTATTCTTGTAGACAAGCAGCCATTGGAGAGAGATGTTTTTATTCTTCTTATGGAAGAGAGTTCAGGACTTTCAAGAGATTTGAAATGTAAATAGCTTATTAAACCATCACATGCTTCCTTTTGTGTGCTCAGGTTCTTGATGAACTGAAGACGTACAGCTCTGGACAAACTGATGGAGAATTCTCACCAGAAGTATTCGCCATTTCTAGTAGTGCTACACGCTCAGCTGATGTCTTCTCGGTAGGTGACATTGTCTAAAACTGTGCTATTTCCTCGACATAGTTGTTTAAATTTGTCTCTTCATTTTGACATATCACATGTATTTTCTCCTGTATGTAATTTCATCAATGTGTTACATTTCTGTCAGTATATACGTCGTCGCTGAGTACAAAATTCCTGCACATCTAGAAATTACATTACCTTAGCAATGACTCATCTGTGTTCATTCACCCAAAAATAATATATATATATATATATATATATATATATTGAGAGGCAATAAAAGTATAAGTCTGATTATGGGGGAATGAACAATATTAATGAGGAGTTTCTATTCATCAAATTCTTTCCAAATATTGTCTGTAAGACATCAGAAACATTCATTAAAGGATATCATATTTATGTCTGTCTCTCCTCAGGACGCAGGGCTCAATGTAATCACTGATGCTAAGTACTTCAGCGCCTACCATAACCAGTATTATGGGTTTGGTAAGTAGTTTCCATCATTTATGTGTGCACAGTCAATCACTCAAAATTTCGAAGAGACAAACACGATTAAAAAGCAGGCTTGAACAACTTTAACGACTCACATACGCAATCAGAAAGAATTAGTATTAAATTGAGGAAACGTTAACATATTAAAGTTTGAGACTTAAGTTATGTGCCATGACATATTCTTGAGTAGACGTTGTTTCTCCATATTTTGTTTGCGTTGTTTTATGCCACAGTCATCAATGTTATAAACGACCACAGCGCCCTGCAGATAAATGTGGATGAGCTTCTCAAACTAGTCATCATTTGATTGTCCGTATATGCATACGTGACAAAGTCTGATTCATATTGGCAGGTACAACTATTGCACCATCATATGCATTCTGTAAGTATGATGTATTTATATGTTATCAAATTTATCTTTGAACTCCTTTAATATATATTTCATTATTACGACCTAGTTCAGGACAACTACTGCAAAACTGAAAGTACATGTCATCTGACATTTATTGAGAAACCATCTGAAATGCTAGACTTTCTCATTAAAACAACTCTGTAAAGTTTAAAGGTCACATGCAACCAAAAAATCAAACATAATTAAAACACAATTATCACTTATTCGTGACATATAATATACATTGCTGGTTATGAAAAAACATATAAACAAAATTATAAGCGTACAATCGCAAATCAAAAGTGCAATATTGTGTACTTCGGTTTACTTTCCAAGAAACGAAGCAGCCGGGATACCGAACCCAGTCAGAGCGGGTGGGTGTGCACTCAAGTGTAACGGCTGGTTCATTTGCGTATGCCCTCACGGCTTATTGTGTGTGTATATGTAGAGATGTTGGGTTTTGTAAATACATGCTCATTTTTTGTGTATAACATTTTGCAATCAACAGACATCATAACATGTCAAGTGTTCAACTATCACACCTGCCTGTCTGTGTAATTACATAATGTGACAGAGACCGATCTCGGGCCATAAATCAATGCATTTTGTTTATGGTGTATAGCCTGATTGGTGTTAAGTTCAAATTGCATGTGGTCAGTGATAGCAGCTGTGTATTAAATATTGTCATTAGCAGACAGGCAGGCAGACACACAGATGTCAATAAAACAAGACATTGAGTTTTGTCTGTGACAACGACATATCTATATCACAGTTAGAAATTCTGTCAACGCTAAATAATGACATTGCTTTTAAGTATCGAACTAAGAAAGTGACTCGGTAAGAAGAACGTGTGGTGAAATTATATAAACAGTTAATTTACTGTCATAACATATAAAAAGCTCGCGCCTGTGAGATATCAACAAAACATTAGAAAAATAGCTCACACCAAAGCCTTCACCGAGTATTCACCGACAGCCCGCTTCCAAGCTGCGCGAACCTATTTCACTGCGCACGTGCTATGAGCGCAGCCCAGCTGTTGAAACCCGTTTTCCCCAGAAAAGTCAGGGGAAAATTAGTGAAACGTTTGAACTCCGATTTCGCGCGGTTTTTTCAATCGCGTTATTTTTCAACTTTATAAGTTGAATTTGCATTTTTGACGATTTGTTTCGGTAAGTCCATACCGAAATGTATCAGAATCTGCAAAGTTGTGTTTTACGTTGCATGTGACCTTTAAGGGTTAAAGGTTTTGACAAGAAGTGGGCTTTTCATGGGCACAACCGCGTCCCACTTCCGGGCTATCTTTTTCTTCTTGCATGTGAATACAAGTGTTTGTACCCGAAGTCAGTTTGGCCGAAAGGTTTAACTTATGTTTTAGATCTAGCGATGATCTGATGTACGGCGATGACAGTGCTACCTTATTTACCTACCTGAAAATATACTAAATACACTCTTAAAAAAGGAGGGGAACTTCATTGTTAATTTACGACTGAAACATTCAATCAATCATTGTGATATGATAATAATGAATGTTTTGAGAGTGCATCACCACTTGCACATCCATATAACCATTGTTGTTTGAACAGTAATCGCTCTTGAAAGATGATTGGTGTATGACGTGAAATTTGCATGTGTACGAGTTTCACTTTCCAACAAAAAACCGTCTAGAAACCAATACCAACAACATGCAAGATGATTGTCAAAATTATGGTCTACAGTGATTTATCGAAATTCTTGAAAACCCTCAAAATCAAGAATGACACCCCATGCACGTGTATGAGGCTACTGCGTTGTGCACGTGCATCACATGCGTTGTGTATAGGGGTGGTGATAAAGAGAAATGGTGGTGCGTTCATAAGATATCTGTCTTTGGAAAGTTTGTTCAAGCTTATACTTCCTATCCAAATTGAAAGTTCAGGTTCCCCTTCTTTTCTTTTAAGAGTATATTTCGGTTATTTCAGTCATTGTAGACACTGACTGTAACATATATACATGAGACCACTAAGACCACAAAGTTTGGTTCATATTTATATATATGCGTAAATATTCAGAGTGACAAAGACACACACACTTTCTCGCCATATCTCCCAAATTCTAAATGTCTGTCAAAGGCTATCAAAACGTATGCATCATAGAATATTTGAATCTGCGTCTTTTCATTCAAGCAATGAGACCAAATGCCATTCTTGGAGGAGCTGTTCATAGTCAGAAGGTCAAGGAGGTGGAGAGGGTCAGACAAGAATTCCCAGAGACATGGCTCTGGATCAACAAGACCGTTGGGTAAGAAGATGTTTTGAAAAATTCATGTCAAACATCTTGAGACCCCCATACGGACATCTTATACATGCCGGTCATTAAACCAGTACACAATACATCTTTGTTCACCAGATGTATGTATTTGTTATGAATTTGTTCGGCGCATTTGATGCCTCAATCCTCTGCTGTCTGCATTCCGATCAAAGAAGGTTTCGAAACCTTTGCTGTTATTGTGGATATGTGGAGGACATTTCCAAATGCGATGCACCAGGGACAAAACATTGCCCCTTTCTACTTGTAGCCTGTATGGGTTTTCAGATGAACGCTTAATTTGCCTTTCCATAGGTATTTTACGGATGCCACGGGTTCGTCTTTTTATATCTAAAATCAGCTTGTTGTTTGTTTGTCCAGTGCTGACGGTAAAGCCACCATCAGTAGCACTGTGCCTGATACTATCACTTCCTGGATCGCCAGCGCCTTTGCTGTCAACTCCGCCACTGGTCTTGGTGTGGCCCCGTCTACCACAAAGGTACAATGATGAATTTATACTTATCCTCCCCCCAAAACCACAATACTGCCATAGGTTATGCAGTTTGTGCAGAAATTGTAATTAAAAGGTAATACAACTGAGCTTCTAATGAATTCTTTTTTCCTGAACTCTTGAACTTCAATGCTCATTTCATTACAAATGTCCAGTTTAGGTTTTTCTAATGTCATGTTCCATCTTTATGTTAAACATGTTCAATGAGAACCTCGAAATATTTTTATATTGCTAAAGGCAATATTTCCTGTTACGTTTTCTTCTTGATTACCAATGTGTAAAAAAACTGTACAAAAAGTGCCAGATTGTCCAGACATAGAAAAATGTATTGCACAATATCCGTCGCCCAACGTTTTCAGCTGCGTGTGTTCAGCCCTTTCTTCGTGAGCCTGTCCATCCCCACCTCGGTGTTACGTGGAGAACAGGTCGTCATTCAAGCCAGTATCTTCAACTACCTACCCAGTGACGTGGACGTGAGTGTGTCTTTTAAATCAGTCACACCTCCTATAGTGTTGATTGGGGATAGTCTTACATCACCGACCAGGACATGGATAATGGTGCAACTATTCCCATTGCCTTGAGCGTCATTGTGTCTGCTAAGTTGACTCAAACATGACAGCTGTTTATTGTTCTCATTGTCCACAGCAGGACACATTTCAGAACAGCACTTTCAGAATGCATGAAATCAAACATCTTTCATCTTGGTCATCCTGGTTCTGAAAAGTTTTGACCAAAATAGTTTTGACAGAGCGGATTATTTCACTTTCATCTTCAGTTTCTCATAAAAAATAGTTGCATCTGGGAGCTACGGATTAGTTCTAATAGTTTTGAAAGTTCATAAACAAGGTTTAAATTAATTCACTTTGCACAAATAGCTTGTAACGGTTCGTAGCTCGTAAGTTCCCTGAAGGGTACTTGGGAAAAAATGCAACAGTTAATATCACGTATATGTTCAATAGGTTGTAGTGTCCTTGCCTACCTCTTCGGACTACGTCAACGTAGTGGTTGGCAGTTCCGGTAAAACTACCAAGGAATCAAAGGACCAGACACAGTATGTCACGGTAAGTGTTTTTTTTAATTCACTTTCAGTGTTTAGCAAATGGAACTATTCCAGCTGTTAGATAGCAGGTATTAAAATCAAATATCGGCAGACATTAGAGCTGAAGAGGGTCATTAGTCAATGTTGCAAGCACAGCTCATCGGAAGTGGGAATAAGACTGGAAAAATAATAATCCGGACTCATTTTCATCTTAAAAATAAACTGTCCGACTTCAACATAATATGAATTCCGAACCCGGAACAAAGACCGTCTGGGCTAGAATGTTTCACATGGTAATATATGCAAAGTGTTAATTTGGGATCGTACATTGTTTGGGCAATATTGAAAGTGATCCGGGTTAGTCAGAGTCAGATTTAGACAGATTCTGCACTTATTGCCATGCCAGTGTTAAATGAATTTGTTGCACACATTCCCACAATTTATCATTCTGTCCTCAAGGTTAAGTCCAACGAGCCCCAGACTGTGTACTTCCCCATCATTCCATCATCTCTGGGAGCTATCGACATCGAGGTGTCAGCACGAACAACTCTAGCTGCTGATGCTGTCAGGAGACAGCTCAATGTCCAGGTAATGACTTGTTCGACTAATGATGCATACCCTCTAGGGCTTATTTCTCACGACAAAGAAGTCATCAAGTCTCGCGATCCGATTCGTTCTTTTTGGCTATTATGACAAAGATGGAGCGCTGGTGATCTTCTATAACTCAGATCTGAGAGTACATGAGGTGAAACTGGGTTTAACGTCGTCTTGTAGATTATTGCACTCTGAGTCCTTGTTTCATCCAGTCAGTGGCGAGAACAGTAACAATAAGTAACATTTTTAAAGTTGCTTTGATGTGGTCAGGGAATCGAACTACTACACCACAAAGATGGTTTCTGGGATGGAAGGATTGGAAGTTCTTTAACAAAAATGGTTCACTGATGTGTACATTTTAAAGTGTATAGTCTGTATCTACTTTCTTATCCCAGGCGGAAGGTATCCCCAAAGAATACAACGCACCTGTCTTCATTGAGCTGACACCAGGAGGCGCTGACTTCAACCAACATGTGGCACTGTCACTGCCATCAGAGGCAGTAACCGGATCAGAGAAAGTCAGAGTCAAAGTTACAGGTATTATACAACAGGGAAAGATGTAAAGAATGGAACTGATATGCTTTATGGGCTATGGGTATATTTGAATTTTACATGAAAGTTTGTAGACGTGACAGATAAGGTTCTTCAAAAGGACATTATCCATTGCCTGCATTTCAGGTGACCTGATTGGCGCCAGTCTCGACAACCTGGAGAACCTTCTGGCTCTACCCACCGGATGTGGTGAACAGAACATGATGACCTTTGCCCCGGATGTATATATTGCAGACTACCTTTACACAACCAAGCAAATGACACCCGCCTTGGAGTCCAGGATCATGACCTATCTCGAACTAGGTAAAATTATTTTCCTATAAGTTTATGACTGAATGCCTATTATTATTATTTTCCTATAAGTTTATGTCTGAATTGTTTGACGGTAAATATGGAAAAAACAAAGGTAATAGTTTAAAAAAAGGTGGAAGACTGTCGAAGTATGAAAAATGGTTCTATAATGGTGTACAAATAGAATGTGTTTCCTGGTACAAATATCTAGGTATTTTATACAGTAGGTCATAAGTATGGACCAAACACATAGAAAATGCATGTCTACAGTCTAAGCAAGTTTTATTTGGTATTTTTAGATCACTGTCAATGTTTAAGCCATTACCTTTTCACTTGTACTTTAAGATTTTCGACACCAAAGTTTGTCCAATTTTATTATACGGTGCAGAAATATGGGGACTGAATGTTGTTAACGAAATAAAAGTTATACATGTAGCAGCTTGTAAACGATTTCTAGGAATTAAATCCTCAGCGCATGTTGTGCGAGGCGAATGTGGAAGATAACCATTGTATATTTATACCATCAAAAGGTCTATCAAATATTGGTGAAAATATTGAAATGTCAAATGAGCGATATGTAAAGAAATGTTATAACATACTTGTACAAATGGAAAGTAATGGTTGCAGGAGCTGGGCATCTAGGATAAAGCATATATTAGAAGTCTATGGATTTGGATCTGTTTGGCAAGAAGATATGGTTCGAAGTGAAACGCTATTTTTGAATGAATTTCTTGGTAGACTCAAAGTTTCGTAACAACAGGACTGGCATTCTGCACTAATGAAAGGCGCAAAAACATTTGGATACACGTTGTTTAAACCTATGTTTGGTGTTGAATCTTATATCTTCATAGTTAGATATTTCAAACATAGACGTGCTCTTGCTCAATTTAGATCGGGGTCTCATAAACTACGAATAGAAACTGGCAAGTATATTGGTGAGGCTAGAAATGACAGATTATGTAATATCTGTAAATTGCCATATATAGAAGATGAATATCACTTCGTACTTATTTGTAATAAATATCAAGCATTGCGGCGACTGTATATCCCTTTACACTTTTATGAATATCCAACAATCCAAAAATGTAATACGCTTCTGCAATCATCAAATGCAAGCATCTTAAAACATTTATCAGCATATATATATATATACTATATATATATATATATATATATAAAGCTATGTTACTGAGACAGTCTTCATTATAACATATTTTCTCACTCTGTAATTCTCAAAGTGTAACCTGGGCCTATGGCCTATATTACTTTTCTGAAATAAACCACCATTAGGCATTAGGCGTGGCTAAATGCACTGATCCCGAAAGGTTTATTTGTAATTCTTATGTTTCTTCTACAATTTCCGTTTCTCAACACCTGTATTACTTTCAGGCTACCAGAGGGAGCTCACATATCAGAGACAGGATGGAGCCTTCAGTCCTTTCGGAGACCGAGATGAGGCAGGACACATGTGGTGAGTTTCCCTTTTCCCACATAAACTGTTCTATACTCAGTAATTAAACAGAGACACCCATGCAAAAGCTCACTCACACCTTAGTCTAACGCATAACTGTTTCATTTTTTCAAAGGCTGACTGCATTTGTAGCAAGAAGTTTCCATCAAGCCAGGCCTTACATTTTTGTCGGAAATCAGACTTTGGCAAGGTCCCTTAACTGGATGGCAGGGAGGCAGAATTTGGATGGATCCTTCAATGAGCCTGGACTTGTGTTTGACAGACAGATGCAGGTACGGACAGGATATTACGAAATATTAACATTTCCAAAATGATATTTCCTGACTACACACATCTCAGTTGGTCCTTGTCTAGAACCTTAATATCGTGTTTCTTTTGTTTCCTCAGACTTCCAAAGCCTCTCTTACATCCATGGTGCTGCTGGCTTTCTTGGAAAATCAAGACATTGGTGGATATGGGGTAGGTGTAGGTTTAGCATCATATAGACTCATATGTTCTTTGACATTGGAAAAGTGTCAGTGAACAATTGCTTTTTCGGTCTTTGTCATTTCTGAAAAAGAACCTTTGTAAACCTAAAGAGGGAAAGGATAGAACTGGCTTCTGTAAGTTAAGAAGCTTTTCTAAATTTGGAAATATTATTGGAACTTTTGTGTAAGGACATATTTCACAAATACACCTCGTTGATGTGTGTCAGAAGCGGAATGTAACAATGCATTGACATGCGACAGAGGGAGTTTTCAGAGCTATATGTATATGTTTTTATCACGGACATGTAATTATGAAGAAGTTTGATCATTTGGCTGTCATTAAATTATGTAAATATCAAGATTTTAAAAGGAACAAAATCGGTTTGATGTTGCAAAATTGTATCTTGAAACAATGACACTACATAGGATCCAAACCTTCTGAGTCTCTCTATATGTAGCTTCTACAGTACACACACTGAATCGCACTAGAATCAATAGAAGCATAACAAACTTGGAATTGAGCTTGAAAACATATGTTTTCATGACAGATTAATGAGTATACGCTTGGAAACGCCACTGTGAATGCCACGAATTACCTGGAGATAGTGGCTCCCTCTATCACGGATCCCTTCACTCTTGCCATTGTCAGCTACGCCTTGTCTGAGGCTGGCAGCTCAGTAGCGGATGTCACGTTAAATAAACTCAACGCCGCAGCTGAGGTTGAAGGTAAATTCTGGAATTGTGTCACTGATACCCACAACAATTTGAACAATAGTTATACCAGGCTGCATACCGTATGGTTGTTTTCAAATAAAAACCGTTTGTGCAAGAGAATAGACAGTCATGATCATCCACCGGAACTGATTAAATATACGTACCCGCCACACAATCTGCATAAAAAGTGAGATCCAGTGACACCATAATGTACCCACTGTTTTTTTTGCTAAACCAAAAACTCAATCCAAAAGAACCCAATATGCTTCTTAGAAAACACGACTGCTGAGCACATGTACAGTGGTAAATCCATTTTCTTACACTGGCACTTAATTACCAGGTACTCTGAAACACTGGACGGAACAAACAACAGCCTCCTCAACTTACTATACAAACTGGACACCTCCCCACACACGCGCCCAGCCTATTGACATTCAGACAACAGCGTATGGTCTTCTGGCATCCTCGGCACGCGGTGATCTCAGAGGAGGTCTTCCAATAACCAACTGGCTGACCTCACAAAGGAACCCATATGGCGGCTTTTCTTCAACGCAGGTCAGTGTTGAATCGGTTAAAGGATTTGTAGCCTTTAGCAGGACTAACCAAAGTCAATTCATAATACAATTTTCATTAAGATATGCTCGAACACGGTGCTCTTATTTAGCTCAGGGTTTTTCTTGAAGCCGTGTATGAGTACTAGGTGAAAATTATTGTAAATGCAATTCATTGCTATGTCCATAAGTTCGGAACTGAATAAATGATATCATGTAAATATACAATAAAACATCGATTGACATTCCACAAAGGAAATCTAAGTACATAATTTCTCACCTGTTTTAAAATCTTACTTAGTGACCATTTGCATGTATTGTTAGTTTTGTTTGATATAAACTGTAAGCAGTTCATATTGTATGGTTATATCAAGGAATTCAATTTTTACTCTACTGATCCTCATGTATCACAGGACACAATGGTCGCACTTCACGCCCTAACTGACTATGCCCGACGTGCACATGCTTCCGGTTTCCAAGTTGAGGTTGACATCAAGAGCGGAAGTGACAACCAGCACATATCTGTGACTGACAGCAACGCACTCGTTTTGCAATCAAGAGAGGTAGATTCAAAACCGGGATATATGTATAATATTAAAGAGGTGACATATAAAGGTGTTGTTCTAATCCAAATTGTAATGGATTTGTACTCAATAAATTGTGAAAGAGACTTAACTTGGCATTTATGCTGCGTATTTAATACTCTGAAGCTCGTTCTTTAAAATGTTAGCTTTTGGTTTGTTTCCAGCTGACGAAATTCCCAAAGGACGTGTCTATTACGGCTACTGGTAAAGGTGTTGCATATGCCGATGTAAGTATGAAGCAATGGCTTAAGCACAGTGCTCCGACTATAAGTAAGTCAATGCCTGAATCTGATTACTCGAATACTGAATAACAGATAGATCAAATACGTGAGCAAATCCCTTGAACAATAAATGGTGTATCTCAATACTGACTGTATGCTTTTCCATTCCAGGTGGATGTGTTCTTCAACGTTGATGCTGAAATCGGTGACCCATCCTTTGACATTAATACTGTGCTGCTTGATGACACCATCAACAACTTCAGACTGATGACCTGCACTAAGTGAGAACACAATTAATAACACTGTTTCAGTCATGTAAGTGATATCTATTGATAATGATATCTTTTTTCAGTCTTGACATGTTACAAGTAGAACAGTGCATTGACTGGCTTCAAATGAATTTGAAAGGTATGTCATTTTGATCAGCCTGTTCGCCTCTCATAAAATATGAGTTTTTCCTCTTTTATCTCCTCAAGATGGCTGAAGGAGGGATCCAGTGGAATGACAGTGATGGAGATATCTATCCCATCAGGCTTTGATCCGGATATGACGTCCATCGGCAACATTGCTGGTCTGAAGAGATTTGAAAGACGTGGGAGAAATGTTGTTGTATACTTTGATGAGGTGGGTTTGTGACGTTTTGACATCAGTTAATAATAGAATATGGGTTATGGTCAGTCTGTGAAATTAGAGTCGTTCAGTCTTGTCGTCAAATGACATCAGGGCTTATCATCACATGACAATGATAAGCCCGTCAAAAAGCTTCATCCTTCTCTGTTTAAATTGCTCGCTGATTACTTCACTTAGTCTAATCCTTTCCCTTTGGCCTTTGTACTTTTTCGTGGTACTGAAAGCAGTACCACATCTGTACATCACTTCATGTTTAATAGCTAGTGTTCATTGTTTCATAGTCACGATATGGCTGAAATATTGCCGATGTGACGTTAAATAATAACTCACTCACTCACTCATTATTTCATACTCTAAACTGTAAGTATATATTGCATGGTCATCACTATAGTGGCAGCAATTTTCGCCTTTACACCATATGTAATTTGTTTCTGAGGATAGTCAAGATAGGGTATTCTTTTGCATTGACGTTCTGAATATTATGCATAGAAAATGAAATCTAATAGTGCATACACAATGTACATTCCATTTTCTTTCCAAAGATTGGCACAACGTCCATCTGCTTTGACATCCTGTCCACCAGAACCGGCATGGTGACGAACAACCAGCCCAGCTACGTCACAGTCTACGATTACTACCAGCCCAGTGAGTATGAAATTCATACGTGAAGTGCTGATAACGTCTGTAACTTTGACCCGTGTTGCTGTTTGTGAATTACGCAGAAGCAATAACACAGAAATGGCCTAGCAGTCAAAATTGCTTGTCGGTTATACGGGAATGTATCTATAATAGTATATCTTATAGTTATATTTTCACTTATCAAGAGTTTGTTGCAGATATTTGACGTTATCCTTCTTTGTAGGTAACCAAGGTGCCACTTTCTACGAAACCCGCAGTCTCAAGGAAGCCACGATTTGTGATGTGTGTGACAAGTGTTGCAACCAGGTCGGTGAATAAGATACCATTTCCGTAAATGTATATATATTCTATTACATTCATGCATATGTAATGCCATTTACAGATATCAATTGCATACATTTAGTCAATATTTTATACTTTCCTCAATTCGATTGTTGAACAAGAATGTTATTGTCTATTACGTTGAAGGTAGAAATATTTGTTCCTAAATAGTAAATTTACCTTTATATTTAACTTTATGGATAACCCTACAGAGCAGGAGATTATACATAACTGTTTTAACAACGTGGGTTGGGGATGGTAGCATTGAGCCGTAGGGTTACATGACGGAAGTCACAGCTTTCATCCTTTGTTTAATCTTTCAGTTATGTTTTTCAATAAGATATTCACTTTCATTTCGCACAGGGAAGCACTACATTATAACATTGGTACAGTTGGCTGTTTGCTCAACAAGTGAAACAATAACTCTGGTTGCTAGCACAAACAATTCACATGATGGCACATAAACTAAATATTTTCTCTACAAATTGCCAAGGAATAAATATAATGAAAAGAAAAGAATTGATGTTTTTGAAAACTTAAAGAAAAGAAATGGAAATATTTACTGTTTACAAGATACACACTTTATTAAGGATATAGAGCAGAAAGTTAAATTAGAATGGGGATCATCTGAAGTACGCTGTTGTTCATTTACAAGTCAGTCTAGAGGTGTAGCCATCCTATTTCAAGATAATTTTGAATTTGAAATACTACAAGAAATAAGAGATGAAAATAATGGAAACTATATAATACTTAAGGTTAAACTAGAAAACGAACTTATAAGCATAACAAATATATACGGACCAAATACCGACACGCCAGATTTCTATCATAACATAAAACACATTGTAAAAAACTTGGAAACAGAAACAAATGTAATATGTGGTGATTTCAATCTGGTTCAAGATCAAAACCTAGACACCTTCAACTATCTGCACATAAATAATCCTAAATCAAAGGAAGCAGTACTTGAGATGGTTGATGAACTCAGTTTATATGATCCATGGCGAGCAAGCAATGTAAATGAACGCAGGTACTCTTGGAGAAAGCCGAAACCCCTAAAAAAAGCACGGTTAGATTTTTTTCTCGTAAGTAAACATGGAAAAATCAATAACCTGCACTAAAATAGAACCTAATTATCGATCTGATCACTCCATAATCTCTTTACATATTGAATTCACAAAAATAGAAAGGGGTAGAGGCTTCTGGAAATTTAATAATAGTTTATTACAAGATCCACATTATGTCAAAGAAATCAAAAGCATTATTCAAGAAACTGTTGATCAGTATCATAGTCGATCCAATGAAGGAGAGCGAGTATTAATGATAAACGAACAAATATTCTTTGAAGTTTTATTATGTAATATTCGAGGATATACAATTAAATATTCATCTCAAAAAAAGAAAGAAAGAATTAAAGCAGAACAGGAAACCAATGAAGCACTTGAAAACCTTGACGTCAAATTAGATGCAGCCATGAACGAAGAATATAAAGATAAATTATTAAAAGAAATAAATGAACTCAAAGAAAAACAATTAGAACTTAACCGATACAAAACAGAAGGCATTATACTAAGATCGAAAGCGAAATGGTATGAACAGGGAGAGAAACCGTCGAAATACTTCCTGTCACTTGAAAAACAAAACTTTCAAAATAAATCCGTTGCTAGATTAGAAACTGCATACGGTACTATATTTGAAGCTAAAGATATTATTAAACATACCAAAGATTACTTTCAGAATCTATATACTAGTAAAGAAATAAAAGATGTAGAACTTGAAGAACTTTTTAAAAATTGCACTATACCTAAAATAACTGAAGAAGAATCTCAATGCCTCGAAGGCGCACTACAATATGATGAAGTACTACAATCTCTTAAAAATATGAAAAACAATAAAAGTCCTGGACCATCTGGATTTTCTGCAGAATTTTACAAATTCTTTTGGGAAGATGTTAACAAATATTTGATTAACTCGTTGAATCACGCATTCAAAACAGGTGAACTTTCGGTAAGCCAAAAACAGGGCCTTATAACATGTATTCCCAAACAAGATAAACCTAAAGACCAAATTAAAAACTACAGACCTATATCACTCCTTAACATATCGTATAAACTAGCCTCGTCCGTAATTTCAGCGCGAATAAAACGTGTACTCCCGAAAATAATGAGCGACGATCAAAAAGGCTTCATGAAAGGTAGATACATTGGCGAATGCACGAGATTGGTCAGTGACATTATGGAATATACAGACTTTATGAATATACCAGGATTACTGATAATGATAGACTTTGAAAAAGCTTTCGATTCCGTGGAATGGTCTTTTATTGAGAAATGTCTTAACTTCTTTAATTTTGGACCATCAATCAAACACTGGATTAAAACATTTTACAACAACATAAATTCTAGCGTTTCAATAAATGGTTTTGCATCAGACTTCTTCCACATTACTAGAGACTGTAGACAAGGTGATCCTCTATCGCCATATCTATTTCTCATAGTCGCAGAAATCCTTGCTCACAATGACAAAATAAAAGGGATAAAAATGTTTGACTTAGAATATTTGCTAACACAGTTCACAGACGATACAACTATAATCTTAGACGGGTCTGAACGTTCTTTTCAAACAACATTAGAAGTGCTTAAACAATACGCATCCTCCTCTGGTCTTAAGATAAACATTGATAAAACTAAAGTATTGTGGATAGATTCTAAACAATTCTCAAGTACACAGTATTGCAGAGACTATAATCTGGACTGGACGCAAAGACCTTTCAAACTGCTAGGTATCATATTTCAACATAATAAGGCAGAAATGGTGGAAAGAAACTATAAAGATAAACTAAAGAAAATGGATAGACTAATGAAACTTTGGTCACTTAGAGATTTCACACCATTCGGCAGAATAACTATCCTGAAAAGCCTAATATTGCCCACACTCAATCATCTATTTTCCTCACTACCAAACCCCAAAATGAATACAATTCAAATGATCCAGAAAAAGATCTTCGCATTTATTTGGAGAGGCAAACCAGATAAAATAAAAAGGTCTCTGATAATCAGAAACTATAAAGAAGGCGGCTTGAAAGTTCCAGATAGACTCGAAACTATAAAATCTCAAAAATATCATGGATAAGAAGGCTGTTTACAACAAACTCTAAATTCAACAATATCTTAAATAACATGGTAAAAAATACAAACCCAATAGAAATGGGCTCAAATTACTTGAAAACACACATTATCCCAAAACTTAAAAAACCTTTTCTGGAAAGATGTTCTGGATGCTTGGGCTGATTTACAAGAACGGTATCCTTACACGAAATCCGACTTTTGTAAACAGTATATTTGGGCAAATAACAATATAAAAATTGGAAACAAATCTATACTATATGAACACTACTTAAAAGCAAATGTAAAATTTATAAATGACGTACTAAAAGATGATGAATCCTTTCTGTCTTTCACTGAGTTTAAAGAGATGTATAGAGTAGAGACAAATTTCTTAGAATATGCTGGATTAGTATCTTCAATAAAACAATATTCAAAGCAAGAAGCTACGCTATTGACAAAGCAAAGACATTTACCCTATATTCCCCCGAATGTAAAAATAAGAGAGGCTGCAATATTTTCTACACAACGCTACTAAACAAGGCTAAATCTATTCCAAGTTTAGGATATCAATGTAAATGGGAAAACGACCTTCATCACAATTTTCCACCTAACTTATGGAATACCTATCATTTTATACCATTCAGAGCTGTTCATAACACTAATGAAAGATGGTTTCAATATCGTATTGTCCACAGAATTCTCACAACCAATACAGACCTATACAACTATAATATATTAGAATCACCACTATGTACATTTTGCAAGGCTGAAACCATTGTTCATTTGATGTTTGAATGCAGATACGTGAATAGGCTGTGGCAAGACCTTTTAAATTGGATTGAAGATAAACCAGACACTACTATAAACCTGGATCCGAAAACAATCCTTTTGGGCTTTCATGAAAAACGTTAGGATGTTCTGAACTTGATATTTATCATAACAAAGGAATATATATATTCCAGAAAACTAGCAAATATACGTCCAACCCTTGAAAGTCTCAAAGCCAAATTAAACCACAGTTACAATCTCCATAAATATAATGCATACTGGGTATGCAAATATAGCACGTTCACGACTTTCTGGTCATCATGCCACAACTTATTTACATAACCTACTCGATCTCACTTATGCTTGTTACTTAATTGTCCTGTGTATTTGAAATAATGTTGTGTATGAATGATAAAACTGTACCAATGCTTAAAAAAGAAATAAAGTGGAAAAAGGAAACAAGAGTGTTATTAGGATCCCTTTTGTAACAGAAGATCATTTTAATTATCTTTTCAGATCTGAAGACAACTTTGAAGAGGAAAAGACAAACATTGAAATTCTTATGCAAAATGTGAATAAATAATTCCATTAACGCTTGAGTGTTTTAGATTTTTAAATGATAGAGAACAACTGATGGAATACGGTTCTATACTCCTCATCTTGTATTTGGAGTGGATGCTTGAAGATTCAGAGTGACAAGGAACTATATGCATTACTATGTAAATGACAAAAGGAGGGGGTGTCAACGTGTCCATGATCAACTTTCCTGTTATGTTGAGCAATATTCCAGCAGTTCCAGTCTTTGTTGTCTGCAAGTCCTACATACAAAAGTAAAAAAGAGCGTGCCCTCTCAGCAATGTCATATGGTAGACATATTGAGGACATTAACAGATTTGACACATAATTACAGAGAGAGATTGATGTCATTGTAGCACATGTCTAAGTTAGCATTGATACCTCCGCAGAACATGGTAAAGGAGCATTGTATACTACATTAAACGAAACACTCGTTGGTTAACATCATTCAGTGCAAAACGTGAGAGAGTGAGTTTAGATTTACGCCAATTTTAGCAATATTCCAGCAATATAAGGGCGGGAGACACCAGAAATGGGTTCTCACCTTTCGCCCATATGGGAAATCGAACCCGGGTCTTCGTCGTGTCGGGCGATGCCATCACTCTAAGAGAGACAAGTGTCAAAAAACAAAAGGTATCAACTTTGGATGTAAATGGAAACATTCGGTGTTCATTTTTATGTAAATCTAAGCGCAGAGAAGGCAAAACACGACAAAACAAAATGGCGGCCATTTTGATTCTTTTTCAAAAACAAAACTATGTCAAATAATTTCTACATCCTCTAGCAATACACAGAAGTCAAAATAAAGGTGATCAGATTGATAGCAGTAAAACTATCCATGATTGAATTTGAGGTGTCGTCAAGCAGCAAACCAATTGTGACGAAAATGCTCGGAGACCCCCACCACATATAATGGCCTGTAAAAAAACTGATACCACCATCTGAGAGTATTACAGGCCATTTCATGAGCCCAAGACATCATACTTACTGAAAATAGAGTCAAACAAAATCAGTACTGGGGAGGCTGCGAAATCCTATTTCTAGGCCCCTTTTGAGATTCTCCTCTTGGACTAGAACGCCTAAACTAACCTATCCCACCGCCCCTTCTGTACAAAGAAACAGAGGACATAACTGAATCACAATTGTCATGAAACAGTAATTTGATAATAGTTATCACATTTAGGATATTGTCTGTTTCAGTGAGTAAGTTGTGCAAATCCCTATTTTGACTTGTGATATATTCCACCGTCTGGGCAGGATATGGTCACCCTTTTTATTCCAGTATAATCACTACCTGATAGTGATTAAAAAACACAAGCTTAAACCTATGTAGCCAGAAGAAATGTAAAGTCTATTTAGTGTACAGAGCACAGGCCCAGTACAGATACATGGGTGGCATACACAGTAGAGGTACAATATAACGTGGGGGTAAGGTACAATTAGAATCATAAAAATGAAGGACGCGAAGAAAGGGCATCTTTTACATATTTAGCAAACAATGACCATCCAAAGTAAATTTTAATAACCATCTAGTGATCAATTTCCTTCCACTGATTTATCCACCTGGGATACAAGGGACAGACTTAATTGGAGATCTGTGTATGAAGAATCAGCGTGAGAAAACCTGTGCCACTGGTGGGACAAGATGCGCTCACAGACATATTGTGCGAACACCTATTATCATCACTATTTGATGGTGAATCATGCTCTGTCATCGCATGGTGTTAATCACTGGATTGGCTGGTCCAATCTCGATTGTTAACAGACCGCATGGTACAGCTGTAATACTGTTGAAAGTGGCGTCAAACAAACATATACTCATGATCCAATCAGAATTGTACAATTGACCCTGCTTTTGGCACAAAATTCTTACGAATGTGGAAAGGGTTTTGTCGTTTTTGCAACATTGATAGAATGTTATTCTACCTCGTTCAGTCTGTTTCTTAACATTCCACATCACATTGTTTGGATATCTAGTATCCGGCATACAGATACGTATATATACGTCTGCAGAAATAGAAAGCTGCCAACACCTATACCAATTTACAATATTTTACTCTGAACGTTTCTAATATCTCTCATTTCTGACAACCCCATACCTCAGATAAATACGAAATAATTGGCGTTTATTAGAACCAAATATCATAAGGGTAGGAGCAAGATTTAATCATTTCAATTGTTTTATAGGATAAAAGTGCTTTTCTAGCTTGATGAATAAGTGATGTAGTCAAACTTAAACTCTGGACACTGCTTTTAGATGTTTCGTATGGTAAGGCAATGGTTTGAAATGAGTACTCAATGCCATTTAGAAAGTGAGTGAGTGAGTTTAGTTTTACGCCGCACACAGCAATATTCTAGCTATATTGCGGCGGTCTGAAATAATCGAGTCTGGACTAGACAATCCAGTGATCAACAGTATAAGGATCGATCTACGCAATTGGGATACAATGACATGTGTCAACCAAGTCAGCGAGCCTGACCATCTCTTAATGGCCAAGCATGGGTTACTGAAGATCAACTCTAACCCGGATCTTTTACGTGTCCATATTAAAAGTGGTCAAATGTAACGCATGTTAATAGACCACGGACTTTGTGTACCCCTTCAACAAAAGTATCTGTTTTTTTCTGAGAAAGTGTTATCCCATTATAACATGTGTTATATATTTAAAAATCAGCATCATTTATTAGCAATAAAATTCCACGATTTTACATCCCCTCTACAGTGACTGGACATACCAGGGTGTTGGGGTTAAAAAGATAGGTCATAATTAATAATACAGTTGTCATAAGTGTTAAAGACTATGCACATAAAGATTTTACTTTTTCACTTACATTTTTTCCGGTATGTTTCAGTATTTTATCATGTAATTTTAGATCATTAATAAAAGTGTCAAAATCACAATCACTTCCAGTGACTTTACAGCGATACACTATAATTTAGCAAACATCAATACATAATTGAATAATTTACAGTCTCCATTAAGACCATATAATACAACATATCTGTAATTTGGATATACCTTATCTTGAATATTTGGTTTTGCCCATTTAAAATAGGAAAGCCAGAATGGCAAAACATGAGAGCAATAAAACATAATAATGTCTAATAGTGTCAGCATTGCCACAGTGTTCACACAGTTTACTATCTTTAACATTTAACTTGTTCAGATATAAATTGCAAGACAAAAGTGAAGAATTTTAAACTGCAATTGTTTGTATTTATTTTCTAATAATTCTGATTCTTTTACAATTTTCAATTTATACGTATCCTCGTCTGCCACAGAACAAATATTATGCATCAAGCTGTACCAGGACTTTTAGCATTATCAGGAATATCAGCGACCTTTACACCGTTTACGTCTGGGCAAACATCACTTGGAAAAGAACAAGTCATATATTTATAATCAACATTTTGACCAATTGCTCTTTTAATGGCATTGGTATACAATCTGTATTTTCTTTGGGAAATTTCTAATCCGTACATCCTAGCTAATGTTTGTCTTTGCAGGGAATTTCCATTTTTTCGCAGTAATTGCGAACCATAAATAATACCTAGTTCTGTCCAATCTGAGTCGTATAAGCTTTTTTTGTTTATAAGCACCTTTTTATTGTTCCAAATAATTTGATTAAAATGTCATCATCCATGGAAAAAATGGAATTTCCAGATATTCAAGATATCTTTATAAAATAGTGGCATGTTTAAATTCAATTTGTGTAAGTCAAAGTTGCAGTTTAATAAAAACTCAAGGGAGACTACAGTTTCAAACATTGGTTAAACTTGATAGCTCCAAGATTTCTTATTCTTGAAATATTTAGAAAGCCATACTAGTTTCAGTACTATATTGAATAAATCAAAATCTAAAGCATTAAAGCTCCCATTTTCATAACCTTGTGTGAGACGATTTCTTGAAACCTTCTCAGATTTGCTATTCCAAATAAAAGTAAATAGCTTTTTGGGGAATGATATACAGCTTGCCTGATGAACAAGCCTTAAAATGTCTTCTGATTTACTTATAAGAGTCTACCATATATTGTCAAATTTCTTGCCATCGAAAATGTGAGATTGTTATTAGATATCATTGAAACATACGAAGATGAGGGACATGTATCATTTTTAGACCTTGAGAAAGCATTTGATTCTGTTGAATTTAAGTTTATTACCAATGCTCTGAAAAGAAATTGGATTCCCTACTAAGTTTATTAATCTAGTAACCCTTTGTTATAATGATATTTCTTCATGTGTTATTAATGGTGGTCGATCTACAAGTTGGTTTGAAAACTTTACAGGAACAAGACAGGGGTGTCCGGTTAGTCCATATATATTTTTCATATGTTCTGAGTTAATAAACATCAAGTTTTGTAGCAGAGATTGCATCAATGGTTTACAGTTTGCAGGAAAAGAGTTGAAAGGTATATATTACGCTGATGACTCTGCACCATTATTAAAAGATAAAAAGTCAATCCAGAAGACCCTTGATTTGTATGCTAAACAAAAGGATTTCAGTGGCCTAAAACTTAATTTAGACAAATCAGTCCTAATGTCTCTAAGAAAAGAGGACTTTTGCCCACCGTATGGAATGCAGAAAGTATCGAGATACAAATACTTAGGCATAATATTAGACCTTACTGACTTTGTTTGTTTAAATGATAATGTTGAAATTTCTCCAGAAAATTATGTGTTATATTTGACTACTTGTGTGGCATTGTGTATTCATAGCCTTCGGCCGTTGGAGCCGTGCCAATTTACACCTATCAGAAGAGTACAGTGGTGTTGACTTACAGTTGTCCGACTTTCATTTTTGTGGAAGTAAAGTGGGGTGGTTTTGTATGCTGGCGATTAGTTGCTGGACTCTGATGGTTTGGGTTCAAATCCCTGATGGGACTCAACCCAACAAAAGTACTAGAATCTGTATTGTATTGAGAAAGTGTAATCACAGACGTGATACTTTCATTTGGTATTCTTTAAACTTGTTGGCTCTCTTTTCCGTGACAAGAAACTAGTGATTGAATGTTTTCCATATATTGCATTTATGGATAAAAGGCAGAAATGCGGTAAATTTTGCATACATACCTTGCAGAATAGGGAATATGGCCTACAAGTGGGAGCAAGATAACATTTCTCTTTATTATCAGTCAGAAACTGGACCTCAAGCACTCGTGTATTGTCACAAACAGCAATACTCTTGTACGCATTCTAATTCGTTCAACCCACAAGGGTTTCACTTTCTTATTATTCGTAAAATTCAACAGATACCTCCCTTCCATTTCAACACACATTCCATTTATCACAGCAAAATCACTCGTTGTATACGTAGTTTGAGACATACAGGGTGCCAACGTATAATCGTATGTGTGTATGATGATTCCGCATGCATTGCGTTGTCTTAAGCATGTTAACTATACCCTATGTAAACCACCTCCAATTAAATATCTGAAATTTCATCAAACTGCCCTGAATCACCGTGATATATATTCACAAAAGTAGAGGTATAACTGTCAGGTGTTCATTCTAATTGAGTAGGAGTGACGGTGGGTGATCAACCCACTGAGCCCATGTTCAGCAAATGCAAACACCTAAATAAACAAAGATAAGAGAGATAATTCCCAGGTAGATATAGTGGGAAGCATTAACCGCCTGACAGACACAGGGTCTCCTCAGTAGAAGGCAAAGAACGAGCCGGTAAGCTGGCTAAACTCTATTATTCATTTATTTCAATGGGCTGAGTACATGTATGTTACCAAACATTCAGTTACGTTATGTACAGTTTAAAATGTTAATCTGAGCATGTTATCAAGGTTAAGTATTTCCAAACGTAATGCAAAATGGTGACAATAAGGTCACGATGTGCATTAGGCACATGCTGAGTTTTCATTGTTGAGAACATTCAATTGTCCTTCTTTGTGACCTCTTTTCCTGTGACTATAACCCTTGATATTCAAATAATTCAATTAATCTGATTAATTCATCAGGTTGAACATTTGCAATAGAATATTTCCTAAAAATTTAAAATCTGAACTTAAAACGTCAGCGCCAGACAATTATCTAGAATATCTCCCGAAGCATGTTCCAGTTCGCGTCAACGTAAAATAGCGGAGAAACATTATCTGAATGAATCACTGAAATCCGTGATGACAAGTGCTCGCAAACACGATAAGCATACCTTGCCCTACGGTGGCAGCCGTGAAAACACAATGTGCATATAAAGTAAGTATAAATTTGCTGTTGCATTACGCAAACCAAACTTTCCAGAATCACAGAATATTTTCTAAAAATTCAAAATCTGAAAAAAACATTATCTGAATGGATCACTGAAATCAGGGATGACAATTTTTTGGACAAAGGAAAAGTATACCCTGCGCTGAGGTGGCAGCTGAAAAAACACAATGTGCATGGTTAAGTAAATATATGTTTGTAAAAATACATTCATTCTTCTGTTTTCAACGTTAAAACTAGTCCTCAATTCATCTCTCTGGTCTTGCTTAAAGGATCCAAACTCCGATCTGTTCAGCAAATAATAGAAACGATATGGTATCGTGTAAAGTAAGGTATACTGCAGTAACAGAAGGTTATGATCCCAGCGCTGATAAGACTTGTGCATGTACAATCAGTTTATATATCAGATTACAGAGAAAACTGGTACGATGCTGACATGGCTGACAAGTCATCTGTTCTTTTGTTATAGGAGACCAACAGTTTATTTATTTTGAATTTAGGTATTGTTCCAGGAAATATAGGAAAAAAGCTTCATCTTTTCTGGCACAATTTTTAACAGTTGCAGGAATATGAAACAGGCGCTACAATGTTCATTCTCGATCACTATCACATCATTCAAAGTCCATCGGTTTTAATGGCTGCGTAATGTGTTGGTTGAATTTTTTGTTTAACGACACACTCGGCAAAATTAAAGCGATATGACGGCTGTCTGAAATAATATTGTCTGAACAAGGCAAATCAAGCTAATTTGTCACTTGGGATACGACGAAATGATCATGTTACTCGTCTTTTATGACACCATGGTTGCCTGACCCAAGTCCTAACCTAGATCTTCACAGCCACCTTAACCTGTCAGTGACATAACTTGACATGACAATTCAGGTCAGAGACAGCAATCGTGAAAGGGGCTAACAGCTAGAAAGATCTATTCTCTGTTTTTGTGAAGTTGTTCTTTTATCACTGCACATCGACCCTAACCTTCATGCACCATAGATACTGCTGTTTTTGGTTCCTTAAATAAAGGCTGCCTTATCGTGTAAACATCCGGTTCTAGTTAGATAACAACCACGAGTGTATTATTGAATTTACAATTTGTCTAGCTGGATCCTCTGTCTGTGAAAATACCCCTAAAACATTGGTGCTATATTCAATACCACCCTGTCTTATAATGTTTGGAATTTATTGTTACTTATCTGTTTTCAATTTTCAGTTTCACCATGCTGTGGCTTCTGTTTGTAGTCGGAATAGGATTTACCACGGCCGACAGGTTCGTTTGTTTGTTGTCTAATGCCACATACTCAGCAATATTCGAGCTGCACGGGGGCGGTCTGTGAATAATCCAGTTGCCACAATACGATTAGTGATTGACATCATGAGCAAGTGGGATATGATGACATGCATCAACCAAGTCAGGAAGGCCATCCCCTTAACTTTTAATCGAGTTAATGGTTTTAATTGGCGCATGTTCATTAATGGGTGTGACCACTTTCTGTTGAATATCAATAAATGTTTGAATTTGATGTTAACTGACATAGAAACATTAATTCATCAAACCGAATTTAGTCTGATTCATGTGTTTCAAGAGCAGTGTCATTATAATGCGTCAGCTCCAAAGAATGATCAGTCTCTGTTGACAACATAGTTCACTTTCACTGCTCTTCTAGTTCCGGAGGCTCGTATCTCATCACGTCCTCCAAGTATCTGCAACGTGGAATGCCATTCAACGTCAGCATCGACATCCTCAACACTACCAACACCGTCCATGTACAAGTGGAGCTGCAACGCATATGGAACAACTACACCAACTCTTTCAGGATCCCTGTTATAATGGCCAAAGGCGACTTTACTATAGGTGAGACATTATACAGAGTTAACTGTGGTCTAGTCTAGTGTGGCACTGCAAACTGTCCTTTGAAGCAAAACTGGCTTAAGATGTGACATCATGTCATGGCTTGTTTCTTCACACTTTTGTTAATTATCGGTGGTGTGTTGTCTGTTGAACACATCTCTCATTAGAGGGCATTGCCCTTATAAAATTGAAACTTTACACACTTGTTCAAACCAGTATTGAAACTCACATTTACTAAGAGGTTCTAACGAATGTGAAAGCATGTTTGTAGTGAGTGTTATGTTTTTCAAATTCCCATGTAGTCATCCATACAGGTTTTAGAGAATTCAGTGAACCCCAAACTGAATATTCATTAGGTGCTACTTTCTTCCGAGGAATGTGGAGACAGATTCTGAAATTGAGTTTCATTTTCACAAGTGAAGATTGTGCATTCAATGGCGCGGTGAGACTGCATTGAGGCCTTGCATGTCTTCGAGAACTCGTAGTGGCACATTTCATTGTTATTAATATTACAAACAGGAACAAAATGTAAACAATATGTTGAGGAAAGGCTTTGCAGTGAAACTTGTACCACATGCTCTTTTGCATCCTCGTGTCCCATTTTAACCATATTGATTACAATATAGAATAGGATTCACAACGAGTTATGTAGCCAGTATGATGACCAAATTGAAACTGCTGGACATTCTGTCATTGTCCTAATGTAAGCTCCCTCTGGACAGATCAAAAAACTAAAATAATTGTTCAACTAGATTTAAAGTGTGTACTCGTGGGATCCGCAATACCAAATACTGAATCTGTTAACATGTTGGTAATTTTTAGAATCATAACAAAATGTATTTAACCATTACTCTGCAATTCTCTCGACAGCATACATTTCTCTTGAAACTAACTAACTGAAAAAACAATACTCAGCACTTCTACCATCATTGCATTTCAGGAACGACAGGGACCATATCACTGAATGTAAGTATATAAGATCAGTCAGTGCTGATTCAGTCGATGAAACAATCAAACAACCACGCGATGTTACACAATTAATTATGGTATTCTAAAATGATCTAACTTTCAACTCAGTATCATTTACTGCAAAGGATTACAATCGCAACACAAGTGTAAAGATACTTTGATATAAAGGAGTGATTTTATCAATATAGTGATACTAGAGATTAAGCTTATACAAGTGAAAAATAATCTCGATGCAGTGTAATACAGTTGCAACAATATTTTTACAATGAACATCACTTCCACATAACAATTTCTGTATATTCATTGTTCATATGATCCTATTATTATTCATCTTCACAATTCTTTACGTACAGAATAATCAGTATGTTTTGTAATCAGGTGCCACGGGACATCACTGATGGAAGTTACCGTCTCCATGTCCGAGGTAGCGGGGCTCTGCAGTTTGAACGAGAAACGTCCCTCGTCCTCCGTTCCAAGTATATTTCTGTCATGGTACAGACTGACAAGGCCATGTACAAGCCAGGACAGATGGGTGAGCTGTAAATGGATATCAGCTTATGTCACGATAAAGTAATCAGTTTCTTTGCTTGTAACCTTCTTTTGAGCCGTTTTACTTTGAAGAAGACATTTTACCTGAATTACACAGTGTAACTGGCAAATCCTTCGTTTTGCCTTGGCTTCGTTTTGGATGGGTGACATATGGGTGAGCTGAAAATGGATGTGAATTTAGGCCATAATAAAGTCATCTGTTTCTTTGCTTTTTTTACTCATCTTAAGCCATTATTCTTTAAAGAAGGCATTTTACCCGAATTAAAAGGTGTAACTGTCGAATACTTCGGTTTGCCCTGCCTTTATGTTTGGATTACACTTTCTCAGTAAAGTACAATTCTAGTACTTTTATTGGTTTGAGTTCCATCCAGGATTCGAACCGAGACACTCAGAGTCAGGGACCTAATCGCCAGCACATAAAGTCAGCCGTCTAAACAAAATCCAGTAAATCCATCACAGGAAGCTTCGGTGGCTGAGTGTGTAACTTGTGTTACATTTGACCACTTCCTAAACGGCTTTGTGTATTCATTAATAAGAATGTTTTTTACCTGAATCAATGATTAATCTGTCTCTTCTGCAGTTCATTTCCGAGCGTTTGGTGTCTATCCAAGTTTGCAAGTGTACATGGGGACTTTCAACATAGCCCTTGTTGTAAGAATAGAGTACAATATAATATCTGTCATATTAGTATAAACATGCAATATAAGTAAACAAACTGCATTACTATAACTAAATACCATAACATGCTATTTGTTTTGGGACATTCAGGAAGAGTTCAAAATATAAAATAATTTCAGGGAACTGTAAGTGCATATTCCTTTGTTTATCCATAAGAACATTTACAGTGATATTCTGTGTATAGAGCTTTGGTATATTCTACAGGATCCAAACAACAACATCCTGAAGGAGTGGACGGCTCTCCATGAATCTTCTGGAGTTGTGGCTGGGGAGTTCCAGTTGGCAGATAAGACTGTTCTGGGAGATTGGGCTCTACGAGTCTCACCAGCGGTTGGTTATATTCATTGATCTTTAGAAAAATGTTTCTATCTTAGAATTATTTTTGCAACACTAGCCCTGGCTCTACGAGTTTCAGCAGCTGTTGCTTTGATATATTAATGATTTTGTTTATAAACAATACAAAGGTTTATTTTTTTAAGCACGTAGGACTTTGTGACTGGTCACTTTTGTAGTGATTGGTCCTTTCAAAAATCTGAAACCTTCTCAGTTCGATTCTTAAAGTTCATCCCTGTAACCTTATAATATACAATCCCCCAAACACCGAAACATTAAGTTTGGCCGCAGTATCCTAGAATAGCTGTTTTGTCACACACTAATTCTCTGGCCGTACCTAACATGTGGACATACATGCACAACATACAGAAACTCAATGGTATTGTTCTCTGCATAAATACCCAAAACCTTTCCCTGTCATGTGTAGAATTTCAAAAAAGTGGTGTCATGACTAATAAGGGGTAAATAGTGTGAAATCAGCACTTTCAGAACTGTTTGTCTGAAGATTAGTAAATTGTATTTATAGGTCCTCTCAAACATATTTTGAAAGACCCTTGAGGTGTCAGATATTTAATTCTGAAGGCTTTCTTGGTCATGTAGATCCCAGAACCAGTGGCTGATATTGAAATGCGTTGTCAACAGAACTTTAAAGATGAAAAGACTCTTCAGATGATCATACATGACTACTTAAGTGTCAGCAATTCGTCACATTTTTGAAAATGATATTCATGGACATGAAGAATTTTTGTTAACTTTCTTTGTTATTATATTACATATTTGTGAAGATTCGTGTTAGAATTGTTTTTCAGCATCTCCCGCTTGTTGTATGAGGCGAATAACGGGATCAGATGATCAGACTCGCTGACTTGGTTTACTCATGTCATTGTATCCCATTTGTGAAGATCGATGCTCACGATGTGAACCACTGGATTGTCTAGTCCAGACAGTATTATTTACAGAAAGCCTTCATATTGCACGGATACTGCTGTGTGCGTCGCTAAACATATATGTACAAGCCTCGAAAATTACATTCATATCAAAACTGTCTTCTTTTATTCAGGACCAAGTAAGCGTGACCTCTAAAACTTTTACAGTTGCTGAATACCGTAAGTATGACTGTATTGTTCTCTTCTGTTCTCACTTTTATTTAGAACTACATGTAATAATTAATTGGGGTACAGGTCAGACAGGTAACACGAAGATCCCTTGATCTTCAGATCAAAGCATATGTCCATTGATGTTTATCTCCAGTTCAGGCGTCAGAATATAACGGAGGATCACTGGATTGTCTGGTTCAGACCGGATTTGTTTAAAAACAACATCATACAGCTGTAATACAGCTGAACAAATATCTGCTCATGATATAGTCACAATTGTACAATCGACTCTGCTTTTCGCAAAGATTTCTTATTAACATGGAAAGAGTTTTGTCGCTTCTATTTGAAAAACGAAACTTTCCTATATTTAAGCAGGTAGTCAAATAAGAGATTACCACCGACAGGCAAATTGATCAGACCATTTCTTGTTTTAGAACTGCCCCGCTTTGAAGTCAAAGTTGATCTGCCTTCGTTCTCCCTGACCTCCGATACAAAGCTGTCTGGAACAGTAAAAGCAAAGTGAGACATTTTATCATATCAGTACTTTAATTTCACATCTCTCACAGTACAACATAAAATGGTTGCGCATTGCTCCGTATAACCTTGGTTATTGACGCGCTTAATCTTGCATACCAGTTACATTTCTAGACTGAAATACTGATATATGTATTCGTCTTCTAGATACACCTTCGGAAAGCCAGTGAAGGGTATGGTGGAGTTACATACATACATGAACATCGCAAACGACTACTGTGGAAGACCGCCAAAATATGTTGAACTGGCATTTCCCGTAGGTTGACAAACTATAAAACTACCCATATCCATATGTTAATGAAAGACCTGAATGATCGAGTTTGCTTGTGATACAGAGTATGTATATCATATTCTTCAGTTGAAAATATATTTCTTGTAATGAATAAGAAAAGGATAACATTGTAGTTATATTCGGATGAATTGTCAAAATACCTGCACAACTGATTATTGTATTTTCAAACGCATCTAACTAGTGCACACATCTTCCCTGTAGAGAAAGGCCAATACCAGTCTCAAATGTTTTGTCCACAAGACAGATTCATGAATCATATTTTGTGTTTGTTTCAAAATCAACAGATTGATGGGGAAGCCAAATTTGACATTCCTGTTTCCGACATCAAGCGTCTCCAGAGCAATCTAAATGAACAAACCGTCGTTGTTGTCGCCATCGTGAAGGAGGAGTTGACGGGCGTGAGGCTGAACGGGTCCAATTCTGTGAAATACCACCAATATCCCTACAAGATTGAAGTCCTCAATTCAAGTCCAAAAACATTCTCACCCAAACTTCCATATACAGCATATGTGAGTTGAAATTTAATAACACACTTAAATAAATAAACGTTTTTGTCATGAAAACCTTTGAATGGTTTTACACATAGATGTATGTTATACAATATATTATATGGATTTAGCTCTCATTTAAATGTTCACATTACATATAACAGATCAAGGTGTCCCAACAAGATGGCCGCCCTGTGACCGACCTCAGCAGCCCTGTTGGAGTGTACACCTGTGTCACATACCGTATTGTCCAAGATGACCAGTCCGAGTTCTCCTGCTCATCCTTCACCGGCAACTACGGCCTGCCACCGAAAAACTACACCATTCCTGCCTCCGGCATCATCCCCGTGGACATGCGCATCCCTGAGAACACCACTAGTATCAGCGTCAAGGTGAAAACATAACAAAAAAAGTATTTGTCTGATATGCTTGGATTCTGTATTGAATTGATTAGCCAAACCCGGTAACTAACACTATGCTGCATTTGACTGTTAACAATTGTATGAAATGAATGAAAAATTCTTATTCTTATTCTTATTCTTATTGCTTGAATTACTTGTGCTTATAGACAACGCGTTTGCGAACACAGTGCAAAGGTAAAAGTAGCTTATTAATTTCTCCAGTAGTTGAACGTTACATATTTGATGTTTTCTGTGATCGCCCTAAGGACCAAAAACGTTCACAACAATATTCAATCCAGGTCCACTACAATGAGATATCCGACACTCTGACTGTCCAGCAGAAGACCTCCTTCAGTGGTAACTTCGTGCAGCTCAAACTCACCAACAAGGGACTCAGGGTAGGCAAGATTGCACAATAAGTATGGGTGGATGTTTTGTGTGACATACGAAGTTGGAAGGGATTACTATCCAACATGTTTCACTAAGGCTTGATTAATTACTGTTCGCAGTTATTGTCCCTATTTCCTCGACAACATGTAACATGTTGACATATGCAATATTGCTGAAACTCTTGGTGTTTCAGGCGGGTCAGACAGCTATGTTCAGCATTGAGTTGACAGAAGATGTACCCTTCATAACATACCAGGTAATCTCCTCAATTATTTTACCCTGAATGGAGAAAAATGAAATAAGCAATATTTGATTGATTGAGCATTCAAATAATGACAGAACTTTAATGTAAACTAAAACATCAGTCATGGCCTATAAAAGATAATGTGTGCACAACATTAAAATTAAGTATGTAACAAGGAACTACACAAGACGTTCATGATATTTATCATGTGGACATAATTCAATTATATATTCATATCTAATACATTGTATATATGACAACATATCGGTAGCTAAATTCAGGTTGTTGATCTGCTATCCGTTTCCATGAGTCTCATTCACAGGTGGTACTTATTACAGGATAACAAATACTATTGTCTTTATAGGTGTTATCCAGGGGTACTGTTGACATCACTGACCAAGTCACTGTTAGCGGCCAGAACCCTGTTCACTTCAATGTCCCCATCACTGCAACAATGGCCCCAGAAGCTCACATCATCGCGTACTACGTCAAGACATCAGGGGAGGTTGTTGCTGACAGTCTTAGTTTCAGTGTTGACGACGTCTTTGACAACAAGGTAAAATGTAGTTATTTAAATATTAGTCAGATGAACAATGGGTGATGAGTCGATCATGAAGTATAATATACTTTCCACTTCACCACTTCAAGGTTTACTAATATTTTATTTCAGGTGTCTGTTGACTTCAGTAGGAACGACTCTAAGCCTCATGACAACATTGATGTCTTGGTTAGCGCTGATCCAATGTCATCTGTCAATGTCCTTGCTGTCGACCAAAGTGTTCTCCTTCTCAAGTCCGGCAACGACATATCCACAGAGCAGGTTAGAGCACCTCTGTTTTCACATTTACAATCGGAAGAGGTTAAAAGAATGGTTATTGTCCCAGATATACAAATACTAGTAAGATATATTCTACAATATAAGATATATATTTCGAAATAAATCATATTTGTATTTATGGAAGAACACTTTAAAACCAAGCTAGAAAACATCATCTGTAGAAGCAAATAACTTGTTCAGATTTAACAATCACATTGTTTCTTCACGCGGATGAAATATTTCAAATTAGCCAGTGTTTCCATTTGGCCGATGTCAGCTCAGTGTGCTGATAAATGTTTCTCAGTGTTTACTTAGCAGTTGTCGGATAACGGCATCTTGGGGACTTTTAGACATGGAATTAATATATTAAAGACCAATGAAGCTGACCTGTATTCTTAAACATCAATAGAAGAACGATGTTTTTATTTGACTTGCGGAGGAGAGTTCAGGACTTTTAGGGATTTGGAATGTAAATAGTTCATTAAACCATTGTATGCTTCCTTTTTCGTGTTCAGGTTCTTGATGAACTGAAGACATACAGCTCTGGACAAACTGATGGAGAATTCTCACCAGAAGTATTTGCCATTTCCAGTAGTGCTACGCTCAGCTGATGTATTCTCGGTAGGTGACATTGTCTACAAACATCCTCGACATGTTTGTTTACATTTTCCTCTTCATTTTGTCTCATCACGTGATTTTCTCCTGTATGTAGTTTCGTCAATATGTTACAAATCGTTGATGGTTACAAAATTCCTGTACATCTTGAAATTACATTGGACAGATTTTGCATAGGCTCATCTGTGTTCACTCACCCAAAACAATCTGGATACATGTATTTAAATGTTTGAGAGGCAATTACAGTATGATAAGTCTGATTATGCGACGTGAAAACATCAACAATATGGCAAGTTTCTATTTATTAGATTCATTACAAATATTGTCTGTAAGCTGTTAGAAACATTCATTGAAGAATACCATATTTATGTCTGTCTCTCCTCAGGACGCAGGGCTCAATGTACTCACTGATGCTAAGTACTTCAGTACCTACCACAACGGGTATTATGAGTTTGGTAAGTATGTTTCATCATTTATGTGTGCACAGTCAATCAATCATAATCAATTTTGAAAAGACAAACACGATGAATAAGCAGGCTTGTTCAGTAATTACAACAGAGAAACTCAAAAGTTAAATACAACTTTAACGACTCACAGATATGCAATCAGAAAGAATTAGTATTTAGTTGAGGAAACGTTAACACATTAAAGTTTGAGACTTTAGTTATGTGCCATGACATATCCTTGAGTCGACGTTGTTTCTCCATATTTTGTTTGTGTTGTTTTATGCTGCAGTCACCAATGTTTTAAACGACCACAGCGCCCTGCAGATAAATAAAGCTGACCTTGTCAAACCAGAAATCATTTGATGTTCAGTATATCAATACATTACATTGTCTGATTCATATTGGCAGGTACAACTATGGCACCACAATTTGCATTCTGTAAGTGTGATATATTTCGATATTATTAAATAAATATGTAAACTCCTTCAATATATACATCATTATTAGGACCTAGTTCAGGACAACTACTACAAACTGAAAGCACACATCATCTGACATTTATTGAGAAACCATCTGAAATGCTGGACTTTCTCATTGAAACCATCTCTGTAAGGTTTAAGTGTTAAAGGTTCTGGGCTAGAAGTGGGCTTTGTCATCGGCACAACTGCGTTCCACTTCCACTTTTTCTTCTTGCATAGAAGTGTTTGCTCTGTTTGTACGTGAAGTCAGTTTGGCCGAAAGGTTTAACTCATGTTTTCCATCTAGCGATGATTTGATGTACACCGATGACTGTGGGAGCTCATGGGATCAATCCTAACATCGATTTACCTACTTGAAAATATACTAAATATACTCTTCAAAAAGGAGGGGAACTTCATTTTTTATTTATGACTGAAAACATTTAGACATATATCTGAGTCAGTCATTGTGGTATGATAATAATGAATGTTCTGAAAGTGCATCACCACTTGCACTTCCTTATGACCACAGTTGTTTGTACAGTAATCACTCTTGAAAGATGATCGGTGTATGACGTGAAATTTGCATGTGTACGATTTTCATTTTCAAACAAGAAACAAACACTAAAAACTGTGTGATGCAAAATGCTTGTCAAAATTATTGCTCTACAGTGATTAATCGACCTTCTTGAAAACAAGAATGACACCCCATGCACGTATATGGGGCTACTGCGTTGTGCGCGTGCATCCCATGCGTTGTGTTTAGGGGTGGTGAAACGGTGGTGCGTTCATAAGATATCTGTCTTTGAAAAGTTTGTTAACGCTTATGCTTCTAAACCAAAATGAAAGTTCAGGTTCCCCTACTTTTCTTTTAAGAGTATATATACATGAGACCACTAAGACCACAAAGTCTGGTTCATAGTTATACCTATGCGTAAATAATCAGAATGACAAAGGCACTCCACAAAACAAGGGAGGACTTTCTCTCCATAAAGTCTCCCAACTTCTAAATGATTCTCAAACTGATGCATCATACACTATTTGAATCTGTGTATTTTCATTGAAGCAATGAGACCAAACAGCGGGATGGGGGAGCTCTACAAAGTCAGAGTGTCAAGAAGGTGGAGAGGGTGGAGAGGGTCAGACAAGAATTCCCAGAAACATGGCTCTGGATCAACAAGACCGTCGGGTAAGAAATTGTTATGAAAACTCGTCAAACGTCTTGACACCCCTATCAGGACATCTTATACATTCGGATCATTAAACCAGTACACAATAATTTTTTGTTCACTAGGTTATGTATTTGTTATGCATATGTACGGCATATTTAATACAACAAGCTTTTGCTGTCTGCATTCCAATCAAAGAAGGTTGTTTCGAAACCTTTGCTGTTATTGTGGACATGTGGAGGACATTTCCAAATATGACGCAACAGGGACAAAACATTGCCCCTTTCTACTTGTATCTTGTATGTGTTTTCAGATGAACACTTAATTTGTTTTCACATGGACATTTTACGGATGCCACATGTCCGTCTTTTTATATCTAAAATCAGCTTGTTGTCTGTCTGTCCAGAGCTGACGGTAAAGCCACCATCAGTAGCACTGTGCCTGACACTATCACCTCCTGGATCGCCAGCGCCTTTGCTGTCAACTCCGCTACTGGTCTTGGTGTGGCCCCGTCTACCACAAAGGTGCAATGATAAGTTTATACTTATCCTCCCCTCAAAACCACAATATTTCTAAAGTTATGCTGTTTGTGCAGAAAATGTAATTAAAAGTTAATACGATTGAGCATCTGATGAGTTCTTTTTTCCTGAACTCTTGAACTCCAATGCTCAGTTCATTACAAATGTCCAGTTGAACTTTTTCTAGTGTCATGTTCCATTTTAGGTGGGTGTTATGTTAAAAATGTTCAATGTTTCAGCTCTCCAAAAGGTGCCAGATTGTCCAAACGTAGAAAAACGTAATGAACAATATCCATCGCCCAACTTAGACATTCATTTTTTTCAGCTGCGTGTCTTCAGTCCCTTCTTCGTGAGCTTGTCCATGCCTACCTCGGTGTTACGTGGAGAACAGGTCGTCATTCAAACCAGTATCTTCAACTACCTGCCAAGTGACGTGGACGTGAGTGTATCTGTGGCTATCCTTACATTACCGATACAAATATGGATATTGGTGCAACTATTTCCACTACCTTGAGCGTTATGGTATCTGTTAAGTTGACTGAATCATGACAGCTGTTTATGGTTCCCATTGTCCACAGCAGGACACGTCTCAGAAGAGCACTTTCAGAATGCATAAAATAAAACATCTTCCATCTTAGTTATCCCGGTTCTGAACAGTTTTTTACCAAAACAGTTTGACAGAGTCGACGTCATCACTTGAATCAGTTGCATCGGAGAACTACGGATTAGTTCTAATAGTTTTAAAAGTTCATCAAGAAGTATTAAATTAATTTACTTCGCACAGATAATCTGTAACGCCTCGTAGCTCGTATGTTCCCTAAAAGGAACTTGGAAAACATCAGTAACGCTTAATATCAGGTATATGTTCAATAGGTTGTAGTGTCTTTGCCTACGTCTTCGGACTACGTCAACGTGGTGGTTGACAGTTCCGGTAAAACTAACAAGGAATCAAAGGACCAGACTCAATATGTCACAGTAAGTATTGTTTGGAATTAACTTTCACTCTTTAGCATTCAAGGTGTTCGATAGGTCACTGAACGGGTATTTACATTTGATCTGAAGAGGGTCATTAGTCAATGTTGCAATGAATAAGACTGGACAAATAATATTTCGGACCCATTTTCATATTAATCATTGTCTGTCCGACTTCAACAGAATATCAGTTGCGAACCCGAAATAAAGTGTCTGGACTAGAATGGTAATATATGCATAGTGTCAGTTTGGGACCGTACATTGTTTGGGCAATATTGAGAGTGATCCGGGTTAGTCAGAGTCAGATTTAGACAGATTCAACAGTCATTGTCATACCAGTGCTAATGCCTTTATCTGCACACATTCCCACAATATATCATTCTGTCCTCAAGGTTAAATCCAACGAGCCCCAGACTGTGTACTTCCCCATCATTCCATCATCTCTGGGAGCTATCGACATCGAGGTGTCAGCACGAACAACTCTAGCTGCTGATGCTGTCAGGAGACAGCTCAATGTCCAGGTAATGACTTGGTTTACTACCGATGCATACCTAATAGGGCTCATTTCTCACAACTGAGAACTCATGATTCGCTCTTGTTGGTTATTTTGACAAAGATGAGGCACTGGTGATCTTTTATTACTCAGATCTGAGGTTACAATTAGGTGAAACTTGGTTTGACGTCGCTTGTAGATTATTGCACTCTGAGTCCTTGTTTCATCCAGTCAGTAACAATAAGTAACATTTTTTAAGTTGTTATGATGTTACCACTACACCACTGATATGTACATTTTAAAGTTCATAGTCTACATCTACTTTCTTATCCCAGGCGGAAGGGATCCCCAAAGAATACAACACACCTGTCTTCATTGAGCTGACACCAGGAGGCGCTGACTTCAACCAACATGTGGCACTGTCACTTCCATCAGAGGCAGTAACCGGATCAGAGAAAGTCAGAGTCAAAGTTACAGGTATTATACAGCAGAAAAAAAGCTGTAAAGAATGCAACTGATAAGTTTTATGGGTATAATGGCTTTTTTAGTGATTTTACATGGAAGTTTGTAGACGTGACAGATTAGGTTACTTAAAAAGGACATTAACCATTGCCTGTATTCCAGGTGACCTGATTGGCGCCAGTCTCGACAACCTGGAGAACCTTCTGGCTCTACCCACTGGATGTGGTGAACAGAACATGATGACTTTTGCCCCGGATGTATATATTGCTGACTACCTGTACACAACCAAGCAAATGACACCCGCCTTGGAGTCCAGGATCATGACCTATCTGGAGCTAGGTAGCTAGGCGTAAATATTTTCTCACTCTATTCTCTCAAAGTGTAACCTGGGCCTATGGCCTATATTACTTTTCTGAAATAAACCACCATTAGGCATTAGGCGTGGCTAAATGCATTGATACCGAAAGGTTTATTTGTGATCGTTATGTGTCTCCTCAAATTCCGTTTTTCAACACCTATATTACTTTCAGGCTTCCAGAGGGAGCTCACATATCAGAGACAGGATGGATCCTTCAGTCCTTTCGGAGACCGAGATGAGGCAGGACACATGTGGTGAGTTTCCCTATTCCCACATAAACTGTCCTATACCTAGTAAGTAAACAGAGACACTCCTGCAAAGCTCACTCATACCTTAGTCTAACGCATGACTGCTTCATTTTTTCAAAGGCTGACTGCATTTGTAGCACGCAGTTTCCATCAAGCCAGGCCTTACATTTTTGTGGGAAATCAGACTTTGGCGAGGTCCCTGAACTGGATGGCAGAGAGGCAGAATTTGGATGGATCCTTCAATGAGCCTGGGCTTGTGTTTGACAGACAGATGCAGGTACTGACATGATATTACGAAATATTAACATTTCTATAATGATATTTCTGACAACACACATCTCAGCTGGTCCATGTCCAGTTTCTGAAGACCATATTTCTTCTGTTTCCTCAGACTTCCAAAGCCTCGCTTACATCCGTGGTGCTGCTGGCTTTCTTGGAAAATCAAGACATTGGTGGATATGGGGTAGGTGTAGGTTTAGTAGCATATAGATTGATATGTTCTTTGACATGGGCAAAGTGTCAGTGAACTATTGCTTTTTCGTTTTTTGTCATTTCTGAAAAAGAACCAATTTAAACCTAAAGAGGGAAAGGACAGAAATGGGTTTCTGTAAGTTAAGGAGCTTTTCTAAATTTAGACATATTATTGGACATTCTGTATAAGGACATATTTCACAAATACACCTCGTTAATGTGTGTCACAAGCGGAATGTAACAATGCATTGACATGCGACAGAGAGAGTATTCAGAGCTATATGTACGTTTTATCACGGACATGTAATTATAAAATGGTCATTTGGCCGTCATTAAATTACGTACATATAAGGTTTTAAATGGAACAAAATCAGTTTGATGTTGCATAATTGTATCTTGAAACAGTGACACTACAGAGGATCCAAACCTTCTGAGTTTATCTATATGTAGCTTCTACGGTAGACACACTGAATCGCACTAGCATCAATAGAAGCATAACAAACTTGAAATTGAGCTTGAAAACATATGTTTTCATGACAGATTAATGAGTACACGCTTGGAAACGCCACTGTGAATGCCACGAAGTACCTGGAGTCAGTGGCTCCCTCTATCACGGATCCCTTCACTCTTGCCATTGTCAGCTACGCCTTGTCTGAGGCTGGCAGCTCAGTAGCGGATGTCACGTTCAACAAACTCAACGCCGCAGCTGAGGTTAAAGGTAAATTCTGGAATTGTGTCACTGATACCCACAACAATTTGAACAATAGTTTTACCAGGCTGCATACCGTATGGTTGTTTTCAAATAAAAACCGTTTGTGCAAGAGAAAAGACAGTCATGATCATCCACCGGAACTGATTAAATATACGTACCCGCCACACAATCTGCAAAGTGAGATCCAGTGACACCATAATGTACCCACTGTTTTTTGCTAAACCAAAAACTCAAACCAAAAGAACCCAATATGCTTCTTAGAAAACACGACTGCTGAGCACATGTATAGTGGTAAATCTATTTTTCCATTCTCTTACACTGGCACTTAATTACCAGGTACTCTGAAACACTGGACGGAACCAACAACCGCCTCCTCAACTTACTATACAAACTGGACACCTCCACACACACGCGCCCAGCCCATTGACATTCAGACAACAGCGTATGGTCTTCTGGCATCCTCGGCACGCGGTGATCTCAGAGGAGGTCTTCCAATAACCAATTGGCTGACCTCACAGAGGAACCCATATGGCGGCTTTTCTTCAACGCAGGTCAGTGTTCAATCGGTTAAAGGATTTGTAGCCTTTAGCAGGACTAACCAAAGTCAATTCATAATACAATTTTTATTAAGATATCCTCGGTTTGTCGAACACGATGTCCTAATTTGATATAAACTGTAATCAGTTCATATTGTATGGTTATATCAAGGAATTCAATTTTTACTCTACTGATCCTCATGTATCACAGGACACAATGGTCGCACTTCACGCCCTAACTGACTATGCCCGACGTGCACATGCTTCCGGTTTCCAAGTTGAGGTTGACATCAAGAGCGGAAGTGACAACCAGCATATATCTGTGACTGACAGCAGCGCACTCGTTTTGCAATCAAGAGAGGTAGATTCAAAACCGGGATATATGTATAATGTTAAAGAGGTGACATATAAAGGTGTTGTTCTAATCCAAATTGTAATGGATTTGTACTCAATAAATTGTGAAAGAGACTTAACTTTGCATTTATGCTGCGTATTATACTCTGAAGCTCGTTCCTTAAAATTATACCTTATGGTTTGTTCCAGCTGACGAAATTCCCAAAGGACGTGTCTATTACGGCTACTGGTAAAGGTGTTGCATATGCCGATGTAAGTATAAGCAATGGCTTAAGCACAGTACTCTGACTACAAGTAAGTGAATGAATGAATCTGATTACTCGAATACTGAATAACAGATAGATCAAATACGTGAGCAAATCCTTTGAACAATAAATGGTGTATCTCAATACTGACTGTATGCCTTTCCATTCCAGGTGGATGTGTTCTTCAACGTTGATGCTGAAATCGGTGACCCATCCTTTGACATTAACACTGTGCTGCTTGATGACACCATCAACAACTTCAGACTGATGACTTGCACTAAGTGAGAACACAATTAATAACACTATTTCAGTCATGTAAGTGATATCTGTTAATAATGATATCTTTTTCTGTCTTGACATGTTACAGTATTTGGATTATGAAAGTAGAACAGTGCGTTGATGGGCTTCAAACGAATTTGAAATCTATGTCATTTTGGCCAGTCTTTTCGCCTCTCATAAAATATGCGTTTATCCTCTTTTTCTCCCCTCAAGATGGCTGAAGGAGGGATCCAGTGGAATGACAGTGATGGAGATATCTATCCCATCAGGCTTTGATCCAGATATGACCTCAATGGGCAACGTTGCTGGTCTGAAGAGATTTGAAAGACGTGGTAGAAACGTGGTTGTATACTTTGATGAGGTGGGTTTGTGGAATGGAATCTAATAGAGCATGGGTTATGGTCAGTCTGTGAAATGCGTAATTTCGTGATATGACTGAGGGATATGAGTCGTTCAGTCTTGTCGTAAAATGACATCGGGGCTTTTGATTACATGAAAAGTGCTATCGTCTGTTTTTAATTTTACTTCAGTCAAAAAGCATAATCCATCTCTATTCAAATAGCTCGCTGATAACTTCAGTTAGTCTAATCCTTTTCCTTTGTACTAAAAGCAATACAACATCACTTCATGGTCAAAAGCTAGTGTTCAGTGTCTCATACCCTAAAACTATATATAGCATAGTCAACACAACAGTCACAGCTATTTGCCCATTTACACCATACGGAATTTGTTCTGACAATAACCAATATCGGGTATTCTTTTGTATTGTCGTATAATGACATCAGGGCTTATCATTACATAAAAAGTGATATCGTATGTTTTAAATAACTCCCGTCAAAAAGCTTAATCCATGTCTGTCAAATAGCTCGCTGGTTACTTCACTTAGTCTAATCCTTTCCCTTTGGCATGTGAACTTTTCCATTGTACCAAAAACAGTACCAAATCTGGACATCGCTTCATGTTTAATAGCTAGTGTTCATTGTTTCGTACTCTAAAATGTTAGTATAAAATAGTCAACACTACAGTCACAACTGTTTTCTGCTTTACGCCATATAGAATATATTTCTGAGTATAGCGAATATCGGGTATCTTTTTTATTGACGTTTTAAGTATTTTGTATGGAAAATGAAATCTAATAGTACATACACAATGTACATTCATTTTTCCAAAGATCGGCACAACGTCCATCTGCTTTGACATCCTGTCCACCAGAACCGGCATGGTGACGAACAACCAGCCCAGCTACGTCACAGTCTACGATTACTACCAGCCCAGTGAGTATGAAATTCATACGTGAAGTGTTGATAACGTCTGTAACTTTGACCCGTGTTGCTGTATGTGAATTACGCAGGAGCAATAACACAGAAATGGCCTAGCAGTTGTAAACGGATCAAAATTGCTTGTCGGTTATACGGGCATGTATCTATAACAATATATCTTATAGTTATATTTTTACTTATCAAGAGTTTGTTGCAGATATTTGACGTTATCCTTCTTTGTAGGTAACCAGGGTGCCACTTTCTACGAAACTCGCAGTCTCAAGGAAGCCACAATTTGTGATGTGTGTGACAAGTGTTGCAACCAGGTCGGTGAATGAGTTACCATTTCCGTAAATGTATATTCTATTACGTTCATGCATATGTCCTAAGTGACTTATCAAACTGCCGTTTACAGATATCAATTGCATACATGTCAGTCAATATTTTACACCTTTCCTTCTTTTGATTGTTAAACACGAATGTTATAAGGATCTCTTTTGTATCATTTGAATTATCTTTTCAGATTTGAAAACAACTGTGAAGAGGAAAAGAGAAACATTAAAAGTCTTATGCAAAATGTGAATAAATAATTCCATCAATGCTTGAGTGTTTTAGATTTTTTTTAATGATAAAGAATAAAGGGTGGAATACGGTTCAAGATTCCTCAAGTTGTATTTAGAGTGGATGTTTGAAGATTCAGAGTGACAAGGAACTATGTACATTACTGTGTAAATGACAATAGGGGTGATGTGAACGTTTCCTTGATCAACTTTCCCTTTACGTTGAGCAATATTCCAAGAGTTCCAGCCCTTAGTGTCTGCCTGTCATACATACTGAAGTAAAACTGAGCATGCTCTTTCAGCAAAGCAATATGGTAGAAATATTGAGGACATTTCGAGATTTGACAATACATATTTCTAATGCAATATTATTGGGTCACAAATCTAACATATTGGGTCACAGATATAGAATAATAACTAAATGTCTACCACAGTCTTGATTCTTGTTCTCGAGAATCCTAGCAGCAGCTATGCCTCACTGCGGCCATTTAGATCACACTATCATGTGGAACTCACTCGAGTGAATGCCACAGTCTTACACCGAAGCAGCAAACCGGAAGCATAACTAAGAGGAGGTACCTCCCAAACGCATACTCTGCGCTATAAACTCCATAATAATGAAGTTAATCAATGTGAATTCGTAATTAACAAAAACACACTCTCATAACATAAGTAATTACTTACTTATGTTATGAGAGTGTGTTTTTGTTAGAATAAATAGTACAAAGAATAAAGAAAAAGAGGACTGATGGAAATTTGAAGCCATCCGTATTGTCCTTTCATCAACCTTATTATTATTATTATTATTATTATTATGTTTTACAGATTAAAGATTGTATGCAGCAGAGAGGGTTCGGGTGATCCTGGCACAGTCAGGCTGGTAAGGTTCATCATCAGCTCAGGGCCCTTGCCCCCTCTACACGCAGCCCAGACAGCGAATGGGACTTCTCCCAGGAAACGCTGCCTAGTCGAACCCACCAAGAACTTTCCGGAGAATATGAAGGCTCCCAAACACTGCAGCCTTCTGCATTACCCAGAGTGTCAGAAGGGCTGTACTCCCGGTGGAGAACCCGGGCACTCTCCTGATCTGTGCCAAGAGATCAGGAGGTACCAAACCAAGGGCACCGAGAACAATGGGGAGCCTGACGACAGTGTACTTAGGAAGCAAGCGAGACATTTCAAAGGCGAGGTCCGCATATTTATCATGCTTTTCCTTAATCTTGTCAATCACATTCCTGTCAAAAGGGACAGAAATGTCAAAAGGGACAGAAATGTCAAATTATTATTATTATTATTATTATTATTATATTATTGTCTCCTGAAAGAGAAAACGTCTACCCACACACCTCACAATCGGTACAACAAAGACCCTTCTTTACACAATGTGGAGCTGGATTCGCACAGTCAAACTTATACCACACACACCATGAGCCAGCCGCCACCAACGCTGTTATAAGGTCTCAAAAGACATTGGTTTAACGTTCATTTTGACCTCGCAAGATACGGCCATGCCTATGAAGGATGTGCAAAGTAAAGCAGGACCAGGGATGGTTATCCGAGTTTCTATGATTTTTAAACACACTTGATGTCTGTTGGCAAACTGGCGATTTGAACGGGGCGGGCCATTCGAACATGGAGATGATCATGAGCGGTTTATCAAAATGTCGAAATCAGGAATGGTTTCCGTACTCAAGTGAATGGAGCTTCTGCGTGTGGCAAACTTTATTATTAGTATTAAGCTTTACAGACATACGATGTTTGTCTACAAGACTTTATCGTGATCTAATATTTAATATTAAGTATGGCCTTTTCTTGTTGAAAATATATTTGTCTTTCTGGGACGTTTTTAAACCTGCCTCAGTTGTAGTTAGTATGTTAGATATATGTGTAAGAAAATCAAAGCTATTTAAACGAACACAACCATGACTACATAAATAGCTATTGTAACAATTGCATCATATATTTGTTATTCTCGCCACTCTGATTAATGCACACCAAACAGAAATATCTTCTCTGACCTTTTGACACAAACTGACAGATTATTTAACTTTTTTACCAGCTTTTACACCTGAAGATCTTTGCGAACCATCTCGAAGTTTGATATGCGAGTAAATGAATGAGTGTGTTACAAAAGCACGAAGTGATACAGATAGTAGATCGGTGCGAACGTGTCAAACAGATTAATCTTCACACTGTTAACTTCGGTACTCAGACGGTGGGCCACCAGTACTTCAAGCTGAGTGTGCCAGGAAGACGACAGTATGGATTGTCATCATGTAACCCTCTAGAGTCACTCTATCAATTGGACAGTATGACAAAAGAAAGAGTAAAAACACAGATATTCCAATATTTAGATCTGCACCCATCATGGTGACCGGTCAAAAGAATATGACGAATGTTTATTTTCATCGTGCATAGTCGTAATAGGTTTTAGTGAAGCTTTCAAATCGTTAAGGGTAGACATGCGTCAATGTACACACCCATTTCACACTGCAAAATCACTCATTGCATCCGTAGTTTGAGCGATACAGGGTACCAACGCATGATCATTTGTACGTACGATGATTGTGATTGTACGAATGTATGCTGATTTTGGATACATTGCATCGTCTCAGCATGTTAAATATACTCATGTAAACTACTGACAATGAAATACCTGCAATTAAGCAAACGTTCCAGAATCACTCTGATGCATTTTTAATATATTCACTAAAGTAACTGTGTAACTGCCAGGTGTTAAGTCTAATTAAGCTTTGGTGATTGTTTGTGAACCCATATTTAGCAAATACGCCTACTTGAACAGATAAGAGAGATAATTCCCAGGTATATGTAGTGGGAAGAGATAATCGCCTGACAGACACAGTGTCTGCTAAGAATATACGCTAAAAGCGGTCCGGTAAGTTGGCGAAACACCATTATTGTTTATCTAAGCTGGCTGAGTAAATGTATATCAGCAAACATACAGTGAAGCTACGTATGGGTTCTAAATTTTATTCCGAGCATGTTGCCGAGGTTTAGTATTTCCAAACGTACCGCAAAATGGTGGCTAAAAGGTCACGTTGTACATTAGGCACGTTCTTACTTTTCATTATTGACCACATTCAAGCACCCTCCTTTGTGTCCTCTATTTTCTGTGACTATAACCCTTGATATGGAAATATTTCAATTAATGTGATTAATTCATCAAATTCGTCATTTAAACAGAATATTTTCTAACACTTCCAAATGTGTGAAACATTATCTGAAAGGATAATTGAACTCACCGATGACAAATGTCCGGACAAAGGAAAACCATGCCCTGCACTACTGTGGCAACCGCGAAATGTTCATATTAAAGTAAGTATATATTTATTATCGTACTATGCTGCACAGCAGTATTTCTGCCAGCCAATGGCAACCTGTAAACCATCGAATCTTAGTCATGAAGTGTATAAACCCGAAATACAAACACATTCATTCTTCGGTTTTCAACGTTAAAAACAGTATTCATCTTCATTTCTGTAGTTTTGTTTGAAGTTTCCAAACTGCAATTTGTTCATCAAGTAATAGTAACGGTATGGAATATTACGTAATATACACTGCACAGGCAGGAACAAAGAGCGGTGATCCCAGTGCTGATAAGGACTTGTGCATGTGCACTCTGTTCTTCAGATTACATAGAAAAAGGGCTGTCCACTCAACTGTGCTTTTGTTTTGGATTATTATGAAATATATACTGTTCCAGGAAATAGAGGTGACAATCTTTAATTTCGTTATACAATGTGTCATAGCGTATCTTTGAAGACTTTGTTTGGCAGGAATATAAAATAATCGCTACAATGTCATATGTTCTAGTCCATGGCGTTTAATGACTGTATAATGTGTTTGTTTATTTTTTGTTAAGTAATATTGAAGCTACATGGCGGCTTTCTGTAAATAATATTGTCTGAACAAAACATGTCTGATACGATGACACTTAGCCGCTTTGGACACCCAGGACTGCCAAACCAGAGTACCAGCCTGAATCTTCACAGGCACCGTAACTAGTCATTGACCCGTTTTTAAGATGCACTTTCGGTCAAATTTAACATGACAACTTATGTCACAGATGGTAATCGGTCAAAAAAAGCTAACATGAAGAGATCTATTTTCAGGTTTTGGGCAGTTATCGACCCTGACCTTCACGTACAATAGATACTGCCGCTTTGGATGGGTAGGCTGCCTTATAGTGTAAACATCTGGTTCTAGTTAGATAACCACGAGTGTATTATTGAATTTACATTTTGTCTGGACCCTCAGTCTGTGCGGGGATTATTGCATTGATGCTGTAATTAATGTTCGGAATTTATGGATATCTATCTGTTTTCAATTTTCAGTATCATCATGCTGTGGCTTCTGTTAGTAGTTGGAATAGGATTCACCACGGCCGAAAGGTTCGTTTGTTTGTTGTCTAATGCCGTACTCAGCAATATTCCACACGGATGACCTGAGAATAATACGGTCGGGACCAGACAATCAGTCATTGACATCAAGAGTACCGCCTGTTGTAGTAAATATAAATCGACAGCTCCAGAGAATATTCAGTTTATGTTAGCAAACTGGTTCACTTTTACTGCTCTTCTAGTTCCCGAGGGTCGTATCTCATAACGTCCTCCAAGTATCTGCAACGTGGGATGCCATTTAACGTCAGCATCGACATCCTCAACACCACCAACACCGTCTATGTAAAAGTGGAGCTGCAACGCATATGGAACAACTACACCAACACTTTCAGGATCCCTGTTATGATGGCCAAAGGCGACTTTACTAAAGGTGAGACATCATACAGAGGTAACTGTGGTTGATTCTAGTGTGGCAGTGCAACCTATCCTTTAAAGGAAAACTGTCTGAAAATGTGAAATCACGTTATGGCCTGTTCGTTCGCAGTTTTGTCAGTTATCGGTCGTGTTTTGTCCGTTGTAGAAATCTCTCACCAGAGGTCACTGTCCTTATGAAAGTGAAGTTTCAGACACTTGTTCCAACCAATTAAATTTGCACATTGACCGTGCTAGCAAATTCTCTCGACTGGATATATTCATCTCGAAACTAACTGGCTGAGAAAAGCAATCATGTCTAAGCACTTCTTCCATCTTGCATTTCAGGAACGACTGGGACGATATCACTGAATGTAAGTATACAAAATCAGTCAGTGGTGCCAGATCAATGAAACAACAGGAAATATTGCACAATTCACTACTGTATTCTAAAATGAACTAACTTTACAAGTCAGTATCATTTACTGCAAAGAAATTACAAAAACAATACAAATGTAAGGGTACTATGGTACAAAGGAGGGATTATAGCAATATAGTGAGAATAGAGAGTGAGCTTAAAAAATCTCAAGTGAAAAGTGATCTTTAGACAACTGCTGATTTTGATGTAATGTGAGACGACAGATGACAATTGTGGGAGTGCACACCTTAATTATATAATGTAATATGTAATACAATAGCAACAGTTTTATTCACAGAGATGTATGCGAAACCATATAAATATTTTAATCTTCATCTTCATGTTACATATCAACCAGTATATTCTGTCTCCAGGTGCCAAGGGACATCACTGACGGAAGTTACCGTCTCCATGTCCGTGGTAGCGGAGCTCTGCAATTTGAACGAGAAACGTCCCTCTTCCTCCGTTCCAAGTATATTTCTGTCATGGTACAGACCGACAAGGCCATGTACAAGCCAGGACAGATGGGTGAGCGGAAAATTGATGTCAATTTATGGCACGATAAAGTCATCAGTTTCTTTGTCTTTTTACTACTCTTAAGCCATGTTACTCGAAAGATGATATTTTGCTTGTATAAACACGTGTAACTGGCGAATCCTTCGGTTTGCCTTGGCTTCAGGTTGGATATACACTATTTCAGTTGTTGGAACTAGACAGGCTATCCTTTATATTAAAAAGAACCTGAACCAGTGATTATTCATTCTCTGTGCAGTTCATTTCAGAGCGTTTGGTGTGTACCCAAGTTTGCAAGTGTACACAGGGAGTTTCGACATATCTCTTGTTGTAAGTTTGAAATGCAATATCATACCTGAGACATAATCATGTAATAAATAGGGACAACTGCATAACTATACACCTTACATGGTTGTTGTTTAATATTCTGGAACAATTTCTTTCGAAATATAGAATTTTGTCTTTGAATTGTAAGTGCACATGACAAAGATAAAGAACTTTAATCTATTCTACAGGATCCAAACAACAATATCCTGAAGGAGTGGGCGGCTCTCCATGAATCTTCTGGAGTTGTGGCTGGGGAGTTCCAGCTGGCAGATAAGACTGTTCTGGGAGACTGGGCTCTACGAGTTTTACCAGCAGTTGGTTATATTTATTAATCTTTAGACGTTATGTTCCTGTCTTAGAATTATTTTGCAGCACGTAGGATTCTGTGACTGGTTACCTTTATAGTGATTGGTCATTGCGAATCTAAAACCTTCTTAGTTCAATTCTTGGAAAGTTCACCCCTGTAACCGTAGAATATGAATCCCCCAAACATCGAACCATTAAGTTTGCCCACAAAATACCAGAATTGTTGTTCTTTACACTCTGGTTCTTTTGCAGTACCTAAACATTCAACATACATGCACAACATACAGAAATTCTGATAGATTTGTCTCCATTTCCTTCTTAATACCTATATAATTGTCCTCTAGAATAAGAAACAACACCTTGAATTGTCATTTGTTAAATTTCACAAAGGAGTTGCTGTGCTACGAACATGGCTAAGAAGGGGGAAATAGTGTGACACCAACATTTTCAGGACTGTTTGTCTGAGGACTGTAAATTGCATTTAAAGATATTCTCAAACATATTTTGAAAGACCACTGAACTGTCAGATATATAATTCTGAAGTCACCCTTGGTTATGTAGCTCCCACATCAAGTGGCCGACATAGAAATGCGTTGGTCTGCAGAACTTTGAAGATAAAAAGCTTCTTCAGATTATCATACATGAGTTACTCAGTGTCGTCAATGCATCACATATGGCATTCATGGACATCAAGAATTTTTTATTAATTTTCTTGCCATTATATTACATATTTGTGAAGATTCGTGAAGAATTGATCTACAGTAACCCATGCTTCTTGGAAAGGGGAATAATGGGACGATATCGGACTCACTGACTTAGTGTACTCATGTTATGTGTCCCACTGGCGAAGATCGATGCTCACGGTGTGATTGTCTGGTCCAGACAGTATTATACTGGACATAAATAGTTACGGATGTATGTAAATTTTTAAATTATGAAGTATGATGTATGTATTCATTGACACATTGATAAAATATCAATTACAAAAATACCAATATCCCTAACTTATTTTGTCAAGTATATTTACAGAATGCCTTCATACTGCACGGATATTGATGAGTGCGGAGTTAAATATATATCATCACGCCTTGAAAATCACATTCATATTTATATTTGCTTCTTCTGAAGCTTTTTCAGATGAAAATGTGGTTTTTTTATTCAGGACCGAGTAAGTGTAACCTCTAAAACCTTTGCAGTTGCGGAATACCGTAAGTATGACTCCATTGTTCTCTTCTGTTACCAATTTGAACTAATAATTAACTAATTTCAGAGAGGTAATACAAATGCGCAAATCGGAATAAGATAGGGGATTGATGTGTTTGAAAAACGACACTTTTCATATATGTGAGCATGTAGTTTTAAGTAAGATATTAACATTGACACCCAAAGTGATGTTTCTGGTGATAAGACCATTTCTTGTTTTAGAACTGCCCCGCTTTGAAGTCAAAGTTGATCTTCCTTCGTTCTCCCTGATCTCCGACACAAAGATGTCTGGAACAGTGAAAGCAAAGTGAGACATTTCATCGAATCCTTATTTGAATTTCACATCTCTCAGAGTACAACATATTGTGGTTTCATATTGCTAAATATAACCTTGGTTATTGGGTAGTTTAACCTGTACATACCAGTTCCATTTCTACATTGAAACACAGTTATATATCTGCATTTCTGTTACAGATACACCTTTGGACAGCCAGTGAAGGGTATGGTGGAGTTACATATATACATGGAAGTCACTAACGACTACTGTGGAAGACCTCCCAAATATGTCGAACTGGCATTTCCCGTAGGTTGACAAACTATGAGATTACCCGTATCCCCATTTTAATAAAAAAAATGAATTGGTAACATTTTAGATAAACATTCAATTCATGTGAACGATCCATTTTGCTCTTTGTTTGTGATACGGAGTACGTATAGCATAACTTGCAATCATAATTTCGAGTCAAAGATAATAAATAAGAAAATTTCGACAGGGGAAACAGTTTAGTTACATTCTGATGAAATTTTTATTTATTTATTATTTTTTTTATTATTTGTTCCCATGGTCACAAAGTCAATAACAAGGGTATATGGTAGCAACAAGCACAGAAAAGGTGAAGATACATTGCTGTAGAGATATAATAATAATTAGTTGCTGAATATTGGGATGAGCGAATTCCAATTAAGATTGAATTTCTCGATTTCATTGTTTCGCTTTGAAATAAATTTTTTCTACACAAAATATCTCTTTTAATACCTTTTTATAATTACTGGAATTGATTTTTTTATATTACATAAATTGATATGTTTTTGGCAGAGATAATGATTTGATTTAGTAATACATCATTATGCAATGTACCATACCAAATCAAATATTTTGTGATGTATATTATTTTCGTGGTAAATAGTTATTAATCCAGAGTTCTAGATCATTCCAGAATTTCATGCTTTCACAGCATTCCCAATAAACATGACAAATGCTCTCAGAAACATCATTGCAAAAACTACACAAATCATTGTCAATCAGGTTCATTCTTGATAATTCATTTTTAGTATAAATAACCCTTTGCAAAAATCTGCATTGAAAATCAAGAAGTTTAACGTCTTTCAAACCATGTCTATAAAAGTTAATTTTTTTGTACCAATCAAACTGACAATCATTGAATATAATTTCCCATTTAGTACAAATTTCAAGTTTATCAGTTTTAGAAATCAGCTTGTCATAAAATATTCTTGAACCTTTGGAGAGCTTTAACATATTTCTTTGGTAAACATTGATGTATAAATTGTAGGAAGGAATGATTCTTGTCCTTTTAATAACATTTTTCCAAATATCAGGTCAGATGTGGAGTAGATAGTTATAGTCTAATAGTGTCCCTCTTATGTTGTATTTTATCTTTACCTTATCAAATGTCATAAATCCATGTTCATCACATAAATCCTTTACTATCAATAAGTCCTTATCTGCCCAGTGAATAATAACATGGCAAGGGTTTTATAATTATGATTGAGCCATGATGGTTCTGCAAGAATGTAATCAATATTGTCAGAATCAGCATTGAACTTTTTGCAATAATTGTTCCATGCTTTTAAAACATCTTTCCAATAAGGGTTTTCAATGTTGAGTATTTTGTCAATATTTGCTCCATACTTGAAGATATCATTATAAGGTATATTACAAGAATTATTGTCGGATGATTTTTCACAGTAGAGCCTAAGAATGGATAAATTTAGAGCTTCAATATCTTTTTGTATATCTACCATACCCAGTCCCCCTTCAGTCTTTGATCTTTTCATTGTGGTTCTTTTTATATTATCATTTTTATCATTCCAAATCAATTTGAAAAATATCTTTTCAAGGGATTTAATAAAGTCATCTGGAGGATTGGGCAATGAACTGAAAATATGTACTAATTTTGAAAGGGCTAATGTTTTTATGACAGTGATTTTTCCTATCAATGTGAAATGTCTTTTTCTCCATACTGCTAATAATCTGTTTATTTCTTCCAGTCTTTTTCTTGTATTAATCACCCATAGACCAGCAAGGTTTGGGGTAAATTTGATTCCCAGAACATCAAACTCTCCATTATACCATTCAATTTTCAAACTTTTACATAATATTTCTTCACTGCCTGCTTTTGAGCAAATCCAGATAGCTTTAGTCTTATCTATATTCATTTTCAGACCTGATATCTTATAAGAAGTATTGATTGTTTCAATAGCTGCATAAAGTCTCTCATCTACACCATCAAGCAATAATTCTGATGAAATTGTCAAATACCTGCACAAATAATGTATTTTGTAACGCCACGCATCTAAAAAGTGCGAAGAGGCCAATATCAGTCATAAAAGTTTCATGAATAATATATCATGTTTGATCAAAATTAACAGATTGACGGGGAAGCCAAATTTGACATTCCTGTTGCTGACATCAAGCGTCTACAGAGCAATCTAAATGAACAAACCGTCGTCGTTCTCGCCATCGTGAAGGAGGAGTTGACGGGCGTGAGGCTGAACGGGTCCAGCTCTGTGAAATACCACCAATACCCCTACAAGATTGAAGTCCTCAACTCAAGTCCGAAAACTTTCTCACCCAAACTTCCATACACAGCATATGTGAGTTGAAATTTAATTACACGCATAAAATATCAACATTTGTGTCATGGAAACCATTGAATACTTCACACATATATTTTAAGTTATACAATGTGTTATGTTTAACTCTCTTCTAAATTTACACATCACACAACAGATCAAGGTGTCCCAACAAGATGGCCGTCCTGTGACCGACCTCAGCAGCCCTGTTGG